TTCTTTACTGGATCCGCATCGTGACATTCTGATAACTGAGTACGCTTTTTGGTTTCAATTTAGCATTATGTTGAGAATCTCGACGTTCTGAAGTCGAAGTTTCTTGGTTTGGAATTCGAATTAGCTCGCGCTCAGCTAATTGTTGTTCCGCCAAATGTTTCGTTAGTAATATGTTAGTATCTCGGCCTCCTGGGTAAATGAGTGCTTCATAGTGGTTGCCATTGCAGTGAACAATGAGTGAACAATATGATGATCATTTTTGCCGATCGATTGGTTTGCGGCCTGTAATTTATTATGTCCATTGGTTTTCTTGTTTCCAATTTCCAAACGAGAATTGGCACTTGGAGTACTAGCGCTAGCACATTAATTTCAAGTTGACTTCCCCAGTTCCCATCTTGACCCATGTAGTTACTGTAAGCCTGAGCGTTTGGAAACAATTGGAACGAGCTGATACTTTCCGTGGACGGGGCCCGGGGACATCAGGTTTATGGCAGAAGTTTGCGTACAATGAGTATCTGTTCCAGTTCATCACTATGTGGCGGACGCACAAGTTTCGCAGGATCATATGCTGAGATCCTAGCAGGCCGCGAGCGACATTGATTGATCTGAAAAGGCAATTTCCATCGGATTCTATGCCAAGACGGATGAAATCCTCTTTGAAAATATTGTTTAGTGGGACAAACGAAGGCCGCTGTATCCGTTGAGAAATCCGCGGGATGAACGATCTCTGCATTGTGCTCACTCCATTGTGCTCAGACTGCTTTGTCAAACCGTCAGGATCACCTTCAAGTTCAAGTACAAAATTCGGGATTCCCTTCACATTCTGATCAAAACCTTGCTGCAGCCTGCAGGCTGCAGTTGGGAACAACTTGAAGGAACAAGCGCAGTTGCTGATCAGAAGCCTTCAGGGTCAGCATGGCCATGGGAGCAGCATCACAGTCCAGTGGTTATGAGCTCAAAGAATCAGTAATATGGGAGTCAAGATCCGCAGAGTCTTTGCTCCAAGCTGCCTGACAGAGCTGGCTGCTGAGATTGCAGTTTTTTGAGAGCTGCACCAATGGAGAGCGGCCACGAGGGTTTTGATTGGTATGGCCAGCCTTTCGGTCCCCATCAGCAGCAGCAGTACTCAAACTTGGGGCTGCAATTTAGAAGCCAACAGGCCCCCAATGCTGCCCAAGCACCTTACTTATCTCCCCCGTGCATACAGCTGTTCTGACCCCTTGATGCTGCCTTCAGCCCCTGGCTCTTTCAATAAGACCACTTTGGCACCCGGCAGCCAGAATGCTCACCTTTCTGGCCATCAGGCTGGCTATGGCTGGCCTTCTTCCAACCTGCAGTATCGTCATGGGGCGCATGCAAGTCAAGGGGGTTATCCATTGGCTAGGGTGGCCTGGGACCGGGCAGGTGGCAGGAGTCCCGCTGGTGCAACTTCGGTCCATTGTGGGGGAAGCGCTTCTGTGGATTCGAGAAAGGGGATTGCTGATTGTTTTATCAAGAAGTCAAAGCAGGCTGATGGGACGCTCGGCCATGCGCAGCATCTTGCCAGAGAGGAGCGGGGTCCGAAAGCAGGGATGACGCACAGCGTGCAAATTCAAGAGCGAGCTGGGAAGGGATGCCAAAAGAGGCCGCATGACGCAATTGACCCAAATACAAAGCGTTTGAAAGTGTTCAGCAATGTTGGGGGATCAGGACCCCTTCTGCCTCTTGCTGAATCACCAGACAGCAGAAGTAACAGCCAGCCTGTGATGGTCAAAGTGGCGTCGCAACGAGCACCAGAGAATGTCAACTCCAAAGAGAATGAGAGAGCAGCAAGTGCCTTGGCCAGACCTGTGATCTGGCCCCCAATGATCATTGTGCAGAATCTCCACACTGGAGTCGTGGACGGGCACTGGGACGGCATCTCTCATGCCAGCCTCGAGAAGATGCTGGGGAACAAGTGGAAATTTGAGTCCATTCGACTGAACCCAAAAGGAGGTGGACACAGGGGTGAGCTACTTAATTTCTTCAAGACATTGACTGGCGGAAACTCCAACCCTCAGAAGAAACGCTCCTTAGTCACATCATGGCCACAGGATATGAGAACACCATTATACAGCATTTGTTCTGTAAACTTATCAACTTTGCAATGGTAGTTCTTTTCAAGCGTGGAAGTTGGTACTGGTTTAAAGCCTTATGGTACTCCGGTACGACATTATCAATTGTCGATCGCTGGAACTCTTTTAAGTTTGGCCTTGTTTTTAAAGTCCTTTGACACTCAAGTGATCCTTTCAGCATGTCCCAAAACGATCCTCTGCATTATTTGCAGTCAGCCTGCTTCCACTCCCTGCTCAATGGTCACCGATACAATTTTGGATATCGATCCGTTTGGTGCAAGATCAATGGTCATATTACAGAGAGTCATCAGATAACTTTTGCCTAAGTGGTAGGAAGCGACAGGTCATATGTTGCGCTCTAACTCAAATCCTTGTCTCCTTTTAATATCGATCTAGCTTTAGCTCTGCTTCTTGCCGAAGAGTCTTGCTTGGGGTTTTGTGGGATCGTTATTTGCTACAAAGATTAGACTGCAGTACAGATGCAATATCAACATATACAGATCTCCGCATGGTCGAACATTTTGACCTCTGGTGTGCATAGACTCTCAAAGAGAAGACCTTTTGGATGTCAACGAAGACGAGGTCAGGATGATGGGATTGGCACAATTTTCACACTAACAATCTCCCTAGACTTTGTATTGCCTTGCTGGAAGTCACTCAAAGTATAACCTCCTCTGGTACTTGTTCAAGCTCTAAGCATAATTCACCAAGGCAGTCCAGATGCAAAGAGTGACCTAACCTGCTACAAGCGGTGTGAGTGCCGCAAAACTCTGCAGGGTGTGGCGGTCACCACACGACCGACAGCATCATGCTGATGTCCCAAAACCAGCCACTCAGTCCACCTTACGTGGATCCAGTAGATGTTGATCTTTCGCCTGTGTGGTCACTCATGCCAACATTTTTCCTGCATGCAGGGCTTGCCCTCATCATAGTCGAGAAAAGTGTGGCTGGCTACAACCGCGCCAAGGAAATGGCTGCTTTCTTCTCAGAAAAGGGTCAAGGGCGGGCAGACTGGGAACGGCTGCGCCCCAAGCTTGAAGTGAACGGAAGGAGGTTCCTCTGCAAATCCGAGGGGACGTTGCAGAGGAAGCTGCCGGCTGGGCCAAGCACACGGAGGGCCTTGTGGAGGAGGACGGCACGCGGCGGCTGTTCTGTTTCCTCTCCCAAGCAGCTGACCTTCAAGAGCGAGGCTTGTTCCCACAGTAAGCAGTAGTGCAACCTGGTGCAATGAAACCAAATTTCGAAAGAAAACTCTGCAGTAAAGTACAAGCGTGAGCATCTCTGGTTTATGAAGAAGCTCGCAGAGCAGACTAGAGGCCCCCATTGCGGGGGTGTTTTGTAGAGGCATACATCGTGGCTCACCTTTTGCAATCTCGCAAATCAGATTGAGGAGATGTGACTTTTCTTTTTGTAGGACACAGTCCGGCAAAGCATACTGACTTCAGACAATGAGCCTGAATGTGCTCAGAAAGTTTAAAATTCAGGATGGCGTGTTTAGTTTAGCGGCGCTCTTGCACGGATTGCTATCAACTAATAACATCACATAGATATCGGCTTCCCCTCAAAAGAGCTATCCATTCTGCAGAAACATACCAAGCCGCGGAGGCTTTGTCGCAGTGCCGAGCAACAAAAGTCTGTTTTTCCTGATCGACTTGCCATGCATAAGTCCGCATTCCGGCTCCGATCCTTCCGGAACCGAACAAGTGTCTACCATTCTGCAGGACAAAAAGAGGCGTGACCAGATGGGAGAGCTTGCAAGTCCAAGAGTTGCAGTTGAGGCTGGGCGAAGAGCTTGAACCCGAAGGAGCTGAGGAAAAGATTGCCGATTTGTTCGAAGAAATGAAGGCGTACGTGCGGACCACGAATGAAGAACGGGTGAAGCAGAAGGTATGCTCTCGCTGCCAGGACTACACTTGTCGTATCAGTTGAAAATTACGCTTCAGATAAGACGGACAAGCGGTTGTGTCTGCGACGTAGAAAAGAGGTGGTTCTTGAACACACTTATCCGTCCGAATACGAAGAAATCGAGGAGAAGATCCTTTGCTGGTGCAAGTTGTGGATGCGACCAGCACGACTAGATTGCTGATCTTCAAGAAGGCTTTGCGTGGCTTTGCGTCCCTGTCTTGTCGGTGTAATTGAATGCGTCGATAACTCGTCTGGGTAGCTTTAAAAGCACAGTCGTAATGCAATACATCAGGACAGGTGAGACAGTGAGAACTTGGAAACCTTTGCTGAGGCGCTCGCTGATGATCATGAAGCACGGAAGTGAGTACTTTGGCGCAAAGTCCTTAATTAGCAGATAGTTTTTGAAGTCATCATCCTAATCCGTTCTGGACAGTTGATCCGCACGAGTGAATGGGGCGCGCTATTTGACTTTGCGACCAAGGAGGATGGCAAGTAGCGCAACAATTTAAACCCAGATCGGAAGCGACGGCCGAAACAGTCAGGGGTCTGATGAGGATGCTTCTTTGCAGCTTCTTCAAGGACTCGACCGCCTGGAGAGAGCACACCGGTTGGAGCTGTCCACAAAGACCGGCATGCCAGCGACCAACGGGGGAGAACGCGCGGACAACACGAACGAGCTTCAACGCCTGAATCAGACGATCCAGAGCTACCGAAAGTATTTTGAGGACCTCAAGCAGACCACCAAGAGGTGAGCCGTTCCCTGCTGATTTGCATATCGAGCGCAGAAAGGAGGTCCACTGATGTCTTCGTCAAGGCAGCCGACGGATGACAACACGTTGATCGTGACGGACCTTTCGGTCCGAGTGTAAGTCAGGCGTCAGGCGTCAAGCAGTTAGGCTTTTTGAGAACAGGACGATCAGGACCCTTTCCATCGGAAGCACTCTACGGGGACCGTCGGCTGTTAGAAGTACATGTATTGAGGCACGATCTGCTGGTCGAAGGCATCGGCTAAGTTCCGATTATTCGACCGTTTCTTTGTTATTGCTAGGAGTCGAAGAACAAGGCGTCAATGAAGTTTCTTCAGTCAAGCAGGTTGAACAATCGACAAAAGACCGACGTCAGATCCATCGAGAGGAAAAGTCTCGTTTTCGATAACTAGGCGCGGATCCTCGTCGTTTGGCTCGCGTGAGTAAAGAAAGGTGCGATGATGCGTACCTGCTGTCATAAGGCGTTAACTGGCTCTTGCAACCAAAAGACGGAGTTCTAGAAGCCGAAAAAATCCTCTCCGCGTTGCAGTTTGAAGACCGAAGTCCAACGTCAGCTAACGGAGAAGGTGAAAGAGGTCGAGACGTTGACTTCGGAACTGCGGGCGCTGCGGAACAACGTTCAAGCATGGACCGAGAGAGAGGACGCAAGTCGGAAAGAGGTGTGATTCCTTGCTTATTCCTTGTCGGTATGTGACTTCTGAATCTCTGGAGCTGACAAAAATGGGTTCGCGGCCTTTCAACAAAAACAACATATTGCTTCCCGTTGGCTTTCCGGGAGGAAATCGACGTGGGTTGAGAATACCAATCGCAGGTAGCGAGCCCTCAAGTGAGATTTTTTTCCGCAATCGAGGCTCGGCGCTTAAGCATCTTCGACTTCTTTGGGATCGGGGTGATGCGTAGCTAAGGTTCTGAGTCTATTTCTGAGCGTTGATGTATGTGAGGTCGTCAAGCGCTGCCATCCTGTAATGGTGCTCCGAAACTAGATTTCTCGAGCGCGACCTGACGCCTCTTTTGGACTTACAAACCGTCGGTTTTTACGACCCCGCATTCTTACGGTTGTGATCAGAAAGTATCCACGCAGACTGTACAGTAATGCCCCTCGTCAGCCATGTCGCAAAGACTCTCCTCGAGACACCCACTTCCATCTCTGTTGCAGGCCGATGAACATTCTGGATGCGGTATCTGCTTTGAAGCGTGGAGCAAAGAAGTCCGGCGGGCTGCGTTTGACTGTGGTCATGCGACATCGTGTATCGACTGTAGCAGAGACTACCTTGAAAGCGAATTTGCACGGGCTAATAATGCAAAGCGGCCCACCTTCAAGTGTCCACTTGGCTGTGCCTTGAAGAGCAAGCACCTCATTGAGCTTTACCTTTGAGCCCTGGAGCTGATGCAGCTTGTCAGATGTGAGGACAACGGATAATCTGCACGTGTAGCACTGTTCGGGTGTTGTGCTTTCATGTACTACTAGGCTCGAATTACAAACTTGTATTGTACGTTCGGTTGCTAGGACGCAAGCTCCAGGAGGCTAGATTAGGAACTGTTCGTACGTCATTATGTGGGCGGTACATCAAGTGTAGACGTTGACATTGATTTTTTTCGGGAGACCGCACTACTGCCGGCCCCTGGATTGACTGTTCATGATTCAAGCCGGCATGATCGCATACCTACAGCGACGTGTGACAGTCTACAAACGTTAAGTCAGTCTCCGATAATTGCATATGTGAGATTGTGACTCACTTCACATCCAGCGCGCCCATATGCACATAGTGACTGTGTGCTAGTCGCTGCTAGTAAATTTCTATGCGTGCTCTGGCCCGGCCATTGCTGAGCCTGTTGATGGTCTCTAATTCTCAGTTTCGCCGTAGCCCATCGCGCTAAACATTTGAATGTTTCTTTTGCAAGAAAGGAACTTCGTGGTCGCCACCCGCGCGCTGCACTGACTATCATTACTTAATCGACGGTGATCCTTTAGCCTTATCGATCTGCTTAGGAAGTGGGTAGCCCAGCTACAGTAGCATGGCCGGACCAGTTTCTCTTTGTCAGCTGTGCGACATTCCTCAAATCAGTACGTTTGATCGTTTGATCCAGTTCAGTCAAGAAAGTCTGTCACTTATTGATCTCGAGCGAATCTGATCCGCCCTCTTTTAAAATCCTTTGACGTTCGGATGGTGGTGCTATTTACAATCGGGTCATTGCTTGCACAAGTTCGAAGAATGATAGCTGTTGCAGCAAATGGAAAGGCACTGAGTAGAGGCCGTCGGTCACTCACTCGGCTGGGGTGTCCGAACACAGACTGTCGACTGGCAGCCAGCTTAAGCCGCGCGACGTATCCGGGCCGGGCCCGGGGCCGCCTTGCAGCGCGCGCTCACTCGCGCGGCTGCCGTTAGTGCAAAACCCTGAGACCCTGCCGAAACCCTGGCGCCATGGGTCACTGGGAAGCGCGGCGGCCGGCCGCCGGGTGATCCGCCTTGTAAGACCTGCCAGCGCGGGCTGTTGCCAGGCGCGGCAAGCGCCTCAGCGCGCGGCAGCTGGGGCGCCCTGCGTCGTCTTGGCAGAAGATACATATACCCCACCGCATGTATTATTGGCGCAGAAGGTTCGGCTTTGCATGTCCTGCTTTGAGGTGCGGCATGGCGAGAGTATCAGAAGAATTCAGTGATCGGTACTACACCCTGAAGACTCGCTACTTCAGGTGTTTGATAGTAATAATGATACCCTTCGCCATTGCTCAATTCGCTGAGGTGAGGCTCATGTTCTCATCATCTCACACCAAGTTGCATGTCTTAGGAAGTCTAAAATTAGGATGCAGCAGTACTGACCGAACATAGTGCATTTCGCTTATTTAAAACCCCAAAACTCGTTTGTAACACTGTCCTTTGGCCAAGGCAAGACACCTTCTGACTTTCTCACTCTTGGAGCGGGCCGGGTCCGAATGAAACCTTCTGACAATGGCTTTCCCGGTTTGCAACATGCTCCTGACTGCAATTTTTCTGAAGAGAAGTGCTCTCCCCTGACGTGCTTCACTGCCTGTTTTGTGCTCGCTTAGAGATTCGAAGGATCTTCCGGCCTGGTTCAGAACCTAACTGACTCGCCCGGGAAACTGACGTTGTAGATCCTTTCTTTCAGGCCCGGCTTGATATTTGGGTACAGTGCTCGTCCTGTAACTCAATTTTAGATCAAGCTGGTGAACCTCGATAATAGGACCTCGTCTCTTATTTTCACATGCAAACATGCAAAGGAGAGCACTCTAAGTTGACCCGCCTTCCAGACGCCAGAAGCATGCAAGGAGCCGGATATCTCCCGGATATCACAGACAGAGAGGGTACCAATCAGATAAAATCTGGCCTCTCGTCCCTCAGATCCACGTCTTTGTGTGCTCAGCCGATCGGATCGTGTCCTCGCGCGCTACCGACAGCACTTCAAAGTGGCTTCAAAAAGTAGGAGAAGTTGCCAGCTTGACGTTGTTGTCACCTCTGATCGAGCTGCATCGTGATTGGCATATTTGCGAGTCCTTTAGCAATGGGTCTCTCTAATCATCACATCACCCGAATCCAGGACTTCAAGGAAGACGTCCAAACCCAGTGGATCGTTTGTCCGAAAGCTTCTGGAAAGTAGATCATCGCTTTTTTTCGTAGTTTGCAAATCCCCGCAGTGACTGTGAAAGGGCTTCTTTGTAGACAGTAGCCTGGTTCATTAAAGTTCACCCGTTCATAGATTAAAGCCGAATTTTAAGAATATGCTCTCAAACGTCGTTTCATTCAGCAGGATATGCCAATGGCAGATTGACCCGTCCTAAGATCAGGCCGGCTGGTTTATGCATATTGTTGACGTGCAGCTGGACCCAATCAACAAAACCGCGTTTTTTTGCAGTCAATCTGGTCTCAGCCCCCGGCATGGACCGTAGCTGTTTCACAGACCATCAGACCCAGCTGTGCCATTGTAGGTCTTGGCGTCCTGCAATGGGTGCCGGACTTCTATGAAATGCTTTGGATGCTTTGGATGTTAATTCTGGGGGGGAAAACCACTCGCAAAGCAAGGGGCCTCGACAGGTCGGCGGACTAAGTCCTTGAGACAACCGTGGTTAGTCAAAGCGCAGAGTCAGCAAGATTTCCGCGTGTCCAAGGGTTGTCTAAGCAAGTCAAGGTAGTATCGCACAAAGTAAGGATCGCTTCAAGTGCTGTAGTGGTGGAAGGGTGGTTGAATTGGATGATCCGACGATCCTTTTAGCATTCCAGTTGAGGGCGAACGTTGGAGCGCGCACCCGGAGCGCATCGCTTCTGAACTACTTTCCGGAGCAGAAATGTTGGTCGGAGTAGCGTACAATCAACTTGTGCATAAGTTTGAGTGTGTGCGAGCTGATGGTTTCAGCTGGAGAGGTCGATCATGATTATCTGTTAGGAAATATGATTCATGGTTGGATTGGTTGCAACACAGTGGATATCTCTGGACGTTTGTACGTAATGACGGCCTGCCGAGGGCCTGCCTAGTGGCTGATTAGGTTGCGCGTCGACCGAAAATCTACCACCCCCCACTTTGATATTGTCAGACCACGTGGTTCAGGAAACCCTGGTTTCGGCAGTGGTTTGCAGCAAACCCTCCACATCTGTGCGGCCTATATCACCCAATTCTGCACCAAAATGCTCTATCCAAAGCACATGGGCAATGGCCATGAGTGGTGGCAATTGCCGGCAAGGCTTCTTTGAGCAGAAAAGATGCTCATTTGATACTTATAGGCGACACAATCACCTCAATGTTGCAAACCTCTTACAAAACCATATTTATGAAAAGCAGGCCTCTGATTGGCTCAGAAATCTGGGATGACCTCGGAGGTGTTCGGTCGACGCGCAACCTTACGTAATTGGAAACCGGGCCAGACGCTGTGAGTTTACGCGCTAAGCTTCATTTGTATACAGGGACGTTACCGCTTTGAACCGTACGTGCATACCAGCGCGTTGACCCATATAATGATCAGATCATCATCATCCTATCTATGCCGCCAAGATATACTGAGTCACTAATCGCGTTACACAGCTTTGCATAGGAGGAGCTTTTCGGCCCTCATGGAACGTAGGTCCATTTGTGCCGCATTCAAAAGATGGAAAAGGAACTATGTTTTCCCCAGGCATGTACAATCGACTTTGAAAGATCACATGACGTCTTGTCACGTCTGGCACTCATAAACGCTTTGGATTGAAATCGATCATTTAGCATGGGAATCAGGCCTTTTGATCCATTGGACAAATCCGATCGCCGTAGCTGCGTCAGTCATCTTATGGCTCGAAATCGTGACGTGGCGTTGGGGGCGGACCTTCTCCGTCACCATTTGTGTTCTTTCAACCTGCAAGCTACGTGGCACCTGACATAAACGCCACTAACTCCTGTGGTCACGCGTAGGACGGCGGCATGCCTTTGCAACTAAACTAGAAACTTGCGTTTACTTCAGTGTCTACACGATATTCTACCATTCATCATTACTATTAAACTCAAAGCAAGAGCTACCACTGTTCGATCCGGTTGACCCTGCCTAACTCAGGTCTCTGGTCAACGTCTACCTTCATGTCAATGTCTAAGCTCACCTTGACTCACAAGTCTCGCAACTTTCATCACGTCTTCCACTCCATGTACGCCCCTACATAGAGACTAAGCTTACGTACGTATACCCTTAGCGTTAAGCTTATGCGGTCGCGGTGTTGCTTTCTACGGCAGCCTCCTCGTGAGCAACACCGGGAGGCACGTAATCCAGGAGCTCGTCGAACTCCGCGTGCCACTTCGCAACGTAGTCGAGGATCGGGATGTCCGTCTCATCGCGGCCAAACGGATCGGCGAGGGCGTTGGAAAGCTCACGGATCCCGAGCGTGACCAAGGTAGTCAGGGCCAAGGGGACCAAGCTGTAGAAGTAGGACGCCGATACCTGTCCAGGAAGTTACGATGTCAATCAGCGTCAGATGAAGCCAGCTTTTCCGTTCGGGTCCTTTCGCCTCCGAGCAAACTTGCACTCCCATGGCCTAAAGATGCCAAGATACTGGCTGACAGGGGCTCTAAGGCGCACTGAAAAGTTCATTAGGGAAGTAAGGACCGGTGATGCATCGGTTATCGCATGTTACCAGATACTTTGCTTCTTTCCGTTGCACGTGAGCCGTCCTCTTTGACCATGCAAACAAAGACCAGCAGGACGCTCTCATTTGACCATCATCTGGTACAATTATAAGCTTCTAGACCGGGTGATGTGATCAAGCTGTTAACGTTGAGTTTTTTTTAGCATTCACAAGCCCCGTTCCCACGTGAAGCTGAGTTGTTATGCGTGAACTAATCGGACAAAACTCAATCCGGAAAGCTTGGTTCTTATCCTGGCCCAGTGAGGCAGCCTCAGCTTCTGAACCTCGACCGTCTGATCAGCATATTCCGATCGAACGAGAATCAGATCTTCAAAGGCCAGAAAAGCATTTGTCCCTTCTTTTCCACAAAGTTTAGCAGAAACGACCGGCGATAGAGCATGAAGAACAGCTTCAGCCAATAAATAAGTGAAGCCGACTTCAGAGCGACGGGTAGCAACCAGAGACGTAGTAAGTGTAGGCCAGTACCTGAGTGTAGGCCAGCAAGAGCAGGTAACCAATAGCCATCAGGTTGAGCAGGTGGTAGAAGGCAAAGGGCACCTGCAAACACAGCAAGCCTTCGAATTAGTCCCTCACATCTGCAAAGCCTTTACTAGTTGCCAATCAAACAGCGCGCTTTTGTTCTCCTTTAGCGTCAGCTAACTTCTCCTGAGGCACTGTTATTTCCGCTGGTCAGGCCTGCCAGGAAACCTTTGCTATCTTGGAACGATCTCGTCACATCCTGGTGCGACTTCCAAGTGTTGAAAGGAGTGTCAAAACTTAGATTGACCGAAGAAGAAACCGTGCCAATCGCTCTTCATATTTATACCTTATGCGATCAGCATCATAAAGGAGTCTATCAGATTTGAAAGTCGAGCCGAACAAAGCATATCGAGTTTTCAAAGTAATGGCTGCAGCTAGCGACGTCAAATAAGATGGCTTACCGGCATCTGCACGTGCTCAAACAGCATATTGATGTTCATGCCGATTTTCCCAGTGTACCCAAGCAGGCGGTCCAGCGACCTCGCTGTCAAATGGCCGCGCTTATGCTCCTGGTATAACGTGTACGTCAGCCATTTCGAAACCTGCAGACAGTCATTCTTTTCTTCAGCACAGAGCTGACGATAAGTAAGTGCTTGGCATCAACCGGAGGTCAAAAAAGCAGACTGCTTTCGACATGGTACCCTTATCATGAGGCTGAGTCTCCATCACGCAGTAGTGGGAATTCCGCTCTAGGTACTATTGACCACCTTGCAGCGACGCTTTTGCCCTGCCACCTTCGGAAGCCATGTCGTGTTCCTCACTGGCATTTCAAAAATCCAATCTAGCAACACACCCATACATTTCTTTGCTCAGTGCCTTACCCATTGATGCGGCTTGGACGTCTTTGACAGGCTGAGCAGCTCCGCTTTCTCCTCCGGTGTGAACAGCTCCAGCTCACACATATAGTTGAATACCCAGATGTTAAGGCTCTTCTCTTGGTAGTGCGGGAACCACCCGTAGGTGCAGTAAAAAAGCGCAAGGCAGTACTTGTGGAGCTTCATGCGCATCTCTCTGGCGCCAGGGAAAGCGTCGTCCGCGAAGAGGGAGCGAATATGCTGGTGGAAGGAGATGGCGCCCCGCCGCATATCCACGACCGCCTCATACTGCTTGAAGTACCTGAGAGGAGCGGGACAGGGCGCAGTCTGTCAAGATGCCTTGCAAGCTCTCAGTTTGTCCACTGACTACGCTTTTTCCGACACATTCATACTGACAAATATGACCTCAATTACCGTGACTTACCTCTCAAGCAAGAAAGCCAAACTTCCCCAGAAGCTGGTGGTGTTTGATGGTAATGAAGAATGTTTGTATGACTTTTTAAGGAGTCCATACTCAGTGTTGGACTGGTTCTGGTCCTGTAAGACTTCCGTCACTTTGATTGACGTCTTAGGCAAGTGAATTGACCACTAAACAGAAGAAGTAGTGTGACCTCTTTCTAGGGATGCTCACCGATTATAGCTCTGCGTGGTTTGGAAAACGAGGCAGAACGAGACAAGCGTCGCCAGGAAACCGCTGTAGGTGGTAGTCCTCAGGAAGGGCCATTGTGACCGTTGAGTGGCAGGCGTGTTGGAAGAGTCGATCCTGGTATGCTGGAAGTCCACTTTGTAGTACAGTATTACAAGGATGAGGTGGGTCAACATGACCATCCAAAAGGAGTAACTCTTGAGCGTCTCCAAAACCGCCGTCCCTGGCAGACGGAGGAGCAACCGCAAGGGATGGCTTGCATCATAGATGTACGTCCCCTCCGGTATCTGGAAAAGGCACAGGCGATTGTTACTGGCTGGCTGGCTGGCTAAGGCTGGAGCCATGATATGTTTTGGAAATGAATGATGAGCCATCAAAGGAAGAGCCCTCGGACGAGCAAGTTTTGGGGTTCTTGGAGACTAATACGCTTTTGGTCCAAGAAACTGATGCTGCAAGTGGTCAAGAAGCAGAACAAGGCACAAGAGCCAAGGACTGTTCGAAAATACTCTTCAATCGCCTACCCTCTTGTGGTAAAAGGTGGCCAAAAAACGTTCAATCCTTTACAAGAATCCTGTCTTCCTTGAGCTGCATACTGAAGGGGCATCAAAGTCCTCTCTTATTCTGAGACAATTGTGCTGAAACCTTCTTGCGTCGGGGTTCAGGCTGAAAGAGCACAATTAATCGATGGCCAGTACTTTGGACTGCCTGTCCTTGCGGCCATATCTGGCACATTGCGCTGTTTAGACTCAGGCCCAGGTGAAAGTATTTCTTTGATGGAAGCCTGCTTCTGCCTCAACTAAAAGCTCTTCCTAGCATGGTGTCAGTCCTCATTGTCTCTGCAGAATCTCATCACAGTCTACCTGTTCTTAAACACTCACTAACGACTCAAATTATTACAAGCTGGATGTAAGCTGAGATGACTTCCTTGTGATAGTGACCCTTAGAGAAAAGATATAGCAATGCCTAAGAGAACAGCGGCTGTGCTCTCCCATCCAAACAGAGACCTCACCAGATTTGCTTGCTTCAAGGGTTTCAGGGCTGCCATGTACTTGTTTCCCTTGTTCTTGTTGAAGAAGTCATGGCCCTCTGCAATCTCAAATGGGATGATGCCGTGATACTTCCCAGCTGCTGGTTTCTCACTGTTGGGAAAGTGGATCATGTGAGCATCGCTCTTCTGGCCCTCCAAAGGTACAGACGCTGGGTCAGCATTCATGATTGCTTGGCGAAAGTTCCCTGCGGAAAACCCTCAACACAAGGATTGAGGTCACGAACTGAGGTCTCGGCCAACTAACTCACAAGGTGCACCCCCTTTCTCGCGCAGGTGCTTCAAAGCTCACAAAACATCGTCGCTGAATATAGTACGATTGGGAGAGACCATGCAAAAGAAGTTCCTGCGAACACGTTCATTTTCCGCCTCCTCTGAGCTGGCTGCTGGCCAGGGTTTGGAGATTCACTCGATCGCGTCTTCTCTCTCAAAATGATTGAATGTGTGAAATGAGAAGCCAAAGCCGCTTTGCCCGCGTGATGCCTGTGTATCCAAACGTTCGCAAGTACAGTACCTACCAATTGGTGCGCAAACCTGCCGGGGGATACGATAGGGACGGTTTTTGCTATCGAACGGATTACAATCGCCTTGCATGTGGATCGACGGCACGATCTGCGCTGAGAAGCGCAACGCAGTCGGTGGACCAGTACAGCATTGGCCCGCGAGTTTGTTTTCAGTCCCAGCCACTACCCAGGTAAATCCTGCCGAGCTGCACGGTATGAATCATGATTCACCGGGATTGGATCCGGATCCGTAACCGGTACCGGGTAGGTGCAAGGTGGTATCGACGGTAGGTACCTAGTATCGTACATGTCAAACCGGCCGGACTCAATAATGCGCATGAACCGGGGACAGCGTACCATAGCTCTGGTTCCGTGGAAGGCAGATCGAGAGCCGGGCCGAGGCGCTTACCATACCTATGCGGATGATCCCCCGGGGACAATAGCGGCCATGGCCCATAAATGTGACCAGTTCACGACCTTTCGGAGTTGAGAGTATAGGGTATCGGTCGACCGTCGTACAGGTTGCGTACGTTGCCAGGTGGACATGATTGTGACATCATCAATGTCATGTTGCACTCTAGCTTGGCACCATGCCCCCTTCTTTGCAAATTGCAACGCAACGTACCGCGCGATGGTTTCCACTTGCTGCAAGTCTTGCATCTTATAGGAAGGATCAAAACTTAGAAAACTTTTGCATTGGCAGCATGCATCGGATCGGGCAATACCAATGTGCCAATCCACAGCTCTTGTGAAATATGTGATTGCTTGCATTTTCCCGCGGTCCTCAGCACTCTCACGCTCGCTTCTGCGGTTCCTCTAAAAATGCAGTCAGGGAGGCAGAGCCAGCCGCCGGCGCGGCCTGCTGGGCGATCTCGCTCCCGCCATCGTCCGAGACCCCCCGAATCAGTCAAGGCCCCCCAGATACAGGCAGGGAGACGCACCCCGAGCACAGGGAATCATGAAAAGCAACCCCCCGGTGCGCAGCAGGGGGGTGGATCAGGCAGGCCGGTCCTGATGGGACATCGTGAGTCGGCCGGGTTGCCAGTTTCCAGGGGTGGGGTGACGGAGCAAGCAAAGGAACAGGGGGTTGTGCGGCCGGAGAGTGCATTTCAGGCCCTTGCACGCAGTGGGGGGGTGGTGGTGGTGGGAGTGGTAGGGGGGGAACGAAATGAGGCTGCACACTTGGTGGAACGATTTCTTCAAAAGCAGGTAAAGGCCCTCCTCTGTGGATCAGCTTTTCCAAATCTTATTTGAATGTTCATTTCTGCCTGGGCATAATCCGCTTGCATTATCGAGATCTTCGATAGAGTCCGCTGAGATAGGGAGATAAGGAGCAAAACGGCGGAGAAATAAGATGGCCATGAAATAATGCTCTGATCTTCTTTTAAGCGCCGCCTCGGAAAATATGTGGGTGCAAACGGTGCAAACATTAGTTGCCAACGGGCATCAACCAATGTGGGCTGCAGACACCTGATCGACAATCTTTGATTCGATTTGTGAACCGGAATGCCGAGAAGCGACACTGGTGTAAGAGAGCGGTCGAATGAGGATTTGCATTGAGCAATTCGCAGTGCAAGGCAAAAGTGCATTTCAGTTTGTCAGCGCCGGTTGTACGGAGCCCTTTCTTGGATCCATTGTAAGACACGTGCGGCTTTTCCATTCGTCCACGTTTGCCCTGGTTCTGCACCGCATGTGTCCCACTCTTGGTCCCCCGCCCACACGAGAGAGCATCATCTTCTCTTCCTCCTTCGTATACATCTGCCCCCACCGCCTCTTCTAACCCTCTACCTTCATTCGCTTTTGCAGATCCTCACAAAGCCGCCCTCAAAGGGTCTTGATGAGTATACCCGTCTAAAATTTCACCACGATATCCAGCGCGGCCTCGTGTTCGTTCACTGCATCGCGGGGCAAGAGCCACTCTCGGAGGAGGGCCGGAAGACTGGTGGCGCAGGCGGCCGGGCAGCTTTCTTGCGGGACTTGCTACTCCTCTTTGTGGTACGACCTCTGCTCATACAGTACAAAGAGTTTATGTATTCGGAAGCTTGCTAGTACTACAGCCTAGTTAGTCTGGGCAGATGGTCGAAGGGCAAAACAAACGCCGTCGTACTTCTGGCATGTCATGTTCGGTGTGCCGAGCTCACGGATTGGCTGATGATTGTTCGATCACTGGCCTCGTAGATAACGAACTCAGATTAAGGATGCTGTTTTGTTCTATCCTTCTGTCCTAGCCCAGGTTGTTGTGGACATTGAGTTTGGGAGTCTTTTATAGTCTGCTGCTAAGTCTTTCTTTCTGCTGTCCGATCCCTCTCCGTTGAAATTTCAGTGTAAGGCAGCTCGAGTACCTTTTCAAACAGCTCTCCGCCCGTAGTCTCTTCTTGTGCTCCTTCCATGTGGCCTACAAGTACTGCAGACAATATGTGGGCATACTGCTTGATAATTTTCTTCCGTCTTTCGGCACCTTCTCCGACCTGCTTCCTTGCGTGATTTTGGGCCCCCTTCTGCTATGTGTGATCGTTCGTGACGTCTGTTTTCCGGACGAAGAAAACTCTGCCCTTGTTTACCCTGACTTCTCGCTTTAAACTATGTTGACGTCATCTGACGTCATCTGACGCAACGCTTCCTCTCTTGCAGTCGTGTGACGTCGTGCTGGTCCTTGAGGAGCGTCCAATGCTCAACCCCCGCCTTCTGCAAACTCTCCGGCTCATCCAATCCGCAAAGACCACACTCTCCCCGTTCCTTTGGTCGATACCATCCCCACACGGCGTGAATTCTCTCCACCCGCCGCCGAGCTCTTCCGGAGAGCCTTTTCACACAGCTCCCTGCCCCGCCTTGCTACTGGTCTTCCCGGATGATGCAACGGAAGAGGAATCGGCATTTGATCGATCTCGGCCGGCGACGACCCGGAGGTTACCCTCTCCGAGGGGCCAGTCATCCGGTTCGGACCGAGACGAGCCCGGTTCGTACCATCCCAGGTCAGCAACCGCGAAACGGAAATTCGCTGCGACGTTGGACGCGCAGGCACGGCTGGTGCTGCGGAAAAGCCGTCTGGCGGGGGGGTCCGGTGAGGGGCGTTTCGGAGGGGGGGATGGGAGGCAGGACGACGGGCGGAGAGACGAGCCGCTGTTCAGAATCGACCCTAACCAGGTCTCGGTTCTCGTCAAGCCACACTTAATCTCCCCAGCGGCCACTTTAGAATCCGTCTCTGCGTTGCTCAGGCAAGCAACGAACCGGTGGATCAGTTCTCTGAACCAGGGGGGTGGTCTGGAAGGGGTCAATGGGCACCCCCACGAAACGATACGGTTGGACCCACCAGTCGCCGGCCCTTGGGAGGAAAGCGTGAGCGTGCTGCTTGAAGGCATCTGGGGGGTTGCGGTTGCAGGCCAGATCGCTAGGGGGGGTGACGTTACGACCGGTGAAAGGATGGGCTTTCGGTCTTTTGACGACTGGAGACTGACGTGGGACTTTCTCCTGCGAAGCTTCTCTGCCGCAGGTTCCGAGAAGTCTTCAGAAGGACAAGGTTTTGGACCGGAAACTGGGGTCAAGGACGGGTTGAGTGGCGGGGTTGCGGGTGTCCGGGACAGATTGACAGACACGGAACTCGCTGCGCAAAATCCGGAAGTCCCTGCAAAAGCCGCTCTGCAAGCCGCGCTGCGTCAGCTGCATAAGGCGGCGGACCCCCTATACGCCTACTCCGCGCGCTTATGCGGGGCGGCACTGCCGGCCGCGCTCGAGGAGTACCTCAATAACCTGCCGGAGCACTACCCGCTTATGGTGCATCAACAACAGCTGGAGAGGGCGGTTTGGGTGATGAGAAATCGAGGAGGGGGCGCGGCTTTGAAGGAGTGGGTGGAAAAGTTGGAAAGTAGATGTGCGAGCATTTGGGAGGGGGGGAGGAAGTCGTGTGCCGCGCGCAGCCTGACCGGGCAGCCGTGCATCTACTGCGTACGTGTTCGCTTCGTTCCGTATTTGTTCGTCTTCTTGCTCCTTGTCTGCTGTCTCGTCCTGAATCTAGGTCGGGTAACGGCGGTCTGTTTGTGCGCTTTCCGTCTTTACCCCACGTTTGAGATTTCCATGTTGAGGACTTCTGATATTGAAAATGAGGTTGTTCGACAACTTGTTGAAAAGGAGGCCACTGGCCATTCTAGCCCCATCCTGCACTCCACAGACTCCGTGCGAACACTGTTCGGGCAGCATTTTTGGACCTATTGGTTATTTCGGCCTCCCTTTACAAATTGACCAGGTTTCTTGCGTATGTTCAAAATTGATGACGGTCTCACCAACCCTCCAAGTCCTTTATAGAAGCAGCTGTTACAAATGACGGCCCAACGGCCGATGTTAAGCAAGGGACGGAAGTGATTGCCTTCCCTGTGCGTTTCAAATTCGCCTTGTGTTTTGTTTTGATTCTTTTCAGAATTTTACAAAGTTCCAGCTCCGCTTTGCAGGAGCACTTGTTATCCGTTGACGGCCCAACCGGCCGACGGCAAGCAAGTTTTAAAAGTATTCCGTTCCTCCCATTTCATGTGAAATTCCATTTTCAAGGTTTCCTCTTCTTGATGAAGTTGCTGACACTCACCTCTGCTTCTGCTTTGCAGGTGCACTCGTTACCTGTCGACGGTACAGCGGGCGACGGTTCCGAGGGCAAGCGGCACTCGAGCGGCTTCTGTTTTCTCCAGGCGTGCGCGTGCGGAAGGTCCCGCAAGATGAGGGAGGACCCGTTTGACGAAGCAGAGGCTCGGGAGGTGTGGCTCCGATCAGTTCCTACGGCTTCAGGGTTCCAATCTGCATTCCGAACAGTCGATTCCGTGGTCACACACTTGTCGTACTTTCAGAATCAAGAATACCTTGGGGATATCACCCGCTGCTCAGATGTTAGGTGCCCTCTTGCACCGGACCTAACGAACTACCGACTGCCGTAACAGTCCTGTCAGCATCTCTCGATCAGTCTAAGTTTGCGTAGCAGGCAACATTCCCATCTTGGAACAAGACTGGTTCGGAGCTCTTCTGTTTTCAATACAGAGTAAGCAAAGATGCCTTTACCTTTCATTCCGGCTGACCGAGAGAATGAAGTCAGTTTTCATACTCAAGATACGTCGTACTCTTCTCGGACAGTCCTGGTCTTCTACCGAAGGCTGCTGCTCGAGCGACTCCGCCCCGGTAGAACACCCCGGGGGATCCCCCTTCCTTGTCGCCAGGCTGGGCAGCGCCCGGGACTACTCCTCGGGGGAGGGACTCGTCCAAGACGGTTTTGTGCCGGGCCACAACCAGCTGACGTCACTCGACTTCCGGTTACCCGCTCGGTTACTGGAGCGCATAAGCGATGGGCGAGATGCGCCGGGGGCCGTAGGAGATGGGCAGAAGGCAGCGGCGCCGTCGGGCGCTAGCGCTAACGCTGAGGGGTCGGTGACGTCCGGTCGTGGGCTGCTGACGTCACCATCTAAGCATGCGAAGCAGAAGCGGGCGGGCGGCGGGGCGGGGGGTGCGGCTGAGTTCCGGGTTTGGGTCGGGTTCGAGTACGAGTGCCCCGCGGGTCATCGGTTCCTGCATAAACCCGTGGTTAAGGAGCCGGTCAGCGAGAAACCCATCGCAGAAGCTAAGTCGGAAGAAGCGAAAGACAACCCTGCTGCCGTCACTCCCCCCGCCAGAACCGGCCAGGAGAGGGGCACCGCAGCGGTTCCGCTTCAGGGGGGTGGGAGACAAGCCAGAGCAGCCCCCCGGGCGCGAGCTAGACGAAGCGGACGGCAGCCGGGGGGCAGAAACGCGCCGGTAGATCTGACGTCGGAAGAGTGGCCGGCGATTGGGGGGAAAGCTGTGAGTAACGAGGCGGAATGGCCGTCCCTTCAGAGCGCCGCCAGGAAAGGGCTTCTGCCGACACCTGGCGCTCGCCCTGGCATGCCACTTGGCGGCGCCAGGAAAGGACACGTGGACGAGGAGGCGGGTGCGTCCAAAACGCGCCCCGGCGCGACGTGGGTGGCGAAGAACGAGAGCGGGGAGAAGACGGACGAGGTCGAGGAGTTCCCTCCTTTGACTTCGGTCCTGGGAAAGCAGGTCTCGGCGGCAACACAAACACCCGGAGATAAGAACCCCGCTGCTGATGTCACAAACCCCCCAGAAGATGAGAAGCCGCCCGTAACGCCTAGCGCACCTGAGGCAGACCTGCCTATCTTGCGGGGGTGCGTCGCATGCCCGCCGGGGGGTCCCGGCACAAGCGAATCGGGAGAGAAGATTGCCCCCCGGGGAGCGCAGCTCCGGCGGGTGTTCTTAGTCACTCCCCCGGGCTTCGCAGCTTTCGGAACGGCCCCACGTGTTATAGTACGAAGCGCCGGAGGCCATTCGGAGGCCTTCAGCAGTCCTGCTGACGTCACTGCTGTGGTTAGAGGTGGCAGGAGCAGCGGAGCGACGAGCTCAAAAGCGGCGAATGATGGAGGAGGGGCGACCGAACATGAGGTAAAAGGTGTTGCGGGGTCGCCGGAGGAGCGGACTGCCTCAAAGACGGCAGCGGAGTCTGAAGTGACGGGAACAGATTCTGCCAGCGTGGGCAGTCGTGCTTCGCAGAGGGAGGTGACGCCACTACCTGCTGACGGATTTTTCAGCTTGCTTCTGCTGTTTATCCACATTGCAGAGGGGAATGGGAGCGGCAATCAATTGCTCTTGGGCAGTGAAACGCAGGCGGTGCTAAAGGCGGGTTCAGGGCTGCGTCTGAGATTAGCGGTACATTGACGGTAGAGTGAAAAGGGGAGATGATCAAAGTTTTATAGGCCCCTGCTACGTGGCACCAGTCCCTCGTTTGGCCATGGGACAGTGTATTGTAGACAGCCGCAAATGCAACGAGATCAAAGCAAGCGCTTTTGCAGTTTCAAAGCTCTCATTTCTTTCAAGTACAATGCTCTTGTCAGCTGTACAGGGTTGGTGGGAGCATGTGAGTAGGCTCTTCATTGGACCCGCACACCCTTTGATCGCATGTAGCCTGTCACTGAGAATCATGGATAGTGGTTGTACATTCTTTTCTTTCGACTCGTGACCAGCTTGACATGCGGCGCAGATCGGAAGGGACGTAGACTTACCAACCTGGCGTGTACTCTAAATGTACCCTGGCGTGTACTCTAAATGTACTCTAAATGTCTCGCTCGTACGTCCAGCAAGGAAAAGTTCCTTGACGCGTTCCTTGCCCGGTCGATTTACAAGAGTATAATGCCTCATGTATACGTCATTGTGGCCACGTACGCTGCAGTGCATGCATATGCTTTCTGAAGAGTGTACAGCATCTGTATAGCTAGAATCAGCTAGCGCGCCCAACCCCAGGGGCCGACGCGCCGGCGCGCTCATTGAAGGTGCTGGCACATGATCCTCTGACTGAGCGACTCGTCGATCAAAAGCCACGACTGAGTCACATACGGCGTACACAATTTGAAGACTGAGAGCCATGCGACGTCGAAGCGCATGGGCCGCTTGAACATCAAAACTTAACAAATGCAACGCCCGCCCGGCTTCGTCGCATGCTCCGGACGCCCCAGATTGTGATTGCGGCCGAGCAGCAAACCGCGTGTTGCAGCGCGTCACATATGCTTGTATGACATTCGTTGCAACGTCATTCGTTTATACAAGGTCATGCAAGCAGAAGGTGGCCGCAAGCAACATCAACAGAGTCAGTGTCCTTGAGGTCTCATCGATCATGGCTGCTGACGTGAATGGCAGGCCGGATTAATAGTTCACGACAAGGTGCGACGATACAACGGGTCGCCGATATAGCACGCGACCACGAGGAGAGGCCCCATTCGTCTTCAACGTTGCGGGCTACGAAGGTAAGATAGAAGAAAAGCCACCAGCTCAGCATTCAAGCTATTGCCGAGAAGTGCGTACTGCTGCTTCAAGGTCACGTGCGCTGGAAAGCTGAAGCTTGTCGGAAACGAGTGGAAGTTTGCGACCTGCGAATAAGGGAATTTCGTTAGCTCAAAGCTAAAACAGGGACATCAACGTGCAGCTTGTGCACCCAACACAAAAACTCACCGTTCATTCATCAACTGAGCATATTGATAGCTCGTTGAGAGGGCAGAGGGCATTGCTAACGTGGTCAGTTCAAGCAGTATTAGAGGAAAAGGGACAACGGAAGTGAAAGCAAGAGTTCGACCCATACGGGATGTAGTGACTAAAAATAACGACAGAAATGAACCGACTGTGGATTTCAACTCAGAAGTTGCTGCCTTACAAGCTTGTCTGCGAGGAAGAAAGATAAGCAACCGCTGCTCCCCTGCATATCCCTCTCACAAACACCTCTTCGCAGCCTCCCTTATAAGACATTTCTTGGTGCACAAACTCTCCTTCCACCAACAATTCCGATAGGATGTCCCTGAACACCTTCGGAGCGATTGGATTTTGAGAAGCTCTCAAAATGGAAATCGTCCGCACCTCGCGCGGCGTGAAGAACCGCAGATTCAGCGCCGCCAGGTCCACCAACCGCCCGCTCTCCTGGTCAAACTTCACCCCCCCGTTCACGATGCCCTTCTCGTCCGCCACGTGGCGGTCCTGCCAGACGCCACGTGGCGTCGTCGCCAGGATCGACCCGGTTCCCTTCGCAAACTTGACGTAACTTTTGGTGAAGCAGCAGCAACGCGTCGAAAGCGGGGTCACGATGTCGAACGCGTCGCCCCACCGCGACACAATCGCTTCTGGGACGCGGACGCTCTCAAATTCGGACGCAGAGAGGCTTTCGAGGAAGTCCGACACGGGCCGTACCGGGGGGCTGTCCGAAAGACGCAGCGGAGCGTCTTCTGGGGCTTGACAGTCTGGGGCTTGGCAGTCGACGGGAGAGGGGGGGAAGTTCGAGTGGTTTGGGTTGGAACGAGGAGGTTCAGCTTCTGCAGTTTGGCAGTCGGCTGTTGTGGGTGGGAAAGGGGGGGGAAGGCTTTGGCGGGCATGCGGCGCTTCGGTTGAGGCTAACTCTAGAAGCGAAGTCTGCAGATCCCCAGCCATCGAGCGGCTCTGCTCCGTCGAAGGGTTGAGGTTAAGAAGTGGATGTGAGGCTAGGTCGGGACCCTCTTCGTCATTTCCGGACGTGTTTGCGGGTTCGGAGGAGCTCGGGTGCTCGGATGCTGTGCTACTTACTGAGGGGAAGGGGAAAGGGCGGTCGGGAGACTCGTCTCTGAATTCGGGCGGCTCTGCGCAATTTGGATTGCTCATGCTGGACTCCGGGTGCTGGGAAGCTATGGGAGTTGCTGGTCCGAAAAGGGAAGGCGGGTCAAAATTCTGTTCCTCCGATCCGGACGGTTTTGTGGATTGAGAAGAGCGCCGCTTCGAATTTGGATGCTCGGAAGCTATGGGAGTTGCTGGGTTGGAGGGGAAAGGGCGGAAGGGCGGCCGGGTTTGAAAAAGCGCTGCCGGACTGCGGACGATGGTGCCAGCGAGAGAAGTGTCCGGGAAGGGCGAGTGCTTGCTCTTCGCCTGCAGTCAAGAGACATCGGGATCGTGTTTGAATTGATATGCTGGCAGAGCGGGGAAGCTTGTCGGCCGAAATTGCCTGCAGCACGTGGACGTCAATTTTGCTGACCAAATACTGAAGTCTGAGCATCTGCTTCAATCACCTACGGAGCTTTGACGACTTCGCTCCCCGTGAGGCAGCGGAGCAACGAGGAAGAAAGCGTGACATTTCGAGTCGGCCATTATAGTAACTGTCCAGAAGGACATAACCTGAGGCCGGTCTGAGGAACACGAGCGCTATTTAAGTTGCGAGAAGGACGACGTTACGCATCAACCTCGAACCGCCATCGCTCGGCCGTAAGGTACCTCAGATGCGCAGAATGCGTCTGTACGGCATCCAAGCATTCAGAGCTGGCACAGCGCGCACTGTAAAAGTCCAACAGTTCTCTTTTGACATACTCGCCATAGCTCGCCGCTTTTGTCGGAATATCTGAGAGACAGAGTATACGCTTTCTCAAACCCTTGTTTACAGCATGAGCAAAGAGACTCAGTCGAGGTGAAAGCAGATTTTGCGAAAAGGCCGGTTTCCGCTTGCTCACCAGACAAAAGTAGCGCGGGCGCGAGTACGGGATGCCGAATTGCAGCGGGCTGAGGATGAACTCCTGGACGGCAAACTCCGCGTCTGAGAGCGTCCGCAGAAGCTCGTCATGCGTGATCGAGGTCTGCAACAAGGTGAAAAAGAAACTGAACTTCTGAACCTCTAAACCTCTAAACCTCTGAACCCAACAAAAAAGTCTCAGGGTTCGAAAGTCGATTGTGTTCTACATCAGTCCGTTCGCACCCTCCTCCACTCAAAGTGACCGCCACCGGGCATCTTGAGAAATATGTACAACAAGAAGCGGTACAATCTGCTTCACAGGTTCTTGAAAAAAGTGCACCTACTTTCCAGGCTGCCCGACTATGTGCTGGGAAGAGTTCGGCAAGCGACAAGTGGCGGAGGGGGAGCACACACCTCCGGCCTGCGCATCCTGGATGATTGATCTCAAAACATTGCAATGAAAGAAGGATCTGTCAGTTTCAAGTTGAACAAAAAGCACAGTCCTGATTGGCTCTACCTGCGCTCCAACACACGGGTACTCCGTCTCATGCACCTTTCGAGTCTTCATCCTTGTAATACATGCAAAAAGCCGACTCTTCGAAGACAGGCTGGGGAACGCGCGCCCACCTCAAATCCCACCACGTTTTCAACAAGAATGTATGTCGGGGGGTGCTGGAGCAAAGGGATCCGCTGTAGCATAGCCAGGAACGAGGTGGCCCTCCCGTCCCCCGCGTCCTTCTTCAGCCCTGCGGGAGCACGAGAAGGATGACGTGACATCACGGAAGGGGTGACGTCAGAACACGGGAAGCATGACATCAGCACGCGTCTCTTCTTCTGACGGGTTCGGACTGGATGAGGGATGCGTGGGTGGAACGATTGCCTTCTTTCTCATGACGGGAAACGAAATGAAGGTCTGGATCATAATACCAGTGCACAGATGTATCGGAGGCTGCGAACTTGTTGATTCAGTTACTAGGGATCAGATCTTGAATGAATGGGTTCTCGACAACCAAATCCTATAAGGATATCGTCGGAGCCGTTCCGACATGGTTCTATCCACCAGAGAGCAAACTGTATCTGCTTTCTTTCTCCGCCATCAGGACCGATTGATCACTCTCGTCAACCCTCAAACGCAACATGTCCCATGCACCAGCAGCCCCTATTGGAATTTTCAATCAGCCAACTTGGCCCGCCTGTCTTTCTGGACTACACGGTTCGTTTCGAACTTGGGAACATCGTAGGGACCTCACCTTGCCTGGTGTATGGTTGGCACGGAGGCGCCATGAGCCACATGTCGGCCCGGTATGCGTCCAGCTCGCGCGCATTGACCCGGGAGACGTTGCCCTCGCTCGGACGGTGTCCGAAGTTGTGCTCGTACACATCGTTTGCTACTTCGTTGATGTCAAACGCCTCGACGACTATGAACGGGAGGCCGCTCAGTTGCAGGGCGTAGCGCTGCAAAGAGCACAAAAGATTTTCTCCTTCTCCTCTTTCATCTGTTCGTCGGTTGTTCTTAACTGGTGCTTTCGTCAGCTCTTTCGTGCCAAGATTCCAATAAGCTCTTCCAAAACTGTTGAAGGTCAAAGGAAGGAACCTGGAATGCAAGCTGCTTGTGAAAGCGATGCACCTTTGGGTCTTAAGCAACTGTCACCTGAGCTGCCAAACACTGTCCCTGTATAAAATTAGAATGGACAAAGTCTCACCAGAATGGTGAGGCACTCACCATGCCCCCCACTCCGCTGTAGAACTCCAGGACTCGCAGCCTTCCGCTGTCCATATTCTGATCCTCAGCCATATTTGGCTTCATGCCCTCGGTCGTCTTCATCACCTCAGGAAGACTCTACTCTTATTAGCTGTCCCCACGTTTTGCCGTCACTTAATGCTCTTCGCAGGGAACTTCGACACAGACCTGTGAACACTCTGGTCCAAAAGGGCCTGTACAGCCTGAGCGAAGTATGAAGATCGACTTGAAGACCATCGAAGGCTTGCACGTTGACAGATGGACAACAGAATACTAAGAGTCGCTGAGATTGATGCAAGCTCTGACTGTCAATCAATGATCCAATGTAACCTGCTCAATTGTCAAGGTAAAAAAGATCCGTATAAACTTTAGAAAGATCGCTGAAATGTATAACCACTTCTTTGCCAAGTCCCTGCTATTATAAGGCTGCTACTTTTTTATGTACAAAAGTGATAGCGACTATCGCCTACGGGGGCTAGCTAGTCTTGGCTCTAGGTGGCGGCTGTTCTCGAGCGAGCTTCCTGGAGAAGTATACCTGCAGAAAGAGAGTCGCAGACGTTGTTACAGTCCTGAAATCTCTTCAGCAGAAGCACTTTTTGAAGCACACTCAACAATGCAGTGGATAGCTGAAACGAATGCAGTCTAGATGAAAGATAGATACTCAAGTCTGATGCCTCGGAGTGAAACTGGTCTCGGCGCAACATATCACAATATGAATGGGAAGCTCTCCGCACTAACCACCAATGATAACTACCACCCTTATGCATGGGATTGATATCAGCCTACTTTTTGCTTCTGTGCTCATTGCCAAAAGTGTCTCCCGTCTACAAGAACAGTACTTCAGACAGCGCATCAGCATTGGATCATTGCTTTGCTCAATTCCCAAAAACGGGACAGCAGGACAATCAAGGAGTTTCTGAATGAAGATAGGTCTAGTGCTATTCACGAGATGCAGGTGATGACGAGCACTCACTAGCCCGACGATGTGAAAGAGGATTATAATTCCTACAAACACTAGCGTGTAATCCGGGCCCGCCTCCTTCTCCACCTTTTGTCGCGGCATCTTTTGTGAGTCCTGCAGACTCCCTGTCTGAGATGTTCGTGCAAGAAACGACGCTGCCCCAATGAACGGAATCAGCGCTGATTCACCAACTGCTGGGGTCAATGCGCCCTGCTTTTCACTTGCATGTCAAGTCGAAACGATTCAGAGTCAGAGCTGAGACTCAGACTCAGAAGTCAGAAGTTCGGAACTTTACTAATAGTAGCAGATGGGAAAGGTTCAATCAGCGGTAACGCTCCACCGTTAGCACGGGACCCACCTGCTCGTTCTAGTTGCATGGACGGATCGGTCCCCAGGAAAAATTTCATGCATGTGAGTCCGACCTGATCCTTGACCTGATCACACCTCTCCGGAAGGAATCTCATAGCCGGACAGCCGGTACAATAAAGGATACCTAGGCCTCCCACCCTGAGTTGTGTGGCAGGGGCCCGACGTATAGGCCACGGACAATCAACCTTTGCGGACTTCCCACGGACTTATGCTTCTAAAAAGACGATGTCAATAAAACGATAAACATGAAGGATCACCTGCGAGCTTTCGGTCACCGCAAAATCAACCCGTATCAGATGCTGATTTTGTGGCTTGAATGCATGTGCACTTTAACGCCGGGTTTGCTATAATGGCTCGATCATAGTGCATAAAAGCCTAGGTAGGACCTAGACCAATACAATATGGTGAGAACGTATTTATTGACTCGAGGGAGTAAGCTGCTGCATTCAAATACCGCAGTCGGCTTGCATGAGGTGGCGGCTTACGAATCGACTGAGTCCAAGTTAGTGCGGTACATAAGGTTACTAAATCATCCAAGGCTAGCCGTACGTACAAACTGGTCTCCGACTACCTAGCTTCTCAAAGCAAAAGATCCTCATTAACCTGCACTTTTGACGGATTTACCAGTCCTTGACGTACCCATTCTCGCAGTTGACAAGCTAACAACGGGCAATGACTACCTTTAGCAACTGAAGTGCCGATACTGACCAAAGAAGTAGACGCGAGCCTTTGATTTGATGCATAAATGAGCGCACACTTTTGCCAACTACCTCCTTGTACAGTTCCGTACTTGACGAATTGGACGAGAACCTTCACTTCATATCCTTCTTCATACCAGAACTTTAAGCACCTTGATATTAATCATATAAAACGTCCAATTAGTTATCCCTGTCTAAGCGAGCAGCTAAGCTTCCGCGGCCCCCACTTCGATTCGATGGCTGTTCAGTTCAAACTTTCTGCAGGCACAACATGGACACAGGAGCTTGAGAAAGAGCAAACGGGGACTGGAAGCAAGGCTTGCCGGAGCGTACCCTGACCCTGACGGAAGGCAGTCTGTGGTTCAAAAGAGTGCACACAACGAATCAAAGTTGGAAAAAAGGGCAGATTGCACCATGGTGCAGGGCTGATACGTCCTTGCACATTCCACGAGGAAAAACAGCTGTGGTTTTGCAAGCGTTTCAGCGGACCGATTGCCGGCAAGCCTGGCGCTCATCCTGTCGTTCCCTTCTCTATTTGGAAAAAATACACCAAAGACAGGCGTGCTGCGGGGTAAACGGCGAAGAAGCAGCCACATTTTCAAAGACAAAGCTATCCGCTCACCTATGCTATGACGAGGGGGCTGGCGATTCCCAATCTTCGATGCCGAGCTCCGCTCTCTTCCTCTTCATATACTGCAGGGCTTCCTTTGGGGTCATCGTGGGGTGCCCGGGGAAGAAGTAAGCATGGAGCCTGCGACGGAAGAAATTTTACTACGTCATACTAATCGGGGGCTCCTGAAACGAGGATGATGAGCGCGTTGTTTGGAGTCGGCTTTTGATCCGCTTTTTGAGGAGGAGATGCCGCATTGCGTGAAATTCAAGCCTAGCAAATAACCTGTTCATAAGTCGGGTGCCAAGATACTGAGGCATCGTCCTGTACTGAGCAAAATCGTTGCTTTGGTCCTCCGAAAGAGTACCGTTTCAGGTTGTCCGTGGCAAATGTCTCGGTCCCGAAAAGGCGCCTAGAAGCAAGATTTTTAAGCAGCGTCACACAGACGAACAAGAACTCAAGATTGAACCTTGTCAAGTAGATTTACAGGCCTATACAATAATCTGGCTAGCTCTAGGGTGTCAGCCTGGGTCACCAAATAGCCCCTCCGTTCGCTTCGGAACCAAATTCGCAGAGCTGAGCTTCGCGAGAAAGCACTGGATGGGGGATCCAGAAGATGCACGCGCCCGACTGCCAGATAAATGGATACAGATAAATTGGAGTCTTGTTATAGGACTGACGAAGCCCTGGTGTTTTCTGATGATTCAAACAGGTTGGAAGGATCGAGCAGCCTACATGATGTGGAGCCACTTGAAGATGAAGAACTGGCTGCCAACGGACATGAGCTGCTCGAAGAAGCTCTTCCGGCGCTCGCCAGACTCGTTGGACCGTGCGAAGTGGGCCTTGTGTTTGTAGCCTGCAGACGGGAGAGGCGTAGACAAGTCAGTTCGCGTCATAGCCCTGAGGATGCTCTGGCAAAACACCTTATTTTAACACCGGTTGAGTCTCAAATGAAGTGATGTAGGTGGACGTTCCTTGTATGGAAGTTCTTTTCTATTCTGAATTGAACGTACCATTGCAACCTTGGATTCCTGTCATGGCGTGTCTCATTCAACACGAGTCGCGGTTTGTAATTGCAGTCCACACAGCTCAAGAAAAGGTGCGGCACTGCTTTCAAACAGACAGGCAAAACGACATACAAATCTCTAAGGGAGCTTGTTGTCTCGATACCTCAAATAAAAAAAGTCTCAGTGCAACTGCTGGATAGACGAAGTCGTTTCCTCTCCTTTGAAGCACTTTGAAGCCTCAAGCTTCGCAAGCAAAATACCATTCCGACCGGGCCGCTTACCAGTCGTCTTTCGGATGGTCGACAGCAGCAGCTTCACTTTCGGCTTGTCCTCTTCGTGCCAGACCCGGCCCTCCGCGGCCTGTCCGATGGACCGCATGAAGCGCCACACGTCCTCCCGCTTGTCGAATACCGCCCTGCATAAACCAAGCAAGAATGCGGTTCCTTTTGATGTCGAGTAGACCCATGCTTTCTTCCAGCGGTCACACGTCAGATCAATCAAATCTGACGTCATTTCAACAGACCTACTTGCGGCGTCGACGGTACGGTTCTGTATCGTTGCTGACTTCTGCCGACCGCACCGTCACACTTCCTCGATCAAGCTGGTTTTATCCCCGAGTACAAGTCTATACTCTCCGCTTTACTGTTAAGACCGAGGCCCTCAGGTGTCACCATTCGCCGACGTCAAGGATTGTTATCGAACACATTTACGTCGTCACCGAACGGGCACGCATACCTGTACAGATTTTCCGGACTTATAGCAGGCGGCGCGGGCGTCTCGTACTTGCCCGCCTTCCGCAGCTTCTCGTAGTCCTGCGACGCCTGCTTGTCAATCGCCGCATGTCCATAGTCAATGATCTTGAAATGCAAGCCCCGAAGATCGACACTGCGGGGAGACAAAGAGGAAATCAGCATCTGGCTGCTCAGACTTCTTGAACGAGAGTAACAAGCGTCCCGCTGCAAACAAGAGCGGCCAGATTCGTGTTGTTGTCAAGGCAAGGCAGGGAAACATGGCTTGGGGTTGCAATCTCATGACCTTGCTGAGACTTGCACACGTTTCTCTGTACTCAGGGTGTGCCAGTGTGTACCATACCAGAATCAAACCTTTTACCTGATCCCAGTGTTGACTGACACTTAGCAATTTGCGTATCCTTGACGACCTTCGACCCCTTGATGACTTTGCACTCACGCTTCTCGGGCCATTGAATCGAGTTTTGACGCGGACAACGTATTCCTTGCGATAAAGCCCACCATTCAAAGGGCGGGGCGCTCACCTGCTTCCGAACCTAACCTCATCCGAGTCTGTCTCTGCGTCTCCAGCCTCCCCCTCAATTCTGTGCTCCATCACGTTGCGGATATGCATATCCCCATGCCTGAACCCAATTGCATTCCGAGCTCTGTCAAGAGCCTCGAGCGCCTGGATCAGGAGCCAGTCGTTTATGAAATATCACATCACACCATGCTTGCCAGCAGGTTTCAACATCAGCCTTCAATAATCTTACATTCGATCTTGAAAAGACTACTGATGATCAGGTATTTGTCTGTTCAATACTCTTCCCTCATCACTGATGTTTTTCGACCAATAAAGGGAGAGCGGATGGTCTCGTATGCTGAAAGTGCTTTCACATTCGCCTCCCGAACCTGCAGCTTGGACACGCAAAAGGATGTAATTCTCCAAGCTAGTCTTGGATCGGCATTTGGACGGAAAGTACTCGTGATGGAGAAACATCCGTCATCGACCATCTTTGAAACTAACAAACATTAACTTGCAACACTGCCCTTCTCAAACCAGCGTACAATCATGATGGTACAGCCTAGGAACCGCCATACTAAGAAGAGGATCGGCTCCAGGAACAAGCACACAATTAAAGAGCATAACTTCCTACCTGCTTGACCATCTCCAGGATGTAATCGATGTCGTTGAACTTCGCATCATCAAAGCGGTCCATGGCACCCTTCCCGTTCAGCTTCTCCAAAATGATCCCCAGGAGCGACCCATCCTTATCGAGCACTTTGGACCCGGTTTGCATAAACCCTTGTAGGAAACCGTCGTCCTCATTCAGCAGGTTGAGCTTCCGGCCGATGGCCCACTCGCGCTCCAGCAAGACCAAGTCGCCCGTTACTTTGGCCTTCAGCTTGTGGTGAAGCAGCTTCAGGACGCGCCCTGTTACAGCACAACAGCACAGTAAGTCCTTGGGTAAGGAAGGCATGATTGTCGCGGAAGTTGAAGTCGGACATAACTAAGAGTGAGGATCTGTCTGCGAAGGTAGAAGTTGGAAACTTGAAGCTTAGATGCCAGTGTGGATTCTGATCGCGGGAGTGGCTGTTGGCGGATCCAAGACATGACTGGCATTGTGAATTCTGAGCTTCAATGTCAGGTGGGTTTATGACACATCGCATCGGGCGTGGCTACAATTAGATGTCGTCAAGCGTGTCTCCTAATAAGAATGATGAAAAGACTTGTCTGATCTTGGCATTGTCAACAGCGGGCAGAGCAGCACTGACATGTGTACTGCTCTGAACAACGGTTCAACTGTGAGTTCTATAGCAAGCCTCTGGTTGATCGCCTTCACTGAGATAACACGGTGGCTGCTATGTTATTTTGTTACTCGGAAGTTACTCGGAAGCTGAAAGAAAGAATTGACAGAATAATTCTCACAAGAATTTGTACGAAACTTGGTACAAAACTTGGTGACAAGCCTCCCCTCCTCATCTCATTCTGAGAGTCTCAACGCTGGTAAGGCTGAAAAGGTGCCAACAAGGCAGACCTTCCATATAACAGAAAGAATTGACTTAAGAGTATCAAATTCAGCAGCTGTTGCTATCCTTATGAGGACACACAAAGGCATACCTGCATCTTTTCCATCTTTCCCTTCAAGTGCGTACACAGCACCCTGCATTCCTTCCCCAAGTTGCTTGCCCAGTTTCCAGCCATTGGCAAGAATGCTCCCACTTTCTTCATTGAACTCTGGCAAGACCTGCACTTCATCCGGGTCAGTGGCAGTGTTTGGGGTCCTGACACTCGATTTGATGTCTCTTTGGGTGACGCCGTCAACCATACTCTTAGCTGCAGCTTGTTGTGACGGCATGGCGATGTCGTTGCTACTCCTGTCTGCCAGTGCAAGGTTTCGTGGTTGGACATTCGAGGCCTCCGCAATCCAGGGAGATGATAGGACCTCTGCAATGCCCAATGCCAGCAATGGTGAAAGCGAGGCTTTTAGAAGGGAGGGCTTGAGCCACCTCATCGTCGTCCTCAAACGGCCTACCGCTAGCTGTCCTAGCGCAGCTCCATTCTGGTGCCAGCGAAGGCGAACTGAGCACTTGAGTTCAGGAAAACCAGTGCACTACAGCTTGCCAAGTGGCAACTTCAAGGGTCCACGTGGCCACAAGGTTGCGTCACCAGAGAAATCAGTTTAACAGGGGGTCCGATGCGCTCGCAGAAGAGCCCCACCCTTGACTGTGTTGGACTCTAAATGCTGATGTCAGGCGCTCAGTCAGATGCACAGCTGGCGAGCTGCACTGCATGCGAGGATTTGACACTGAAAGAAGCCCTCAGCCGCGGATTGCCGCAAGACCTCTTGTTGTGTCAGAGAACGCTCTTCCTTTGGTTGCAAAGTGGCGCCATTGGCTTTCGCTTCTTGTTGATCAGAGCTGCGGTTGTCCAGCTCTAAAATTGCTAGGGTCATGCTGGGTGACACTGGGAGGAAGGGAGGAACTTGGTAGGTACTTGTAGAGCGCAGCAGCAGGAGGAGCCATCCAATTAGCTGCAAAACGGCAGGGTTAAATAGCACGCAGCTCCCTCCTAGGCTCGCAATGCAGGCGCTCCACAACCGCTCCATTGCATCCCACGCCGCCCATCAGAAGCCGTATGCAACCTGGAAGTCCGCAGAGACCGTAGGATGCATCAATCCTAGCCTGTCAATTCGTAAGATCGTAAGCGCATCCCGCAAATCCCATCATCAGAGCCCCTGTTCCGTCGGACTTAGAACAACTGGTTACTCAGCCGTCTGCTCTCACAGGAGCAATCACCGCCTTGCCTTAAAAGGGAGACATTACAGGAGAAGACACCCGTTTGTGATCAGAGACCTTGACTTCCCTCCACCTCCCAAGCCTGTGGTTCAGACCATTCGCTACATTGGGAAGAGGATGTCAGGCAACCGAGTACACGACTTTGCTTCGAGTCCCCGGTCAGTCCTGCACGAGGACATTGAGAAGGGACCTAAGGATGTGGTGACAGGAAGGAGGATCAAGAAGAGCTATAGGACCCCCAAAACTGCAACAGACCCTGAGGAAATTCAAGTCACTGGAGACTTTGTGGATGAGACTGGCCATGAACTGGCCAACGGATGGGTGCTGGGAAAGAAACTGGGCCAAGGGATGCAGGGCTCCATCTACTTGCTCAAAGACAAAGAAGGAAATGATGCAGGTGAGAGTTCCACTTCAGCCCTGCTCCACCCCATGCACAGAGGAGCAAGGCTGGCGATTGAGATGAAGAAGCTTATCTGACATGCAAGATGAGTCTGAAACTGCAGTACTCCGAAAAGTTGTCCATATTGATTTGGTTTGGACCAGGATAGGCTGCTGGGTAAGCAAAGAGGTTGGCGCCTTTCAAATGTGCATGCCTATCTTTGTCGCCCTAAGAATCTGGCCTCTTCACTTGCTATCTTTCCGGTTTGGATTGCTAGGAGATTAACCAAGGTGGTCATTGTCTGCAATTTGCAATCATAGGATTGAAATGTGCCCCGTCCCAATACAGCCAGTTGCAGAGAATCCTTGAAATTCTAGTGTGCCAGAAAGGACTTTGAAGCAACTTATTTCCTTATTTCCATTTCCAAAGCTGATTTCCAAGTTTGAATATTGATGGATCCAGGAATGGACTCAAAGTGACTGCCAACACCAGTTCATTGTTTCTCTGTGCTTGTCAGCCTTCATGTCCTTGGCATTATTTCTCTCTTGGCATCAGACACTTTCTCTAGAGCACAGAAATGTCAATACTTTGGGAGGTATTTAGCCTCCATATCTCCCTGGATTGGAAGTACAACAATCTGCAGTTCTGCAGTTTACATTTTTCCCCACCCACCGCAGGCCGGGTCTTCAAGGAGGTAAACAACAAGAAGGCCGGTAAGGCGACTGGGAATCTGGTGGGACTGGAGCGCGAGTGGGCCATTGGGCGGAAGCTCAACCTGCTGGACGAAGATGACGGTTTCCTGGAGGGGTTCATGCAGACGGGGTCGAAAGTGCTTGACAAGGACGGGTCCTTTATGGGGATGGTGCTGGAGAAGCTGAACGGGGGAGACGTCCTGAAGCGCCTTGAGGACACCAAGTTCAATGACGTGGACTACATTCTGGCCATGGTCATGCAGGTAGGGTGGTCAGCCAAACTGTTTTGGTTTCAACAACAAGAGTCAGGAGGAAGGACAGTCCTGCCAGGAAGGGCTGAACGGAGTCCTTTTAGAAGCCTGTTGAGGGACCCTTTCTTAGGGCAGGAAGGTACGGTATTGGGTTACTAGCTTTCTCAGGCGTTGGAATAGACTTGAAGTAAGGCCTGCATCCTCGACCTCTCACTTATCTCTCATGCAAGTGCGCTGCTCTGGCCTCGCTTTGCCCTAGACCCCTAGCTTTTCCCTACCATCACCGCGAACGTTGCATCGCTTAAAATCTTCCCCTCCTACCTATCTTCTTTGCAAACTGAGCTGGCACAAGCAGAAAAGAGAACAGAGTGGTCTAAGGGTAACTTGAAATTGCAGGTCCTCAGAGCTTTGAACCGCGCGCACCACGCCATTGGTTTCCGGCACGGCGACATGCGCATCCACAACGTGATGGAGCACTTCGTCACAATGGAAAGCAACAAGGGCGACGAGCCTGCTGGGCCAGACAACTTCGGAGAAAGGTGCGTGCTTTATGTTTTTCCTTTACAATTGCTCGCTGCAGGATCGTGAAACCTTGTTGCTGCCAAAGTTTAAGGAACTTCAAAGCTGGCTGCTATCTTCAGCAAAAGGTGGTGTTAATTTGTTCTCTCTTGTATGGATGCGTTTGGCAATATCGAGGGGTCCGGCACAACGACGCTACGAAGAGCTTCTGAGCTCAAAAGTTGAGTGCAGGGTTGACATTGCGCTCTCATTCATTCCCTGGGCTCAGTCAAATCCTCGATTCTAAGACGGCAGCTTCGACCTTAACGCATTCGAATGTCATTCGACAAGTTGTTGGCTAGCTTTGCATCTCCTTGCCAGAGCGTACTCTTTTAGAATGAAGAAAGGAAAAAGAATGTGTCAACTGAAACATCGGGTCAGCTAAAACCAGGGTCAGCTGAAATCAGCAGCAAAAATGTGACTTAATTCGACAGAGTCGACCTGCGTGGGCTGCACTTCAAGATCATCGACTACGGGCACGCAGTTGCGGAGCACGAGAAGGCGACGGACCACGACAAGAGGCACAAAGCGCAGAGGTTCCACATGCCAAAAATACCGACGTTCAGCCTTGAGAAAGTCTACCGGTGAGCTTTTCTTTGTCTGTGGTTAGGTCTCAGGATTAGGATCTTCGGTCAGACTTGGTCTGAAATCGCGCAAATTGCTGGGAGATAACAAGAAACTAGGAGGAACCGAACGCGTCTTTACAATTTGTCTTCATATGTTGGGAAACGAGTTCGGGAGATCAATGTTACGCCTATTCAGCTATCACCCTAAGATTGCCCACCTGGATTGAGCCGCTGTACTCACACTTTCCTTGAAAGTCTGAATGTTGCTGGTTGACTGCGTGACCAGCTGCAAGTACCTGTGACAACGTCGCCAAAGCGTCCAACGTGAATCCAGAGATCACAGCCAGCCCCACAAGCTTTCGTATGTGCATGCACAAGTTTCAGAATAGGGATTCGTTTTTGTATACTTATTCCTAGCCTTAGGGGTCTCTACCGTCCGGAACCGTGGGCGTCTTGTCAATCGGTTCACATTCAGGATTCTGTCCGCTCGTGGGATCTGTGAATCGTGGCCTTTTTACCGTCGATCCTCTCTGACGTCGTTTCGCCCTTGCTGCCGTCAGCTGGGTGTTCCGTGAGAAAGGCGACGTGTGGCGCTTCATGCGCTCGATCGGACAAGCCTGTGAGGGGCGGGTGTGGCGCAAGCAGGACGCGTTGAAGGTCAAGCTACTGCTACGGCTCATCTCCAAGACCACAGGTAATCATACGCCTTTCGTGGACAATTCTAGACCTTTGCGGCAGAGTGAATAGTTTTCTTGGGAATGTTCAGATCCGGCTTTCTTGGCGCAAGGAAGCCGGGCTGAAGGTGAACACTGTCGCTGCTGCTCGTCACGAAAAGCACACGTAATTTCGCAGGACCTTCCCTAAAAGATGAGTTGCTTCTGTAGTTTATCAGCTATTCCGGTGAACAACGTCAGAATCAAAGTGCAGCTCATTCTCGAACACACAGCTCTTATTCGAGGACATGTGGGGCTAGGGACCGGGCCAACAAAGCTACGACGCATGGGACTCTGCGGAGCAGATTCCACTGCTTCTTTTGACCAAGACACTTCTGTTGGATCATAACTTACTTGAACTTTTCCGAGCCGTGCATTTGAGGTCCGAGTAGTAGTGACAAGGTGGCCGTGATTTGAGCAAAAGACGGTTGAAGCTCGTCAATCTGCGTAAGCCTCTAGGCACTCTTGGTTGAAATTCATTCCTGTTGACTTGCGAGAACACTTTCGAAAAAGTGTAAGAGAGGCGGACCTCTGGTCGTTCCGAAATTATGCAATTTGACTGGTCCTTCGACCAAGATCGGAAGATAAGAGCCGCCCCCGTGCGCAGTGTCAATGTGCGCAACGCACCCTCGCACAACGTATGCGCCTAGATGTGTGCGCTATCCTTTAATCTCCCATTTTCTAAGAACGGATGCACACACGAAGAAAGGGGAATGAGCGAGGAAACGAAGACAGGTCACTGTTCCGTCCGACACGGCCTGAGCTCACGGAGGTGTTCTCTGTTGCTTCTGTACAGGTTACCACCACAGTGTGCAGTTCGCAGACTCGAAAGAGTCGGGCGAGCAGAAGAAGAGCCTCATCGAGAAGCTGTTGTCCGTGGGCAGCCGCCTCTTCTTCTTCAAGTGGCTCAACATCATGTGAGCGCCACTCTAAGTATCACTTGCACCTGCTTTGCACCTCTGCCAGTTTCCAAGTTCTGAATGGTACACAATTGTCTTGAATGGGAGAAGACTGCAAGCGTGCCAAGGCTTACCTTTTCGAGATGTACACTGAATGGGCGAAGGGTCGCCACAACATGCGGATGCCATTCTGCGCCTTTCTGGATCCAATCCCTGTTGTCAACGAATGCCCTAACAGCCTTTTACGTAGAATTAAGTCGTTTGACGCCCTAAGCTCAATAAAGTTCAGCTGCGAACTCACCAACCCTCAGTTGCTTCTCATCGTTTCTCCGATGCACTCACTCTTACTCTGCCGAACCCTTAGCCCCACTTAGCCCAACCCTGGTTTCATCCAACTTAGTCTACCTTAACACTAGCTTCACCTCGCTTTACTACACACGCTGCGTGCGTGCAAATTTTCGGGCCATCCCCGCGGCGGAAGTCCTGCAAACGATACTCCAATTCTTTCTCCCCGAACCCCCGAGCCCAACCCTGGTTTTATCCAAGTTTAGCCCACCCTAACCCTAGCTTGACCCTGCTTTACGCGCAGGTTGCGCGCGTACATCTTCCCCGGCCACCCGACCATGAGCGCGGCGGAAGCCCTGCAGTACATGCAAGAGCAGCGCGACAAGATCGGCCTCTCGGAGCGGGAGTTCCCGTGCGGCACTCTGGCGGTAAGTCCACCTCCCCTTCCAAGAGTAACGACGTCTTTTTAGGAAATTGCCATCTTGAGGGCTTCTCGTTCTCCTATTTGACAAGATTGGCCTCGTGGAGTGCGGGAAGCGGCGATTCCGAAGTCTTCGCGATCAGTAACACTTGTCTTTGTAGGAAAGGAAATACTCCCTTCAATTCAGGAAATACTTTCTGAAAGGGCTCGTCCGAGCCGTCTTTTTTTGGAATGTAATATACGTGACGAAGTTCGGATGCACGTTTGGCATCGTCCCTGGCTGCCTGGCTGTCCTTTCGCTGACCCAAAAGGTATTGCACCCAGGGTGTCTAGCGTCAGACTGCTTGTTCTGCCTTCTGCATGTCAGTGGCAGCTAGGAGAAATGCCAGGAATTCCTTTTGGCGTGCTGACATCCGTGGTCTTTCCTGCAGTGGGGTGCGAACCAGATTGGCTAAGCAACTTAGGACGACCCAGCAGAGCATGTTGCTTGAGTTGCGAAAGGGTTAGTTTGATCATAGGGCAAAGAGTTAGCTCAGTCCACTTTAGGATCGTATAAATTGTTGACATTTGGATCTCCCGAGCACGAAGCATTGCACGCGTAATAAACTTGGTAACAATTTGTAGAGCATACGCACACCCCTGGCGTGTACTCAGCTACATAAAGGTTGCCTCCTTGTAAAAGGGGCCGAGGAAAGCGCAGGGTAGAATCATTTGACACAAATGTCGGAAGCATTAGTGCTTAGGTCGTAGGAGGATCTGTAGATGTTCAGTCTATCGTAGCATATCGGACATTCGTCCAGTACTAGTTGTACGTTGCTTTGTCATAAATGGTGCAGATTGTGCATTCAGCGCCGCTCGCAGCCCTTCGCAAATGTTGTATACTTCGTGCAAGTCATGATTTGTCCGTTGCAGTGCATCTGAGTCTGCGAATAGTGTGTGCATCTCCTTGTAAGCTCTTGCTTGCGGATTGCCCGTTTCCCTGCACTTTTCTACGAGCACATAAAGGCTCCACCATCATCATGCTCTACGAACCTATGGCCCTACTAGCTACGGCGTATTTGAAAAGAGACCATCATCTTGCTAGCTCTACGAGCTTCCTAGTTGCAGCCGCATCCTCCCCCAAAAAGGTGGTAGTTAAACTACCTCGCAAGTGACCTGCCAATTCGGAGCGCCCAAGCAGTCTGTTCCAATTCTGTGCCGGACTAGGTCACCCGCTAGCTGTGACCGGGAAGATCGCTTGAAGGGTGTCAATCGAGCGCCAATGTGTGTGCGTATGATGGCCTCCCAGTGACCCAAAAGGCAGAGCAGGAACAAATATTGCAGCGGAGTCAGAGCGGAGCGTCACTCTGCGCGTTGGCACCTGAAGCGCGCGCGCCGCAAAACTTTCCTGACGATTGCTCACAAATTCGACTTACGATGGATTTTATGGATCATGGCATGCATCTTCTACTCAGGCTGTAGTGGGCCTCGAAACGCGACGCGCATCCTGTTCGGTTGACTGACTCAGCGGTACTTCGTCAACCTTGGAGATGCCCCGGTTTCGCCGCCACTTACTTTCAGCACATGCACGAACCGTTTGAGCGCCACTCTGACGCCTTTTTGACAAGACCAGCTACTGTAATCAGGTCTTCTAACCTAAGCTTCGATGATTTCGACGAAATCCTGCCCGACATGATTTCAAGCAGTATTTTGTCAATCCAAAGGTCACATCATGTCATCACGCCAGCATGACATGGCCTGAGCGCTGAGTTGCTTTCATGAGGTTGACGTTGCGCTCACGTCATGGAGTCCGCTTCTTACACAAAGTCTAGTCATGCAGCAGAGGTAGATCCGTGAACCAGCAGTCAAATCGTCAAGTAGGGGGCATTTGCGGATGCATGTCGCCAGTAAGCTCATTGCTAGTGGGAACTGTGCTGAAGGTAGCAGGGAAAAGGCAGGGAGCTCAGCGAACGTTGGCGGCCTTCTCTAATAGTAAAAATGTCAAGAGAGAGAGAGGGGCCATGGGTGACCAGATGGTAGAGTTCTGCGCTTCCCTGCTGACGTCAGATGACCCTCTGAAGATCACGCGCGTGTCAGGTTGCTGGAAGAACTTCACGAAGGCCCGGATGACATCCGGGAAGGTCTCTGTTTCGCGCGGGTTGTGCAGGAGCTTGCTACATTCAGGGGGGGCGTAGTCATTCACCGCATCTTGCGGCTGACGCTGTGGCAGTGTGCAAGCGATCAAATGAACCTGGGGTTCAATCACTTCGTCAGCTCTACCGCAGCGCTTGCGATCTTGACGGGAAGCAAGCTGGTGGTTGAGTCCTGCTTGAGAGTACAGGAAGGATCAGACGAGAGGGTGAATGCTCAGGAACTGTATCAGCGTTTGATGCAACAGGCTGACCAAACCCTTCTTTCAATGATGGAGAACGCTGGAGGAATAGCAGAGGAAGGCTTCCAGCTTCTCGTGGCTGGATCTCTGGAGTGTCTGGCCAATTGCGTGCGAGGCTCCAAGGTCTTCCGGGACGCCATGAGGGAAGCGATGGAACAGCGGAACATGTTTGAGCAGTTTGGGAAGTTTCTCAGCACCGAGTTCCTTTCAAGGACGGTGAGCGCCGAAGTGGCGTTGATCATCCGCCTCCATTTGGCTGGTATGGCGGTCTCTCTTGCATTCTCAGCCGACAGCCGACTCTGGGCCATAGACAGGGGCCTCCTCAAACTAGTTGCAGCAATCTACGAAGCGTCCCCCTTGCGCGAGCATCGCAAACTGTCCAAGCAAAGCGAGTCTCCTCTGTTCCGCTGCAACAAAGTCCTGCTCCGCTTGCTCACGGTGAATTCCGCAGCGGAAAAGATGCGCGCTCACAATGCGCTCGAGGACTTGCGACCCCACAAGCGGAAGATCAACAGCGCTGAACCGGAAACGGAGCCTTGGGCCTACTATGAAAGGTTCTTGGAAGGCGGGGCGACACGACTCCTGAGACGCGAGCGTTCTGTAGAGGAGTGGAAGGACCAAGAAGAGAAGCTGAGCGGTGATCGGTCGTCTGCTCCTGGAAGCTCTGCCGGGCCGGCCGCGAGCCCGCAGTCGGACAAGAGTTCGGCAAATGCGCGCGCTGCCACGTGGCGCGCTACTGCAGGTGAGAATTGCGTCTCGCTCTCAGATGATTTTCCTTACAGACTGGCTCTGCAGGTCTCCAGAAGACTACCTCTGGTTCACGCATTTTGCCCGTCTCGAACAAGCACTTAAGAGTACGTGTAAGCGGGGTGTAAGCGGAGACGTGAAAAAAGGTCTGCCCTTAACTGGCCAATTTATTTAGCAGATACTTCGTCGCTTACCAGCTGGACGCTTCCAAAAAGATAGCATGAGAACAGAGTCATTGCGAGGTATGATCTCGAGCGTGACCCGGAAAAGTACACCCCCTTGGCCACGGTTGCTTAGCCAGGTTATTGAATTGAGAAGACTTTTACCTGTTTCCGTTCTGATACGAACAAGTTCCAGCTGTAACTTTACTTCGTGATCCAACCGCTGATCTGCTCAAGGTGATGGCAAGGCTTGGAAACCTGAACACGCATCACGTGCTCTGAATCTTGATTCAAAATAGCGGTTGAACGAGGCGAGAGATCGCAACCTAGCTAAGGCAGGCATTTTCGCTTATCGATGGGAAGAGCGACACAACTAGTGTGCTTTATCAACTGTGTTCTTTGATTTTCCAATCTTGATCTCTTGAAGTTCGCTTTTTCACGAGCACCTATTTGCGTTCCTCTGCAGCAAGGAGCACTAGAAGTTGCACTGGACGACCCACAAGATTGATTGCAAAGGCTTCGCCAGTCGAAGGGGCCCGGAAAGTTGCAAGGAATAGTAGTCTGATGTTTTAGCAAGATAAGTCTGCAATTGCGGGGAATTGACTGGCGATTTTATGGTCGGATGGGAACAAGCAGACTAGTTTTAGTTGGACAAACTGAGCAGCTCCCTCGATCAATGCGAGCATGGATCAGAAAGGGGATGCACTTGCGATGCCCGCAAGCAAATGGTGAGGTGCACGGTACGCATAGTGGCAATGATCAAGCATATTCAGTTAGTGCAAAAGACCGCTCATTGTTTTCATTCAGTACTCCATCACAGCTCGGAATTCGGGCCGCGCGGGGGCCACGCGAAACAATCTCAAGCGGTCAGCATTAATCGGAACTTTGCGAAAGTACATGCATGTTGTCATGGAGATTGGTCTGAGGCGCCTTTTTGCAACCGACCGTCATCTTGATTGGTGAATGAACAATGCGTTCACCTTTACATGCTAAACAAATTCGTTTGTACATGCTTAGAAGTCATTCGATCTTCCAAACTAGCCTATATGTACCCTGATGCGTTTGAAGCCTGCCTACGCTAGCCTTGGAGACCGGTGAAGGTCAACTGTTCCTGCGTTTAAGCTGCAACTTAACCTTTCCTGAATCAGTCTACTTCCCCATCGGCGATTTAAGTACAGACAGCTAAGACAACCCCGCTACACAGATGCAAGGAGTCATGCAATCTACCAAAGCAAGCGTCTCGGACCTGAGATTATGCATCTCTACCGTAAATGCTCGATTCTATGGACCTTTGTCCATAAACACAAGTAGCTAACAGGCTGTCTCACACTTCCGATGTAGTTCAAAAGTCTAGACCCGTTGGATCTATTAAGCCTTCAATTAAGGCAACAGTGCACTGTGCAAGTGTCAACTAAACGGCTGCATCCTACCAGCCCTACGTCAGAGCACCAGACCGGGCTTCTGGCCCTCTCTGCAAGAAGCAAAGCGCAAGTGCGCCTCCAGCGCAGACCTTGTCGTAGTCATCTTGCTAAGCCACCTCCTTCGAGGAACCAGGCAGATTATTGAACTGCAAAACAATCACAAACAAGAGAAGGTCAGATGGATGAGCACAATAACCTTGAAATGTTTTGCAAAGTGTTTACCCTCGGCATGAAACCCCACACCATCTGAGGTCAGAACCTGTTTATTCCCAAAAACTTGGTCATAGAGCTCAACCGATAAAGGAGCAAAACCCTGGTCGTCAAACCGTCCTCTTCAGCTCTCCAGTTATTGGAACCCAGATTTGAAACCCAAATCTACCGCAGTAAAGCAGAATCCTTACCGAGATGGGAGTGGTGGTGAAGTTGGACGGCGGCAGGTTGTACTGCGCGCGCTTCCTCTCGAGGTACGCGAGCGCCTCGCGCGCCTGCATCGTCGGGTGCCCGGGCAGAACATACGCGCGGAGCCTGGAGAGAAGTGACACCGTCCAGATGAGCAAACGCAGGTGGAATCGAAGAGAAGTGTTCAAGTGCTTAAGTTTGAGAGGAGATTGTGTTGTGTTCCGACGATAACTCGTACACAAGCTCCACCTTTGGGCTCACCGCGTTCAGGACTCGAATGCTTTCAAACTCCTTGTGGGTCCTGCCACGAGCACGATTGGCTACTGATGCGCACTTTCGACACCCCTCACGAAGTCCCTCTAGCATCAAGGACAAACGAACCCGGCACGACAACATGGGCGATGACGTCAAAAGACGCTGAGTTGGCTGAATGCATCACAATGACATCATTGTCCAGCGAGCGACTCACATGATGTCGGCCCACTTGACGGGGAAGAGGCTCCCGCCGAACGAGACCAGCTGCAGCAGCGGCCCCTTCTTCCGCTCACCGGACTCGATGGAGCTCGCGTAGTGCGCGCGGATCGAGACACCTGCGGAACAAACGAACCGCGAAACTTGAGTGAACATTGGATTACCGATTGGAATCGAGGCTCGAAGCTCCGGTAAAGCGCGCGGGTCGAATACAATCACAGTCCTCGGACGGCCAGGCTTTATTTGACTCGTTAGCAGCGAGAGACGTCAGGAAAAAAATCTCGAAGCAGCCAGAATTGCAGGCAACAAGCTGTTCGCAACAACGCGACAAACTCAAAGCGGGCTGAAAGAGTATTCGAGAATCGAAGTTGTGGGAGGCGAGATTGCAAGAAGGACCAAAAACCAACTCTTTGTCAATGCTTGGCTGGAAGCATGAAGGCGCCAAGTTCGAAATGCAGGTATTGAACCGAACAATCTAAGCAAGTCAGCAAGCGCAAAGGAGGAAAAGTGCACCGGAACGCCACAGCAGGGGAGGATTGCATATCTCCAAGGATTGGGAGAAAAGAACAAGGAACGGGGAACGAGGACCGAGAAAAAAAGTATTTGGAAAGCGAAGATTAAAAGTAGTCAACTTGTACCTACCGCAGGTCTTTCGTACGAGCGCCTGGATCAGCTTGACCTTGGGCCTGCTCGCACGGGGCCACGTGCGTCCCTCAAGCGCCTGCGCGACCGATCGCACGAAGCGCCACACGTCACCACGCTCGTTAAAAATCGCCCTGCAGACCGGCAAAGAAGCGTTTGAGCCACAGCCAGACAAAATTCTTACAAACGAAATTAGGTTGGGAAGGCCACTTGACGGAAGCAGGACACACTCGAGTTGGCAAGAAGAGTGGCGGATAGTAGATGCGAGAGATACGCTGCGCTTAGTAAACAATTCTTCAAAAGTCCTGAATAATAAGCCCTTCGAAAGTCCTTCGAAAGTCCTGAACGTCGCCTCCTCTCTCTTCTGTAAGGCACGTGAAAGGGAAAAAGCACCACTCAAACTAAATGGGCGCTCTGAAACCAGCTCAACCTACCGTAGGACTTCACCCGTCTCTGACCGAACAAGATTCAGCCATTCATAGCTCACTCATCTCCTGTGAATCTCATCGAAGAAGGAAAACAACTGCTGAGAAGTGAAACATGCTCACCGGTATGGAATTTCGAGGCTGTATGCCGGGACGTCGGGGACTTTGAGGCGGCGCGCCTTGCGCAGCTTCTCCTCGTCCTTGCCCTCGCCCTTGACGATCACCGCGTGGCCGTAGTCGATGATCTTGAACTGGAGGCCGCGCAAATCCACGCTGCAAAAGAAGTTTATCTTTTCCATATTGGTTTCCTGTGTCTTTTTCGTCGCCAGGCTGCTTCCACAAGCTCGTTCGTTAGATGAGGATGGGTGGAGATGCTGGATCCTGCCCGACCCTCACGCACGTGCTGCAACTGCAGAAGAGTACTACTCAATGACTTCCGATAGACTTCGTCAAATAGGAGCACCTGGCAGAAAGCTAGAACAGGCGATCGTTCGAGCGCGCCTTTTCTGAAGCCTTTTTTCTCCAGAAATCTTGTGCTGGCAGGGCAAACTCCAAAAGAGAGGCTCTGAGGAGGCTAGCAACGGGGTCTGAGACTGTGACCCTCACGTCTTGCCGAACTGCGTCTGACCAACCTCGTTGTCCCCAAGAAAGAATACATGACACTCTATTCCTTATCCACTTGATCTTTTTCACAATCATTGCAGACCTTGCAGGACAGACTCCAGTAATAAGGCCAGAGTCGGAAAGAGAATTCAGGACTTCGTTGCTCACGTCTTGCCGAACTGCGTCTCGTCAGCCTCGGGGACGTGATCCCCGAGCTCCTCTTGCAGGCGGTGCTCCATGACGTTGTGGATGCGCATGTCCTGGTGGAAGAAACCAATCGCCTGCTGTGCGCGGTCCAGCGCGCACAGCACCTGCGAAAAATCGATAGTTGTTTTTTCAGTGGATTGAAAGCTTGTAAATAGTCACGGTGATAACCGTGTCGCTGGCTTGGCTAATGAGTGTGACTGGAGAACCCACTCTGTGTGATAGTGCTCGACGGAGTGTGACTGTGATAGTGCAACCTGATTATTTTAGACTAAGGATTGAAGGAGTTGCTAGATGCACCAGACAAACAAGAACGAACTCGCAAAAACGCGGATTTAACAAGGAAGAACTTGCAGAGAACGCAGATCAAAGGAAAGCACAAACTAGATAGATGACAAAACTCACCTGAACAATCAGGTTAAGAATGTAGTCAACGTCATTAAAGAGGGGGTCCTCGAAGCGGTCGAGAACGTCCCCCCCGTTCAGCTTCTCGAGCGTCATCCCTAGGAACTGGCCCTCGTGGTCAAGGACCTTGGACCCGGTTTGCATAAACCCGGGGAGGTAACCGTCCGGGTCATCTAGCAGGTTAAGCTGCCGCCCGATGGCCCACTCGCGCTCGAGCCCCACCAGGTTTCCCGTGACCTCACCAATCTCCTTGTTGCGGATCTGCTTGAAGACGCGGCCTGGGAGAGTAGGTTGAAATTTAGGTTGGCAATCCTGATATGGCCAAAGAGTCATGTTTGGGGTTTGGGGCCACCTGCGCATCATCATGAGAGTCATAGTGAGATGGAAAGATTCAGGAAGGGAGGGGACAGTGCTTCAAGCACTTCCTTGATCAGAGTTCCAACCGAGACAATAGAACCCTACAGAAGGAGATTTGGATCTTAATGCAAAATTATAATCCAATGAAAGCGGAGGTAGCATTGGTAAACTCAGATGTCTCTGAGCCTGCTATTGCTAGGGTTCATCTCAAAGGACAGGACAGTGAGACCGACTGGTGCACCTCTCATCAATGCGTTTTACTGCGGGAGTACCTCCAATTCTAGTCAAACCGCTCAAAGAATCTCTGAAACCAGGTTGGTGACAACACTGCGGAGGTGAGGCCTTCCCGGCCCAGACGCCACAGAATCAAGAATGATCTTCCTGCTCAAATAGTTTCGCAAATCCCACATCAAGAACCGTCACCTTCAACGTTCACTCAATCAACAACCTTTTGGTTGCGTTTGACACGATCAGGTTATGTCGCCAGGCAAGCACCAGCGACATGGTTGATGGATCTCTATCGGATGGTCAATCAATTACAAGAAGTTATTACGAAGCTGTCTACTCCTTTGTACGCTCAAAAGGTGGAAACACTTCCCCTGCTTTCTAAGGATGGCGACACCACCAAGTTTGCTAGACAGAATCAGCAGAAGGGCGTTGCCAGAGGCTTCTCTTTGGCCAAAAAGAATCAAAACCTTCTCTCCTTTGCCTTGCATATCAAGAACTTTCTTGATTGCTCAGGAAGCCTGAATCAGACCTTTCTCAAGAACACGTGATTAGTTCAAAAGTACCACAAACCACCTTCAATGCCAAAAGGAGATCCCAGCGCATGATTGTCCCCTCACCTGCATCAGATCCATCCTCATTCTCCAACAAGAACACGGCACCTTGGACCCCCGCGCCTAGTTGTTTTCCCAGCTTCCACCCATTCGCCAAAGAGGCACCAGACTCCCCTACAAAGTCCGCCCCAACCTGGATAACTTCCGGATCCGAAGCAGTGGCTGGCGTCCTATAACTTTTCTGCAGCTTCCGTCCAGTCGCAACGTCGATCGGCGGGGGGGCAATTCGCGCAGCTACCTTGACCCCCCGGGTCGCAGCCCTCCTCTTCAGAGGGCTCACCTCATGTGCAATTCGGACCCCCCCGGCAACGAGGCTCACCTTTTGAGCAGCTAGATCTGAGACATTTGAATAGATATTCCGACTTCTTGAGGGAACAGGAAGCAGGGCAAGGGGCTGAGAAATTGATCCACTGCAAGCAGGTTTCTGCACAGGGTGTAAGGCCTGAAAGAGTGTACCCCTCCCTAACTGGGCGGAGGTGATCGCCTGCATCTTGGAAAGCACTTGAGAAGCAGAGCGGGATGGAATGTTGCTGCTTGCCTTCAACAAAAGTATCAAGGGACCTACAACGCAGTATACCAGTGCGGTCTTCCTCGCCCTGATTTGTCAGCGGCTCAAAGGACAAGGCAACTGCATGAGGAAATGGCGCTGTTCAATCAGAATGCCTTCTGATGAAGGACTCGCACTGAGTGAGAGCAACCAGCTACCTTGTCCTTGAGTGCTTCCAAATCAGAAGGCTGAAATCCGTTCTCCTTCGAGCTGCAAGTACTATAATGCCATGCTTTGTAGCCGTGAGTCTGCATGAATGACCATGCTTTCTGCTGTGCTGCTTTCTGCCACCTCGTTTCCTGGCACAAGATTTCCAGCAGTGCTCAGCTCTGCCCAGTGCCGAGCGCTCTTGCTGAGCCTTGCTTGCTTGCGGCGCCCATCAAGAACACAGTCAACACTCGTAATGCAAGACTGGTCTGACGTGGCACTGTACTGCTACGTGGCAGCGCTTTACTGCCACTTGTCGATTTGTCAGCAAAGCGCCTGCCTGACATTGACATCTGGCAACTTTTGAGCGGTTCAAAGGCAAATAGCCAATCAAAACCATTTCCGTGGATGCTTGCCTACCATTACCGCCTGCAACTTTGCTCTAGCTAGATCAAACTGTTCACTCAGGAAACGTCAGAGTCCGTGCTGGCAATTGGCGCGCTACATTGACAGTGACAGCACGTACGTTCTTGTTTCCACCATTGCGCAACAGCGGAACCCAGAGCCTGAGGCCCATCAGGAGGGTGCATTCTGAGGAGAGCGCGAAGAAATTCTGCGTCTCTAACGAGGGACCTTCTCAGGGGTTGCTCCCCAATACATGCAAGAGAATACTTGCGTGAAGCTGAGCTATCTGTAACGTACCGACCAATCTAGATTATTGCAGAACAACCTCACAGGCACTGACGGTGCTTGCTACTCCTCAGCCGCTGAGTTGAGCATGTCCTTTTCGGCTGCGGCTGCTAAGCCTCTTGGCAGTCGCTTGGCTAAATTACAGCAGATAGGCCTGATCCAAAACCCCAGGCTGACAGCTTCCTACCAACCAGGAGCGGCTGGGAACACTTATTGGATTTCTGACGCAAGTGGAACATCTTCCCTTATGCTTGGACAAATTATTGGAACCAGCATAAGGGGTTGCGTCAGCAGCGGGGTCGGCAGAAGAAGGGCGGTCTCTGTGCCTGTTGCAGCTTTTATGCTGGCATCCGTCTTCAGTGTTGGACAGGGATCTGCTGCCATGGCTGACGAGGTACCTGTAGATGAGAACTCAGGTATGCACGGCCTGCTTTGAGTAGGCTTATATTCATCAATCGCAGATCGACCACCCTACTTGCTGGAAATGGCAATATATCCAGAATCTTTCAATGAAGGCGAGTGCTCCTTATTTGAAGAAGAGCCAATGTGGGGCTGTAAGATGCCGTTATGCACGGTCATTTTACTGCTTTTCTTGAAAGCTGCGTTTTTCAAGTAAAAGGTTCTGCTCGCAAGTAACCTGTGAAAGGGCCTGGAGGAACTTATTTGCTGCTGGCTTGCATATTAATTCCTTGATAGTGAAGTGCTTGTATGCTGGCAAACAAGATCTACATTGTCTCTAGCAGTTTCCTCCCTTGTTCTACTTCTTCTCCATGACGATGTTGAACAGCAATGACTGTGCGATTTGGTACATGCAATGTTCTTTGGAAATTTTAGCATCTGATGGAACCATAAGAATGGCAAAGAGTCTGTGGAAATGAAGCTCCTCACTGTCTCAGGCGGGTTTTGTCAGAGTTGATATGTCAAGATGATTCTTTTTCCATGCCAGAGTATGAGGCACCATCTTACGCATTGACCTTTGTTCACTAGGATAATGTAGGCCTGACAAGCCTGCTTTGAACCAACAATATGTTTCTCTATGCCCTTTCATTATTGAGACAACTCCAGGGAGCTCTTGATTTTTATTGGTTCATATGTGACCTGCAATCCTCCAAACTTCTAAGACTCAATGACTGTCTGAAAGCTTACCAACTTTGGATCCATATCAAATTTGAAAATACAACTGGAACTGAGTCCTACAAAATGGACTCGTCCAGGTTGTCGCGTTGCTGGCGTACCCCTGGCAGCTACTGCACAGCACATTCCCCAGTACTGCCAGTCAACAATGCAAAGTGCGTCAATCCCCTCACATTGATCACCTGTGCAGCATACATGGCGTCCTGAATTGGATTTGCCAATTCTAGGGACTTTCTAAGTGATTCATGTCAATCAAAAGGTTTGGTGTCAATGTCTACCCTTTCAGACAGTCAACAATCGCTACAAGAACTGCACCAGATTCAATGTAATGAACTTCATAGCCTTCATTCGTGTTCTGCAGATGAAGTGACCAAGTCAGGAGTTGCATCGTTCAACACTAAAGCAGCCAAAGCGTCGCAGGCATTGGACGATGAGAAGAGGTTCAAGGTAATTGATATGTGCTTTATTGAGTCCGAAATCCCAAGGCGCAATGGTCAAGATCCCTGTGAGACTGAACCGGAGCCTATATAAGAGGGTTACTGACAAACCGTACAGTCCTCTCTCGTCTTCCCACGTTACGTGTTCAATAGAAGCATCTCGTCTTCCCACGTTACAAGTTCAATAGAAGCAGACAAGCCAGAATTGTATTGCCCTCTTTTTCCATTGGTTGGGAGCCTTCGTCCACAAGAAAAGTCTCAGCTCAGTATTGATCAGTTGTTTGGGAGAGAAGAAGACGCTGATCAAGCAGAACTGATAATGTGTGAAAGGAGTAGACCCCTGAAAACATCAAGGAGAACGCAAGGGATAACAACAGAGACAAGACATGAGGCAGCTTTGAGACCCTATGGATCCTTCCGTTGTCCACCCTATCGGTCGTCCAGAAGCTGATCAGACCCTTCAAAAGATTCCCAGAAGAAGTTTCTCAGGGAACGCAAACCAGACAGAGACAAGAGAGAGAAGACACAAGGCACCCTGTAGATCTCATAAAGCCTTCTCTCTCTGTTTTCTAGGTTGTGCACTTTGTACGACACGGTGAGGGGTATCACAACATTGGATTTGAGAGCCTGGAGGACACGCACCTGACTGCCAATGGCTGGAGCCAAGCTGGAAAGCTGCAGAAGCACCTCAACAACTTGCCCAAGCCACTGGACTTGGAGGTGAGAACCAGCGGCAAGATTGGGAGGGTGTTTCATGGCTTGGATGCCTGTGAGAGTTTGAGCTGACAGTCAACTCCTAGCTCTCGCTGCGGAGCTTCTGCTACAGTATCTTTGGAACACATTGATTAGAAGAGTCCATGAGATAAAGAGTAGATTAGGATTGGGGCAAACCCTTTTCTTGGATGCATCCTGTATCCGGCTGCTTCGACCATTCTGGTTATAAGAGCTAGCAGCAAATTAGAAGCGAGAGTCTCTGGTACTGCGCTTTGAAGCGACCTCGATTCGTATAAGTGCGTGATGTACTTCACAACACGAATTTGGCGATGGCAAGTCCGAAGAGGACAACACATGATCGAGTCAATCCGCAAATTTGTCACCGACATATCTTGCCGCTTAAGCCCCGCGACTCAAAATTGTGACGTCTCTCTAAAGAGCCACATCATCTCCCGCTCCTTAAACCGTCCTACTAACTTTTTCAATCAGCCACTGCAATCTGCTCTTCAGGTCGTCATTGTGTCCCCCCTCTTCCGTACCCTCGAGACTGCCAGCGGCGTCTTTGGCGGCGGCACGATCGACAACGGGCAAAAGATGCTGATGCTAGAGCAGACCCCCGTGCACAACGAAGTTACGCGCCATTACGCGATCGCCGAGAGGCCTGGCGTGCCATTCATTGCCAATGAGCAATGCCGGGAGCGAATGAGTGAGTGCTTGCAATCACGATAATCGTTCGCTTAGTGACTGTTCATAGTGGCTTCTTCTTTCGCATGCTGAACCTTAGGATTCAGCATCTTGGCTTTCTGGCTTAAACTAAGGTCAGGACTGTTTTGGACGAAGAGGTCAAAGGCTGGCATTCCAAATGTCGTACCTCACGCTTGATTTTCTTTTGTTTTTACTTGGGCAGCTCTTAAGCGGCATGGGACATTTACTTGCACCTATGCAAGAGCGTTGCGAAGAGGCACCGTTGCAGGTAAAACTAAAGTTCCTGCCAGGTGGTTTGATTTTGACGAGATTGACATCTCCTTCTGATCAGGCACTCTGCCTCTCGTTGAGGGGAGGAGGAAGATACATGCAATCATCCCTGCCTCGTGTTCACCACTCAAGGAGGGGTCCTGGACAGCGAGACGAGAGAATCGTGTTGTGCTAGTTTGATAGCTTGGCTTTAAACACGCGCTTGGACTTCTCTGCCCCGTGCTCACTTTGCGCACGAGTCGGGCCGAATCTCGTAGTCACAAAACGTATGGGAGAATGGTCTGCTTTCGAATAACGGGCAGCCGGACGAGCCACTCACCGCTTCCCCTGCGACCTGCCTGCAGCGTCGTAAGTAACACAGCGGATTCACTTTCGAAGCAGCACAACCTATCGTTTTATTGGTGGCAGATTATGACAGCTACATGACAGCTTTTGTTTCCATTTTGCAGGCCTGAATCGGTGCGACCGGCGACGGAACCTCTCAGAGACGGCCAAGAACTTTCCGGGCGTGGACTTCAGCCTGATCGAGCACGAGAATGACGTCATGTGGGACCTGAAGCACGACGAGGCCGTGAGCGCGGGCGCCGTCGGCAGCCGGTACTTCATCGGAGAGAAGGGTGACGCGGTTGCGGAGCGGGGGATGAACTTCTTGAAGTGGGTTATGGACAGGTAAGGCGCCGATTCGTGAACAGCCGAGACACAACTTCCTGACTCTGTTGATAGTAGACGGTATTACGATCGGTTTGCTCTTCTTAATAAGTTCAGGGTCAGCTTTCTACAAGGATTGGCGGTTGGTGAGACGCTGTCTTGAAAGGTGTTGGACGCTTTCCGCTTGGGCCCAGAGGAATTGGATATCCTATCCAAAAGGTCGTAAAGAAGCAGAAGAGCCACCCATGTACTTGATGGGTTCCCAGTCCGACAAGCACCTGGCAGGTCAATTCTCAAGTCGGCCTCATATTTCCTGCCGCTAAGCTAGCTTTCCCAGGCCGGAAGAGCTCCCAGACATGGGGCATCGACTGCTGCGGGTTCTTGTATGAAGCGCCCAAGTGTTTCTTGCTGACTTTTGGCCCACCCTGCGAACTGAAATGTTTTAGCCCGACCGCCAACGGATGCCTCTTTCACCTACTTCGTTCAGGCAGGGATAGCACTGGGGCGCAAAATCCGACTGTGCGGTCGTTCACAAACGAGAACATCGAGTGCATCCTCACCCGAGAGTCAAATCACGACTGCTAATCTTCGACTATGAACGACTTTTTACGCACAGACCAGAGACCGGGGCTTTGTGTTCTTCGCTTTATCATGAGAAGCTCGACGCTGCATCCTGACTCTGACTCCCTACACCCGCCAGCAAAGCCCCGTCTCTCAACCCACTTCTTGCGGGCCAGAGAAGTACTTTGACGTGGTTCCGATACCCATCCTGCACCAGACTTTCATGGGTCACTTCCAGCCTTTTTCTAGACCCTGACGACCAACCGTTTCCCATCCAGTTCAAACACCCTTAAACCTCATACTCAAGTCAAAAGTCGGACTAGAAACACTTTGGCCGCCACGAACGGAAACAGACTGGCCGGTCTTATTTCGGTTCTGGAACGTTCCTCGACTCGATGCCGCAACATCAGCAGTAGCGATAACTGCGTCGAAAGTATGGCCCTTATCAGAGTCAACGCTCTGTGGCAAACTGGCAGTCACATCCCCCCTGCTTAACGCATCTGCGCCTGCTAAACCCTAGATTCAACCCGCTTTTTGCATGCAGGCCGGAGAAGTACCTGGGCGTGGTTTCTCACTGCGCGTTCCTGCACGAGACATTTACCCGTGACTTCTTAAGTCTTCCTTCGAACCCCGACAACCGACCAACCCTCATCTCTGATTCAAAAGTCCTAAATACGACCGCTAAACCCTGTTTTTAATCCGCTTCTCGCAGGCCGGAGAAGCACCTGGGCGTGGTCTCCCACTGCGCATTCCTGCACGAGACGCTGCAAGCGGCGGCCAAGGACAGCCCGCCGGAACTCGCGCAGGCGCTCTCGCGCGACTTCCGCAACTGCGAGATGCGCTCCGTGGTCTTTGACAAGGACGGCAAGCCGGTGGAGATCCTGAAGGACACCTACTACGCGGGAGGTGAGCGTGGAACCGGGAACTTTAACGGAATCTGTGTATATGGGGTCCTCGGTTTGAGAGGTTACGGATTTAGGTCAATGTGAATTTCTCATCGCAAGTCAGTAGAAAACTCAAAAGCAGAGGTTACGGATTTGGGTCAATGTGAAATTTCTCATCGCAAGTCAGTAGAAAACTCCAAAGCAAGGTACGCATTCCTTATTAAAGTTTTCTTTGGGAAGTAGCAAGGTGAAATGCTTTGGGAAATACTGGTGAATCTATTCCTTCTTCGCATAAGTCATGCTCAATCAGTTAGGCAGGGCATGTAGAGGTTTGTGTGGTTTTAAAGATTGTCTGTCTACTTTGACGCACTGAATTGCACGAGGAGTCGCCCAATGCCAAGGGGCAGTACCGTCCCCACAACCAGCGGTTGAGGATCTATTTTCCAAATCCTTCTTATGATTACTCTATTGAAACCAGCAGTAGGTAATCATTCACATGCGAGACCCAAGTATCTTACAAGCGGGAATGGGAGGCAACCGAAACCAAAGGAGCTCGGGCATTGGAATCTTGTAGAGCTCTCATTCTCGTTTCACGGCCTTGACCCGTTGGACGTCCGGTTGTAAAGCTTCGTAACTTGTCCTTGGCATGCAGGTGCTCCCCGGTACTACCTGTTCCCCCTCAACTGGGGAAAGCAAGCTGTGGGGTCCTTGGTTGGAGAAGTCAAAAAGAGAGTCCCGTGGTAGTTTCACATCAGGACTTGGCAATGTTAAGAAAGGTCATTTGTTATTCTTTGTACCAATTTGTGTACAGCACGCGAAGCTGAAGTTGGGCTCAGACCAGTCGAGTACATGCATTGATTGAGATGGACAAGCAGTGATGGTCTGTCTTCTGGCGCGCAATTGGATACGTGGAGCGCGAGAGCAATCAACGTACGTAGCTTCCGACCCAGGAAAATCATTCGAAGTTGGGTATCCGTCACATATACATTACTAAGGATCTGGTGCGCGGTTGTCAACCCGGACTCATCGAGCTGTCGCCATTGCATGCGGAAATTGGTTTCTTGCAAAAAAGCTTAATACGCGCGTGCAGATCTGGCGTACATGTAACATAATTTCTGGATATCCACACAGCCCGCGTGTAATCACGATTTCCACTGAATACCGTATCCGATGCCATTATTACCATTTAACAATCTGAGCGCATCTAACATTGATACTTCCGGCTGGCGCGCCCGGCCATATATGTATTCCCAGCTTGCATACTATATACTTGCAACATTCGATAGGTGGTCAAATTAACAAGAAGTGAATGTATGTAAGCTACAGTGACTGAGTGTAGGGGTCGCATAGCTGGTGCGGCCGATCGATCGAACAGAATTGAGGACAGGCCCTTATTCGATTAGCATATGAGGTCCTCATGCCGCACATTAACTATTACGAACTCATGGCTGCTAGCAATCATAGAGGGCAAAATAGATCCCCTCCAGTTGCAATAGGCGCTAAAGCTTTGTTGCATTTTTCAATGTAGTCGGGCATTGGTTGGGCGACAGTAATGCTACAATCGCAATGGTCCCTCCCTAAGTTTGTTCACGCTCGACTTAGCTTGACCTTGACAGTGACCTCTCCAGTGCACGTCTTGTAGCAAGATGACTTCACTTCATCCCAAGACATTCCAAACAAGTCACCATACCCTAACGAACTATCATCTGCTTGTGACAATTCCCAACAGGATTCGGACTTCTTCAAAAGCGCCCACCAACCGCTCCGCCAGCTGCGTGCATAAAAGGCGACGTTGACCCTATCGGCCCGTTGCGCAGAGGGCGCACCTCGTCGACCGGAACAATACAGGTGCACCCCGACAGTGGCTGGTTGTTTGTCTCCACGCACCTTCAACTTGATCCACCAATATCTTTCTGCCCACTGCACAACGCGACTCGCTTCTGGATTACCAATGTCCGCCAGTCTCACCGTGAGCATGACCTCAATGTTTGATTCCGCAATGCCCCTCCGTTCGTGGAAGCGCCTCGTCGCGGACGCCCGCAGCTTTTCCTCATCAGACCACGTTCGGAAGGACAACGCTTCTCGCACCAATGCTTCGACCTCGACTGATCGCATTTCCGGCATTCCAAGGACGTCCCTTTCTAAGAACTCCCCCCGCATGCGCCCAAAGCGTATGCTCGGCGCCAGGCTCCTCATCACATCCTGCTTTGACGCCGGTTCGTCGACATTGCTGGAGAGCCACGTCATCACGGCCCGGAACACTTGTTCCTCGTCTGCCGCCTCTAGTTCTTCCGACTCCAGAAGCAGCTCCACCGCCTTCTGATTCAATGCCAGAAACTCGGAGCAAGACGCCCAGTCGAACACTCTCTTAAAGCGCCCTACGAGGATCTTGCGGGCATTGTTGATCAGCTCCCCAAACTCCTCCCTGCTGGAAAGAATGGCATCGGGGATTGCCAGGATGACCTCAGCAACGGCAAAGTTGTCCAAGCGTTGCCGAAGAACTAGGTTGATGCTGGTCAGCAGGGAGCCGACTCCAAACTTGTCACCGGCCAGAACTAGGTCGACGAGCCAACTGACGGGTGTGGCGGGATCGAGCAGCCAGTCTGAGAGGCGCCCGGCGTAGATGAAGCGAAGCATCTCCAGAAAGGCTGCTTTCTCTGCGCCCACCCGTGAGAGAAACATATGTTAGTGAGTTCAAACCAACGCTGTAAGAGGTCATTCTGAATGGAAGTCCTTTCTCGTGGAGCCAGCAGACGGGAATGACCAGCCTTTGAGAGACTTCGATCAACCACGGTCGGCTCTATGTAACAATAACCATCGCAATGAGTCCAAGGCCTCTCAACTTGTAGACGACGCGGCCCTTGATGATTATTTACTGCTCGAGCGAGGAAACACGGACTGTAAAGTTAGGGAGCGTCCAGCCTCCCTTCCACATGCTGCGCTTTGATTGCGTCTAGTTCCTGCTATCATCCCTTGTCCAGCGTTTGCAAGTCCTGTTTCGCCTGTTTCACATGGAAATCTGTATTTGGCTCAGAAGTCTTGAAGAAACGCGGTGACATGGACGAACAGTATCAGAAGGATCCTAAGAAACACTTGAAGGGTGACGCAATTCGTAAGACGAAGTCCTATCAAGAACCCTCTAAGGCAATCAGCTGCAAGTGCCATCCTGGTTAAATCATCCAGTAAGCTCCGCCACTTTCAAACGAAAGCAGATAATAACAGGAGCTCCTGTCCTTTGTAGAGTTCAATGGTCCTACTCTTGGAAGCAAACACCTCGTCTTGACAGGTGATGAGGCAGGGCACACCACGCACCTCGCTGAGTAACCTTCAAAACAATCGGGGCGTCCCGCTGCGACTCCTTCATCCTGGACAGCATCATGGTCCTCAGCACGTCGCTCTTCGCCGCAACAACAGCCGCGCTGATCGGAACCTCCTCTGCCTCGTCCTCTCCGTGAGTGCTCTCCCTCGCATCGCCCTCAGCCATACAGATCATCGCTTCTCTCAACGGACTCCTGTGCTTTTCCATCTCCTCTTCTGAAAGGCCTCTCGCGCCGCTTTCTCCAGCCTTTGCACTCTCTTGGGGATCTTCTTGGCCCTCGAGCAAACCCTCCCCATGGGACTCCTCTGCGGCTGGATCATTTTGAGACTTACTTGCACCCGCTCTGTCATCGCCGTCCGAAGCAGGGCTTGCAGATCCTGACTGTCCTGCAGAGCCTGCCCCTTCCAGATCTCTCGGCCGCTTCCTACCGGTGATCCTTTCGCCCGCATCTCCACAGTCCCCTATATTCACTTGCATTTTGAGACCGTTTGCCTCTCTCTTCCCAGTGCATGTTGCAGTGGCTGTGCAATGAACCGCCTGATTGACAACTGCAGCAAAGCAAAGCCAACATCTGAGCACAAAGGGTCGGAGTTGTTTTGTTCTTGTGCTTTGAGAGTGTGCCTCGAAAACTTGGTGAAGAACTGTGTTGTTGACGTGCGTCAGGTGAGTTAAAGTAAATCTCAATAAAGCTAATAGCCCTTGGGTACTGTCCTCAAGTCTGATTTTTCAGACTGGTGGTTGCTAAGTCTCACAGAAGACGCACTCAAAGCACTCCCCAAACTGATCCCATTCTCCTTAAGGCCTCTGTCAAATCTCCTTGGGTTTGACCTGTAAGCACAGGCCAGAAGGGCTGATGTTCCCCCTGGGCCACATAGCTATGGAATTGCAGCACTGAGTTCCAAGTTGCCACCATGTCACTGCTCATTTGGTGAAGAGGTTGCCTATGGTAGACCCAGGAACTAAAGAAGGCAATCAAACCGGCCTCTTAATGGTTGAAAGCAAGAGCAGTCTGAGATGTGATTACAGACCTGGCGAAGAAGTGTTGTCCTGAAGAATCTCCAGCCGGATGATCCGGTCACAGAACTCTTGCTGCCTGCAGGCAAAGCACAGGGCAATGCGTCTGTAATGTGAGATCCTTATGATGGGGAACTGAGAAAGGCTTCATCGGCCAGCTGATGAAGGCATCCCTCTCTGGAACTCAGCCAACATCTCAAAGATAGACCTCAGTTCTGTGTGATGCCAATTGTCAGTTGACAAACAAGCCCTTCAACTTTTGAAGCATGAAGAGTCTTGATGGAAGTTGGAACTTTGGGAAAAACTGAGCCTATCCGCTTCTTTGCTTGTCAAATCGTCTGCTCAAAGCTCCATGGAATGGCAGCTATAACATCAGTAAGATGTGCCTCTCTGTCTTTTCCCTAACCAATTATGCACACAGCTTCAATCAGGCAATGAGATCATAATGACATTGAGTTGAAAACACATGACGTTGATGAGAGCGAGGAGCTTCTGGTGCCTCACTTGTAAAAAGGAAGAAAGTCAAAGACCCGCGGGTCTTCACTGTCCCTTGGCTTGGAGCTGGAGGGACCTCCATCTGAGCTAGCCATTTGCAGGTTGCTTCAGATGCCCGCGCACCCAACTGTCTGAAGGCAGCACAATGCAGTATCGATTATAGTGAGCCACAGCTCACCACACTCCCCTTCCTCTTTTCCCTTCTCCTCGATTGACTTTCACAATCGTGCAATAGCTTTCCCGAGGCTGCACATTGCAAGCTTGCTAGCTGCTTTCAGTTTTAATAACTTTTAGCTAGCTGTGGCTGTGTCCTAGACCTTTGCTACAGCCTACCGGTACTTTGAATCCCAGCTTTCGATCAGGCTCGTCTAGTTTCTGAAAACCTTCGTTTCGAGCCAATGAGAAGTGTTGCCGCAAGATCCTTTACCATTATCGGTATGCTTTAATGACGTCAGCTGCAACTTGATTGGCCTGTCTGCTCACGTGGTACATCTCAGATCCACATTCGCGCCAGAATTTTGTGTGTCAAAGTTGGACGAGTCACGGTCCTGGAATGCATGCAAAGCGCTTTGTCACATTGTAGTTGTAGGATAAACATCAAGGTCGCTTGCCAGCAGTGTTTCAGCACAACCTTGACCTGTGCCCATTGGTTGCTCGGTGGCAGGGGACCTTGGGATCTGCTTTAAGTTTTGCAAGCCCAAGGGCAGAGCGCATGCGTTGTCCTGGTTCCAGATTGGCAGAACGTCTCCTAGGTGAAAGAAATGGTGGGCCAGGCTTCTGCAGTTACCCATCAGGTTGCTCCAAAGCTGGCCATGACACGATGTTGGACAGATGCCAGCTTTTCATCTTTAAAATTTGAGCGGAGGATGCACGGAGTGCGGCATCAAGGACTGGGTGGCCACTTTGTGAATCACAATGCAAAGCACGGCCTGTATGATAGATCAATTGGGGTCCCGCCGGCTTTTGTGACTGGAGTCTTCCAGAAACACCAAGACTTCAGGATAGAAGCAGCCAACTGGTTCCTGGCACTGCAACCTCCGTATACAGCTCAGTGTTTGTGTGCCAAGTCCTTGAGGAGGAAGAGGAAGACCACACCATTCGGCATGCCTATTCATGAGGGCATGATCTGGGGCACTTCTGAACTTCGCAACTCCAGCAGGTTTCCATGTCACAGCCGAGCAGTGGTAGAGCGGTGGCCTAGGGAAATGCAGAGGCAAAAGTCTAGGGTTTTCGCGACCGGCGAGGACCCCGGGGGAAGTAGCAGCGAATCAGAGATCCCAGCCACGTCGGACGAGTTCCTTCGCAAAGTCTCGTCCGAATCGTACACCAATCTGAGCAAGCAAATGCAGGAGAAAGAGGAGGCGAGCTTTGAAGGTTTGCGGCTCTGCTTTCGCTAAAAGTTTTTGGTGGATTGACCATCCGTCCCTGTTCTTATCATCAGTTCCGTTTCATCTTGCCAAGTATCAAGGGTCCAAGCTCGAGTCTTGCATCTACTTTCTCCAAGAGCCACATCTCCTCTTGTGCTTTGGCTCAAGTGAAAGGTAAGCGCTCATTAGGACAAGTTTGAAAAGGTTTCCGTGTCGGGCACCACCTTCAGGTGCTAAATGCGCCCATGCGTGACTTCCTCCAATTGTCATGACAATGTGGCCCTTGACTGCGCGTCATTTTGTTGGAAGGATTTGATCTGAGCATGTCAAAATCTCAGATAGACTTCCGATGGAAATGAGGGCAAGAATAGTAAGACGCACTCATTCTGATTGAAACCATACGCGACATTTTGGGACATCGCGCTGAGATCATCACTTTATCGGCAATGCCGCCACCATTTCATCTCACTGTTCTGGAAAACAAGAGGAAACCGCCATTGGATTCAAGAAGCACCTGAGTTATAATTCAACTTGATGTTCCTTACTTCGGCTTCTGAGGTCTGCCAAACATCAACTTCAACCAGGGGTTACCAACCAGGAGGGGTTGACAGTAAAGTTGTCTCTGTCAATGCACCCCTTTGCTACCGACTTTGTTGCAGACAGAAGTCCCTGCAGCAGAGTTCGAACTCAATGCTGGTCACATGGGTGTTGGTTTTCCAAGCGGAGTAAAGCCATTGAAAGATTGCCTTCATAGAAATTTTGCCTGGACTTTCTATTGAAAGTATGCAGAACACTTTTAACAAGCCCTGTGGACCAGATTGCCTTCTTTTCAATTCTGAAGCTTCACTGTCAGGGACCAACATTTCATCGGTGCATGTTCTGTGCAGTTCTGGAACGGGACCCCTGGGGCGAAGACAACAAAATGGTGTATGTACTGGCTCAGAAAGAAGAGTCCCTGTTTACTATGAAGGTTCGAAAAGATAGAAGGTGAGTTCAGCTTTCAGCTGGCTCCTGTAAGCATACAAAGGACGCTGTAGTGTCACTCACTGACCATGAACCTCCTATTTCCTTTGAGTACTTCAGCACCGGGTCAGGGGTTCCTGGAATTCGTTTGGACACAGAGAGGAAGTATTGAATGCCACGCCGTATGTTACCTATGCATCTACTTGGCATCTTTGAGTCAGCGGTGAAGGGGACCGTTCCTTCTTGGTTGCTCTGGGTCCTCTTGGGTGAGTCGAGAAATGTCATCAAGGGAGTACGGGTTGAGTCCGCATGACAGGTCCACTTGAGGGCTCTTGCAGATTTCCTTGTCCTTGAAGGCGTCTGAATATCACCAACTTCGTGGGGTTCGTCATCTGACAAGGGCCTTCACATCTGGCGATTTGGTTCTTCACTCGAGCAGCTGGAAATGTCGGAATAGTCGGGGATGTGGCTTCGTTCTCAAGCTGGTGACAGGCCTTCCTGCTCAATCTGCTCTATAAGGATCAGAGAGGGTTATCGGAGCATCCTGCCAAGGCAGTTCTGACAGGGTTTAGAATTGTGCTTTGTGATTCCAGAAGCAGACAAGTGTGCCAATGTCTGTATTGCTATGCCAAAGCTTGTCGAGAGGAATCTCTACTCATGAACGAATCCCCGCTCCGGCTCCACTCGACTTTTTCCGCTCTCCTTTACTTCTCTTCAACAATCAGACCGATAATAGCCTCCGGGGTTCAGGACTTGTAATGGGTGGCTTAATCTGCTGGTGCAGCGACGTGGAGAACGAGTTTACCACTCTGTTTCCGTCCATTGGAAGTCGGCAAAGATGGAAACGGCCGGAACCTGCAAAGCCTCCAGCGGGAGATGAGCAGGAGCCTACCGCCCGTTTTAGCATGCATGTTGACACAGTGAGCGAGGGCATACTGGTGAGCCGAAGACTTTTTTGGAGACAGGTCGCTGTCGAATGTAAACCTGTTTCCATTCTATTACGACTAGCCAAGGCAATTACGAGACCGAACTGCCGCAAGTGGTTGAGATCCGAGGAGACTCCGAATGTTTCACTGGAAGCATGGACAGGACTTGGGTACTGGGCTGTTATCGCTGTGTTTCCTCGTTTTGATTGTTGATATTGTCTCTGCTTATCAGCTTCAAGTCTGTTACGCAGTAACTCCAGGCATCTTTTCATGGAAATATGTGCGTTGAATACCCAACAGATCCATGTACGGGAGAATGCATTGGAATTGCCTCAATTGTATACCTCAAAGGTAGCTTGTTGAATGATTCTGATGTCATTTGGCAGCTAGCCAGATACTAAGTCGCGCGGCCTTCATCTTGATGCAGGTGTTTGAAGACGAAGATGAGGCGACGCGGTTCTGCGGGTTGTTAGAAACGGACGGCCGCCAAGACCTCTCAGTCGTAGAAACGGATGCTCCTGGGTTGTTCTCCCTTTGCCAACGGTCAAAGGCTGTCGCTATCTTGTTCAGGCAGGGTGTTATGCCACCCCTTCCGGATAGGTTGCAAAGGGCTCTGCGTGCTCGAAAGTTCTCGTTGGACGATTGAGCCAATATTCAATTGCATGATTACTTTCTTACAAAGCCTGGCTATCAATCTTCTGCAAGTTTGGGACAGTAGCTTTTGTTCTGGGCCACAGATTACGGGAATCATGCGTTGACCCAACTCCCTCCAAAAGATGTGCCTTGGAGAGGGGTACGTGATACAAGCATGCTAGTAGTTGTTTAACCTGTGACGCTTCGTTTCGTTCAACTTCTTAGATTGTTGACTTAGTCACAGGAGCTCCTTCAAGCCAGCAACAAGCCTAAGCAAATGTGCATGAATGCTCGTGGTCGATTCACCGTGGTGCGGCTCCATATCTACTTTGACAGAGTTCCCATGCAGAGCTCATCGAAGGTGAAAAGTTGTCAAATCAAGAAGAATACGGGATGGTGGTAAAGTTTCATTTTCATGAATTCCGGGTCACGTCATGTGACATGTGCAAGCTTCAGCAGTAACAAGCGCCGTTTGCAATCAGTCGACTAGTAGCTATCCAAAGTGATCCATATTGGATCATGAGATATCGCGAGGAGTGCCATGCAGAATTGCGCTCTTGGTATAGCATAGTTAACTAGCTCTACGTTGTCATGTAGTGGCTAGTAGTTGACCATGCTGTACCAAGACTCAGCGCCATTGCTTCATGATCTAGGTTAATCATTAATTAAGGTTTAAGTGAGATTACATGTCAAGCCTGTCAAGTTGCTGAGCTCTTCGAAGTGACCCCATTTCCGTACGTTATTGAGGTCCCATTGATGATTGAGGTATGTTCAGGCAAAGGATCAAGGGAGAATCGATATGGAAGGTTCTTGGTTTTAAAGCATCGCTGAAGTTCAGGTCGTGTCGTGCAGGCAAGTAATGATCGTGCAAGCATGCATATACCTAGCAACTTGTGCAACATGATATTCTGATATGGGAGGGGTATCATCACGGCCGTGCATATTGCTGATAGCGGTATTGCACGGGGTCAACGGGGAACTCGAGTCCGGGCGCGGGCGATCATCCCACTGTACCTGACTCTACACGGTGGACCGAAATCGACGGTCGTATATGACTACTAAAAGAAGTGCTTCACTGTCATCCGTGCGATGTAACTGTCATTGAGGCCGCCTGACAACTCATGATTAGTCGGTACATGAATGGATAGGGGAACAATCGAGTATCAAGGCGCAAGAGTACAGCTCAGCCTCGGTGCTGAGTGCAGGCTAATACAGGCGGACCGCAGACCCGCTCCGATGGCCGAAACGCTGTCACAGCCGTCCGATCTTCAGCTAATGAAGCCAGTCTAAGAGTGCAATTTGGGCTTTAGCTGAGGACACCTAGGACCTTCCACGTGATCCGGACCTCTGGTAGAAATTTTGACGGAGCGATCTGAACCGTCCAATTCGTTAACGTTAACCAGATGGACGCTGGTGACAGCAAAGAGGCTTGTCCCCCAGCCATTTCTCAGATCTGCAGACCGCCTGAATATCAGCGGCGAGGTGACCAGAGGTTGAATCGTGAATTGGCCGTTTCTCAGGTATAGCGCGTCCCGCGACCGGAGGTAAGCTTGAAGAGGTTTTCATTGCAACAGCTGTATCGAAGCTCTTGTTCCTATCTGTGCGGGGCCTTCAAATCTTGTCGGAGCACCCCGCGAGAAGTCTAGCCACAGGCTGGCCGCCCGCTGAGGAGACCGGCTACCTCAGTCTGACATCAGTCATTGACCTGCAACTTGCTTCCCGCTGAGTGTCATGCAACTTGCTCCCCGCTGAGAATAGACTTTGGATCGCTCTGCGCACTCAAAAGCCTAGCTAAGCCGAATGCGCAGCTCTGATTCCTGAGTTGCAGCTGTTGAACTCTGCCAGCGACAATAAGAAGCTGCTTGACTCAGTGACGGTGACACTGCAGGCGGGGTGTTGAGCAGCACTTTGAATCTCTAGCTCCTCACGACAATGCTAGATTTTGGTGATGCTGAGGCAATGCTGGGCTGGCCTTCGTGTTGGATACGTGGAACAAAGCCCAGCAAGTCTCGGTGGTTTCTGGCCAGGATTTGCATTGTGGTGAACACAGTGGGTCAGCCAGCTGCCAATCAAGCTCTGTTCGATGTTGGGAGTTGACAATGCCACGGCGTGGGCTAGAAGATCTGAAGAGTAAAGTTTGCGAAGTAACAAGTGGAAGGTGATAGTTTACTTGGTAGCTACGCGAAAAAGCTGGAGAAAAGTGCTGATATTGCGACATAGCTCCAAGGAAGGGATAAAGGGGAAGAGGGAGGTTTGACCAGTGTTCCAGCAGGAGCCCGATCTAATGTTCTCGAAGTTGCTCTCTCTGGGCTCCCTCTGCTCAAGTTGGGTCACTTGCGGTAGTCCGAAAAGACATAAGGCAGCTAAGCTGCTACAAGTATTCTGAAGTTGCAAGGAGCTCGAGCTAGCTAAGAAGCACACACGTGTCCCATCTAAAGGGCTTCTAAATCAAGCAGAAAGAGTGTCTGCACTTAGAGCAGAGTTGGCTGCTACTAGTCATTTCCAAACTAGGTGCATCTTATCAGCTCTTGAGGCAATCCCAGGTCCTGTTATGGACTTGGCAGTTTGGTCTTACGATGGGGTTTGCAAAAGGAAAGTCAGACGAGTAAAAGGTGTACAAGCCTGACCTTCTGGCAGATAGAGGAGACAAACTGCTGAACTTGTGCACGGACACGAACGACGAAATATGGCTGCTCTTACAAATACAACATGCAACAAGTTTGTGACAATACTGTTGGGACTGCTAGTACTGGTGATAGGGGTGCAATCGCAAGGGGAGGCAAGAGTATCAGGTGTGCATTCCAACCTGTACTGTCAAGGGTGGCTGGCTGACTTTATCACAGACACCCCAGCAGATTGGCCATTGTGTGACTGAGGCCTGCAGGTCGTTGGTAAAGTTGAACTTCTAGCAAATGTGCTCCAATGAGTTGAATTGACAAAGTCAGCAAGTGTCATGCATGAGCTTTCACCAGAGTGGATTCAAAGGCAATAACCAGCAGGCCAGGAGCTTCGTTTGCTTCTGAGTTGATTCTGAGAGCAGCATGGGATGTAAGTTCCGATTTCTGGTCTGGAAACTTGGCTAGTTGCCTTCTTGGTTATTATTCAGTGAGCGTGCAGCTGTACTAGCAGATCTGCTTTGTTGCAGCAGCTTGCATTCCGAAGCACTTAGCAATCTAATTGCATCGGCGCTTGGCATGCTTGAGAAATGATCTTTGAACATGCCTGTCGTCCTGAACTACTGCCTTCATGAATCTGAGGAAACTACGTGTAATGCAGCTACTTTCTTTTGGAGTTGAAGCACGGCAACTGCATGCAGCATTGCCTGGACCGATCAGAAGATAGCCTGAGCTTTTCAGGTCAAACCTCACTCGATCATATCGATATCCATTTTGCAGGTGGAGAGATCCCCAAAGCGACTCTCCTAGTTCTGAGCAGTGACTCCCTGGGGGGCTTTCCACTCGGCACAGCTAGCTCAGGGTTGAAGCTGAGAGCCATTTTCTCTCAGCCAGTGGCGTTTGTGGATTTGGACAAGATCACAGCTGCCAATGGCGCCTTGGACTCTTTCACTCTCAAAACGTTCGGTAAGTTTTTCCTCTGACCAAAGAATCAAACAAGCACGAGTGCGAAATCACAGGATCTTTCCACAGAAATCTTCCAAAGCATGGTGACAGCCATACTGGGGAAATAAGAGAGCTCAATGGCTCGCAGCCTGATCGTACTTTAGCGAACACATTGATCTTGTTCCTGCCAAAAACTTTATGCTGCAACATAGTGGCAATCAGCCGTATTCATGCCACTTTGTCTCTTTGCTTGCTTCGAAGAGCTGCTTCCCTTGTGTTTGTACTCACTCCATCCTTTGACACTCTGACCCAAGAACGTCCATCTCAACACCACCCTGCAGCTGCTACAGACACCTAAATACTTCAAATCTATTGCCTTTCAAGTACGAGACAGAATCCTTGCTTCTCCCCTCCGGTCATAAAAATGGAATATTTTGACCCTCAAGTTTCGTCCATTTTGTTTTTCCACGGGCAGCCTGACCTTCCTCTATGCTTCGAGTCAACTCAGCATCGAGAAGCTTGAGAGAACATGCAGTCGCAGCGCTCTCAAACTCACATAGTTTCTTCTCATTCTGCTGCAGACAACACCACGAGCAGCCTGACCCTCCTCCTTGGCGGTGCTCCCGTCACCCAGCTCAACAGCACCCAGGGGGATCCCTCCGCTGACCGCTCCGCCTGGCGTGGCCTTCTCGGCCCCGTCGCGCTCGACTTCTACGTGCGTCCGGCGCACTCCTTGACCACTGTCAACATTACATTACAGGCGGGGGCGTTTGCTGATGCCAGCGGGATTGTAAACGTGGAGCCGGCGTCGGTCGCTTTATTCTACGGTGAGCAAAGAATCGGATCTAACCGTGATAGAGGTTTGCTCATGACGGCTAATGGACACGTCCCTTCTTTTAGATATTCAAAGCTAGCAACGATCGACCGCTGATCGGAGTTTCGAAGTGACCATAATAAGGTCGATCAGAGAGGTTGGGGGAGCAACGACGTACTTTCGGACTATGCTGAGAGGCGATGTTGAAAGCTCGATGATGTTTACTCGATAGCCATCCGGTAACTGCACGAAGGGGTACCGGTCATTTCGGAGTCGGTAGCACTGTGCTTTGGCGCGGATCGCCTTGACCGCCAATCCAAAAGAAACATGCTTACCAGGTGAATCTGATTACGCTTCCTGTATCGTCGTAAGCAGACAATAATTGAGACCTTTTAAACCCTTTTCCGCAGACCCCACCAACCCGGTCTCCCTCCCTGACTTCCCCTTCGTGAGCTCCATCGACCAGACCAGCGTGACCCTAACCTTCAGCTTTACCAAAACCTGCACGGTTAACTACACCCTGGTTAACCAACCCATCGGTTATGGCCCGGGGAACTGGACCACCCTCCCGAACCCCCAGCAAAAACTTGACCCGCTGAAAACTGGGGCGAGCGTCAACGGCTCCGTTGTTGTGCTCGCTGGAAAAGTTGCCAGGGTAACCGTGGGTGGGTTAGCGCCTAACCAAGGCTATTTGCTGCTGGTCAGTGCAATAGATCAGTACGGGAACCAGGCCCAGGCTGTCTCCGGGGCGGCTTTGCGAACCCGGGACGTTGCGAAGGGCGCAGGTACGAAATACGATTCTCGAAAATTTTGCTAAATGTTCCATTCCTTCATTCGCTTCTCTTTGATAAGAACGGATTCTGATGCATGCATTTGTTTCTTGGCCGAGTGGCCCGGGTTGAGCTTGTGAAAGGACAAGTTACTTCAAAACATCCGAGACTTAAGAATAGTGCCCCGGCCTTGTTTGTGGGCACTTACAGGAGAACGGTTCTCTTGAAAATATTCAGAAGGAGCTTTGTCGGATGCAAAAGGTCATCTTAAAGTCTTCCCAACTCATTTCCATTTTATCTGTTCAAAACTGCCTTTTTCTGACACAAGCGCGAGGTTTGCTTCGGCCTTGCGACCATGCGCCATCCTGCATCTTCACAAACATTTTTGCTCTCTTAGTCATAGGTCGCAACGTCTCTTCTCTCGTATATTATGCAGTCGGCGACCCGTCGCTGACCCCAGGACCGGTCGCCGCTGAGACCGCTGAAGTCTTCATTGCCACGGCTTCAAGCGGCGACACATCCACCCTGCGTTACGCGACAACACCATTCAACCCGAACTCTTTGGTCCCCACACAGACCGCTATTCCCTCTTGCGACCCGTAAGTCAACTGAAAGATTCTTGTGGTCAAAGGGTAATATGCTTCTCACTAGCATTAAGAATTCGGAAATGTGGCACATGAGTCCCGCATCTCATCTTTTGAATGTAAAAACTGGAGTTCGCGAACGTTTACGCACACGCGTCCAATGAGTCTTTGCCACAACAAAGCTCCTTTCGGAATTTAACACTGCTTATGAAGCATCGTTCCGCCTGGGCACTTTGGTCCTGAGATTTTCGCATTTTTCTGTATGCAGAAAGGATACAAACTCGCAAATAGCCTCGAACAACGGGACGCTTCAGTTTAGCTCTTCCGTTATCGTCTCGGTAAGCTTTCCTTATTCTCCTCCTCTACCAGAATCAGCGACACAGGATGCCGTGTCGGGGTGTAGGCATTTGGTCCTGTTTTCCTCACTTGATTTTGCAGCACGTGTTGGATTGGCACCCAGTTACTCTCGAACCAGCATCCCCCGACCGCAAAATGCACAAAATTACATTGAAACCTAGTCCAGTCTCCTACTACGGAAATGATGGATGGAAAAGTGCTCTGGAATGCATCCTGACTGCAGCTGTCAGCGTTACCTTGGAAGTTTCGTCGACGTCCTGTTCAAGCCTCGATTCCACCCTTGAATTTCTTGCCCATGACAAGTCTTACGAGATTTTCCGTTTCACAGCAACTATGAATCACCCCTAGGCAATTGAACTGAGAGCTCTGCTTGCAGGCCATTGCATGCGGCAACGGCACTTCGAGCAACATTGTGGACCAACCCGTGGCTACACAAGGTACGTCATCAGAAGTAAAGTGTACGATCGCAATCCAGAACAAGGAAAGATTGGAGAATCGAAACGAAGCACTTGACGAGTAGATACTCTCAAGTGTAACAGTTGTTCACTTTGTTTTTGCACCATTGGATGCGTTGTGACAACGACATCGAGATGGCCCTTTTTCGACCATTGACGACCAGGGACAAACGGATTGTTGGGCGTTCAAGTCCGGCTCTCTAGAGTTTCTTTTGGGAGCCTGGCTTACGCTACAGAAATATATAGTGTTTCGGGTTGGATACAGACTTTGATCGTAGCAGATCAAAATCTGACAGAGTTTCCTACTGAAGATGCCCATGGAAAGGCAAAGGCCTCCTTAGCGACTTACGAACGCCTCGAAATACTCTGATCTCGTCGAGCTGTCGAGTCTCGACTTCGATTTTACGGTGCTTGATACATTCCTTCGGCTCATTCTAGGAGCTTTGGCGTGAGGTTTTGTTTGACAGACCTTTGAGGAATGTCTAGATTTGAAACAGCTCTCATCTTTTGCAGCGGCTGCGCCGATTCTGACGCTGCCGGCGGGCCCTTTCTTCGACGCCGTATCGGTCGGTTTGCTGTACAATGGATCGATGCCCAACACTACCATCAAGTGAGTCGGAGGCGCTTCTCCGGCGCTCTTGCTAGTCTGAAAATCTCAAGAAACCTCAACGTTGGCGCTTGATACTCAACGATTCTGACCGGGGATACAAATGATTCATCTCGACTCACAGCGGAGTATCTAATTTGCAAGCGATGCAAAATTCTGATTGATAAAACTGGAGAGAGAGGCAGGACCAAAAATTCATCATTTAACCTTTGGTATATTTCCTTTCCCCACCACTTCAAAGTTTCCTTGCACGTATAGCATGCCGCTCCGCGCAAGCTTTCCTTGTGACGCTTTCCCGATATCCATCGAAGATGCAAAGCGACTAATTTATAGTTGGGAGTAAGTACAGATTACGCCCCTGAAAAGCCAATTGGTCTTAAGCAGAGTTGAAAGCTCCGACGGACCAAGCACGCTGAAGAGCTCCGTTCTTGAGCAAGTTGTTCTTCTTGCAGGTATACTTTTACGCCTGCTGGAAGCCCCGTTATGACGCCGGCTTGCCCCTACACTGGCTGGGCAGGTTACGGGTAAGCTCCAAAAACAACCAACTTTCGTTCAAGGCTCGTTGCAATTTCAGACGTGTTACGCTACCAAAGTCAGTTGCTTCACGCAATCAAAGCGGAGTAGGGAAAATCCGTTCTTGTTTTACAGTTAAGCTTGATTAACAAGGTTCTCGAAATGGACCGGCTCAAGCTGGCACGCAGAAACTTCCTGTGCACTTGGCCAGACGACAATACTTCGGCAAATCGTTTTGGTTGACTACTTGATCCTCACAGTCAAGTAGGTTGATCGCGGTTGCCACGTGCCGAATTTCCCGTTTCATTTTGAATTGCCAGGTGAAGAAACTCGCTCACGCAAGTGCTTCAACGCCGCTGCCCCAGAGCTCAGTTGAGCTTCCCAATGGCAATAAGAAGCCCAAGTCCGCTCAAGGGCTCTCTCTCTCTACTTCGACGAGAACGACTTTCACACACCAGTTGAGCGGAACAGCTGAAAGTGGAATCCGATTTTTGCAGCCGGAAAACAGCACCCCAAGCGGATATCACGCTCACTGCATCCGGGACACTACAGGCTGTCGCGTGTAGCAACGCGGGCCTCGTCAGTGACGTGGTGTCAAGTGGGCCAATCTTCATCCGAGGTGAGAGCATGTCTTTGCCGCAATCTAACGAACATTGTTCAAGTTGTTTCTATCGCTCCAATCTGGCTCCAACTACTTACTTTGCGCTGCTCGTGAGCCTGGAATTACGAATAAACGCGCTTAGTAGAACTGGGTATTCCCACCTTGGAAAGTCAAAGGAGATCGCAACTACGAAGGAAATATGGTGTGATGGCTAAAGGTCTAAGTTCTGTAGTTCCATGAACAACTGTATGCGGAAGAAGTTCCAGGGGGATTTTCCATTGCGTCGTCCTGTCTGAAAGATAGGCTCATCAGGATGGTCTTCGTTCTGATTGGATGTGCAGTCCCATTTCGCTTGACCCTTCTTTCCCCAGCTTTGCACCCCAGTTTACCAGACTGAAGCCTCCCTCCTGGAGCCATCCGCTGTTTTGCCAATCCCTTTCACCCTCGTAGAATCCATTTTTGGTTACGATCTTAACCTCCCTCAACCCAATCCCTCAACTCATTCTTCCCCAGCTTCCGCGCCTCGGGTTATCCAAACCGACGCCTCCCTCCTAGCTCCCTACACCGTGTCCCTGAACACGTCCACTCCCGGTGCTACCATCCGGTACATTCACAGTCCACTGACTGGGCCCGTGCTGACGTCACCCCTCACGTGCAATACGCCCGAGGCGCTGGTTGCCGACGTCATAACGGGTGACGTCGTCTTGTGGGAGTCCGGAGTGCTCACGGCGATCACGTGCAAGGACGGGATCTTTGACAGTGACGTCACCGTGAAACGGCTCACTCTGCAAGGTGAGCTCAGGAACGGCGTTTGCTGAAAGCGATGAGATTTTCTGACGTCAAGACGTACAAACTTAAACACTAGAATACAGGCTTTCTCTTGCATAAAAGTTGATAGCTGAACGGAACTCTCCTGCGCGAGGTTTCGTCGAAGGCAGACTTTTAATTACCGCTTCGCTCAGCTGATCAGGCAAAGTCTAGAACCAGCTCTGCAACTCTATCTCCAAGCCCTAACACATTTGACTGAGCAACTCAACACCTGGGGCTCAGTGTTAACCGCTAAAATCTTCCCAGCTTCTATTCCCATCTGAACATTTTCTCCATGCCCATTGCTAACCTCTTTGCTTTCTCCTCCCCCCCCCAGCTTCCCCGCCAAAGTTCACCCCCACCAAGGGCCTCGGCCCCTTCAACCTCACCATCACTACGCGCACTTCCGGCGCGCTCCTCCTCTACACCTCCGACCCGAAAATCCCGCTAAGGTGCCCCTCGCTCGCCACACTTTCCGGGGGGTCCTCGGGACCGTCCACGTCAGCGCCCCCCAGCAATTTCACGCTCGCTCCGACGGTTTTCTCTGGAACAACTCCGGTGGTTGTCCCGGTGACTGGGACGGCGCTTTGGAGGGCGACCGCGTGCCCGGCTGGAGGCGTCAGCCTGTCGCCCAGCGCGGAGGTCAATGCCACCGTCGTTGTGGCCCAAAGTGAGTTTTCCGGGCGACCTATCGGCTGTTGAGCTCCTCAGCGGAAGGAGAGGAGATGTATACGTGGGCTGAAGCGGATTTCTAGGAGTGTCCGAGACGTGGTTACTTTATGCCGACTTCTTGTCACAAACTGCCTCGTCTTTGGTCTTAAAATGACTACATGTGAAGGCCAATGAGAGCATCTGCAACCTTCTGCATTTCAATCCTGTCCGTATTTTTCTGTCCGTTGAGCAGCAAATTCCAGCCCCGAAAATTGCAGCCCTGTCCGGGTTGGAATGAGAGACAGCTGTACGGGCACCCCTTCCCCGTCAGCTCAATTCAAGCGCGAATGCGACTCCGTTGATCATCTGATACCGACCCCTCCCTCTTTACGGTTCCTGGCCCTGACGTCACCGTCTCGCTCTGACATCACCTCCGCGCTCTCTCCCGCAGTCGACCCGTCCCTTCTGCCGGCTGGCCAGGCCCAGGTGACCGCCGAAGTGACGATCCTCGACGCGAATCTGTCCATCTTCAATGACACGAAGGCGCAGCTGCGCTTCGAGACGGCGATCGCTTCCGCCATCTCCCTTTACAAGAATCTGAATGTAAGTCGGCTTCATGGTTTCCTTTTCTGTACGATTCAGACGATATCTTTTGTTTCTGTGGCCGGGTATGGTGGTGGGATGTGCGGACCACTCGCTGCATCGCTGACAAGCAACCAGTTTTGGCTATTTCGGGTTGTTGCCTAAGATTCCTTGATGATTCTTTTTTAAGAGCATTGGTGCAACCTTTTCTGTTGAAAATCTCTTAGTTTTCTACTCTCAGCATCTCAGGATCCTCATAAGCCATCTGGAAACGAAAAGGTTCTATTTTTCTGCTCATTTATACTCCGACAGAATGCATCGCAGGCAGTGTTCTTCAGGATCGTCAAGGTGCACAATCAAGCCGCTGTAGCTCGCACATGTTGCTTCCGAAGCAGTACGTTCAATCTCAGCCCGCTCCATATCCTTTCGGCATCTAGAATGGATCAGGGTGGTAAGCAAAGCCGTGAGAAGCTTCATTAAAATCGCGGTCATTTGTTGCGCAGGTGTCCCCCAACAACGTCATCGTGACGAGCATCGTCCTGGCCGGGCCGCCGGCCGGGCCGCCGGCCGGGTCCGCGGGGCGGAGCACCCTAGAAACGGGGCCCCGGTTTAAGCAAACGGGGACCCAACGCCGACTGCTGGCTTCTAACCAAACGTCAGCAAATGCCACGTCAGCAAAAGTCGCATCCGTTGGACCGACGTCATCCACCGCCCCCTCGAACCAGTCTCTGCCTTCGATCACGGTTTCTTCCGCGCCGCAAAGCTCAAACGCTTCCCTCGAGAACAGTGACCCTGGCACCAATACGACGTCTCTAGTTGTCCAGTTTACAGTGGTCACCACTCCGGTTCTGGCCCCCGCCGTCCGTTCCGCTCTGACGGCGTCCGTCCAGAACGGAACGCTCGCGAGCGCACTGACCGGAGCGGGTTTCAAAGTGGGGGGCTCCTCCGGGCCCGTGAGCGGACCCCCTGTAGCGGTGAGCAGCTCCAGTCTCGTGCCGACCGGTGCTTCTGCCCCGGGTGCCGCGCAGAATGTAACGAACGGTACCGTGGTGCCGGTGAGCGTTACCGCGGCCAACGGGGTGGCGCTGACGGCGACCGGGCTCCAATTCGCCGCAGCGGACGCGCAAAATTGCGTCTTCACGGCGCAGTCTGGGGGATGCACGCTGAGGTAAGCAATCCTCGTAGCTGACGTGTCTATCTCCCCAACCTGAGCCCGCCCAGGATGCTGTTGCGAATCTTCGTTCCTGCTTCGATTAGGTGTTACTATCGTGCAGGGGAAAGAGTATCGAGCAGATGAGGAACAGACATTCACATTCCCTTGCATTTTGACTGCACGAAACGGGTCCATCCCGGAATGGATGACAAAAGTTTGGAGAGACCAAGGAGACTCATGTAACAGGAAGAATTGAGAACGGATGAGTAGGTTTCAACGCTTGGTTTTCCTCTTTGCAGCCCGTCAGCCAACAAGCAGTGCGCGCGCCTCGTGAACTACACGCTGATCACCGCGGCCGGCCCCGCGGGGACCGCGTGCCCCGTCGGGCTGTCGCCCCTCTTGACACGTGTCCAGGCGTTTGAGGGCTGCCCAGTTGAGCAATGTGGGGGCTCAGGTAAGCCTCGAGAACTCCTCGACTTTGAGTCACACGCAAGACGGCAACGTGGAGACATGCTGGGTGGATCTTCGATAGTCATCGCCAAAACTCCAGTTAGCTCCTCAATCGGAAAGAACCTCGCCTCTCCTCGTTGTGTGTGGACACGTTCTGCAGTGCCAAGTCTCTCGTCCTCTCATCGACGAAAGAAGATGACGTTTCCAGCCACTTCGGCTCTTTGCACTTGCTGCCATCAACTTATCAACGTCGGAGACATTATTGTTGCCACTGACACCCTGCCATTCCGTTCCATTCCGTTCCAGGCGGCAGCGGCGGCTCGTCCCTGCCGGTGGGCGTGTGGGTGGTCATTGCCGTCCTCATTGCGGTCCTCTTCGTTACTCTCATTGGGGGTCTTATTTTGTACCGCGCGAGGAGCCGCAGAGCGCGCGAGCCGCGCACCGCAAAGGACCCCGAGACCACTTGGCAAGCGCCCGTGGTAAGTTCTGGAAGCTTTTGAATCAATTCTGTGACTGATTGCTCGTAAGGTTGGAACTCGAAAGGTCGTGTTACTTGAAACAACAAACGCGAAAATCAGGTAAATGCACGTGGCAATGTAGCTTGTTTTGGGGAGTCGCCAAGCCCAATGCTTTAAAGCGAAGAACTCGCTTTGAATTGGCTTCTTGCATCCTTTTTGTTAATCCTCCTTCTCTCGGTGAGCCTGCGATTTGAAACAGCTGTTATGTTGAACGCTCTACATCACTAGCAGTGCCCGTGGAAATGCGCCCTGCAGCTTTCAGATTCTCTTGCTTGGGTTTAGGCACAACCCGCTTTCTTCATCTTATCATCATCTTAACCGAGTCCTGCGGTCTCACGTCAACTCGCCAAGCTTCCATTACCCGCAAGCAAACCAACGAAAGAGACTCCATCCCTCCTCAACCCGTGTGATAACAACACCATCTCTGTCTTTCGTCTTCGAAGAACAGCTCCTCAACACACTGGTTAACTCTAGATTGTAAAAACGAGAGATTGATCTTAGATACGTAAGCCCAGGGAACCTCAACTAAAAGCCCAGAATTTTACGCACTCCGCACACGCAACCACCGTATCCCCAAAACTAGCCCTATCCCCGGGTGCTTACCTTCAAAATCCAACCGAGAGTAACCGAAGTTTCTTCAAGCTTGCTTTTCCAACCCTTTTTTTCTTCTTTCAGAGGAGCGCCCCGACTGCTAGCCACTTTCAGAGCGGAGGCGACGTGGGCATGCGGGGCGCGCCCATGTGGGACAGCGCGACCGTCGCGCGCGCGGGGCACAGCGACGTCGCGGACGCGCGCGAGCGCCAAGCGGGCGCGGAGGAGGGCAGCATCGTCGACTTTGAGGTGCGCGTCTGCTTCTGAGAACCTCGATTCCGCGCATGAAACCGAGTTTGATAGGTGTTCAGATCTTCTGCCGAGCGCGCAAGCATATCACCCTATTGTACTTAAACTTCTATCTGAATGTATGCTTAGGGCGTTCCAAACAAGATAACTCTGTTTGCTGGATTTCAAAGACAAAAAAAGCATGATAGAGGTAAGGTTCATGAAATAAATCGTGGGGTCCAGACGACGTGGAGGGTAGATCCAGGAAAAAAGGTGGATCCAGGTTGGGGGCTAGGCTGGATATGAGTGCGAAGCCTATTTTAGTGTTTTACCGATTCTTGGATCTCTAAAACGCGGTTTTCAATAACGGCTGATACAGCGGTTGTCTGTTTTTGCGGAAGGATTTCCAATCGGAGCATCTTGGTGCGTTCTGTGCAAAAAGGTCTTCTGTTTGCATCCATAAGCGCTTCAACCTACCTTGAAATACTTCCTTGCTTTGACCATCATTCTCTAGGTTGAGAAGGAACAAAGACTGAATCTCTTCGCTCCTGTTCCTGACAGACCTATTGCGAGGCCTGGGACCGTCGATTCGTCAACTCCGCGGGCGGCCGCCAAGCGGGGCCGATTCACACCACCAGCGACGCAGGAGACGAAACGTCAACGGAGCCCATTCACACGGGAGCCGAGTTCGAGGACAAGCCAGTGGACGACGGGCACGTGGCAATAGAGGAGCGCCTTCTCACCAAGGCGCGGGAGCGCGTTCACACCGAAGCAGAGGAGCCGTGCAAGAAGAAGCAGCGGCAGAGGACCCTGTCGATCTCGTATGACGACACATCGCCTATCGTTGACCCGCTCAACGTGGAAAGCAGCGCCTCGGGCCCGATCTTCGACGCTCCATCGCTTATAGCGCCGACACAATCGCCTATGCACGCCGACTTTTTGGACCAGTCCAAATCGGGCTCCTTAGTGTTGGGCTCCGCACTCTCGTCCCCAGCTGAGACGTCGGCCGTAAACACAGCCTTGGTCAGCTCTGAACCCGAGGGTTTTGAGGGCGCCAACGCGGCCGCGAAGCGCGTTCGTGCCGGGGGTAAGGGTTTTAGCGAGGACAGTATGGAGGAGGTTGTCCTCGAGATGATGCGCATCGACCAGGAGTCGGTCGCGCGGCCGGGCTTCGCGTCGCCAGCGGGCGCGGCGAAGCCCCAGGGTTTGGGCGGGGTTTGGGAGGAGGGCAAGGTCACCGAGAAGGTGACGTCAGTCGAGGGCGGCGCCGTGACGTTGACCGCATTCGAAAACTGGCCGCTCACCGCGCCCCAGCAGGAGACGGTCAACGAGATGACGTCCCAGATCCGCGTCGGGCTGACGCCACGCGACGTCAGCCCGAGCATGATGCGGCGGGGCGGCGTTCCGCTGCCAGCGCGGAACCCGAGCCCCGGTAACGGGAGCCGGAACCCCGGGCTGCCGCCGAGAGGGTTACCGGTAACTGGGGCGAAAACCCCGGGTTTGCCCCGCAGCACCAGCCCGGGGTTACCGAGGAGCCAGAGCCCGGCGGAGGGTGCCGGGAAAATGATCCACCGCAGCTCGACGCCGCCGTATTCCGCTGCGCCGAATCCGGAATCCTCCGGACTGCCCAGGAGAGCTAAGGTGAGGGGCGGACTTGCATAATTGTGAATCTGGACTTTGCGAGAATCGTACCCCTAGGCTCTCGCGTTCTCCAAGTCTCGTTTGTTGACCGAGACTTAAAATCTAACCGTGCGTACTGTGTGCTGACAAAAGCGCTTCGAACAGAAGTGGAGCTGGAAGCGAGCGCGGCTGACCGTCCTTCAGAGGAATGCAAAGAGTTTGTTCTCTCCTGCCGTTTCTTTTTGACGTGTGCACAATGTCTGACTCTCATACCTGGTGTGGTTTTTCCCTGCAAAGAACTTCGGGTAAAACTTCGGAAAGGGCAGCCCGCCGCGTATGCAAACAGGGAAGAATTATTCGGATCCTTCTTTGAAATCAAAATGGTCGGTTAAAATATAATTTTGAAACGAGACACGCTGAGTAAGATATCCTACTTTCGCATGACGATTTGCCAAAGGGCTTATACGGCTGAAACATACGTGATTTAGTGTGCCTTCTTTGCGGCAAAGAAACAGCAAGTCAGTCGTACGCAGACCCTTTCTCAAGCCCCGTTACAAGACTGAGCCATGCACAGCAAGTAAAATATTTCTGACCCCTCAGTGCCTCCATCGCAGACTCCCGACCTCCTCCAACGACCGCGCGAGGCCCTCACGCGCTACTCGCAGGGCTTCCTCACGCATCGATCCTCGCCCTCTACACCCATCAAAGGTCGCCCGGAATCCGGCGAATTGGTTGGAACGGAAGCGGCGCCGGAGTCGGCGGAAAAGCGCCGGAGCAAGTCGTGCGAGCGGCCGCGCGAGCGGAGCGACAGCGACGAGCGGATCGACCGCGAACTCAAGAACCTGATCGTGCAGATGAAAGAAGGAATGGAGTGCCCAGAGCCTTTGGTGGTCAATTTTGACGACAAGGATGGTGTTTCGGCGGAAGGCGTTCCGGCGGACGGAACGGGGGCAATCAGCGATGCGGTCGATGCATCTAAGGAGGGCGGAAATGGAAGCAGAAATGGAAGCGGAACCGGAAGCGTCAAGCGGAGCGAGAGCCTAAGCAAGCTGGGCAAGCGAATCGGCTCTTGGATGAAGGGCGAGCCGAGGGGGATCCCCTCGGTGCCCGTGTCCGAGATCCACGTCGTCAACCGGACGTCCGAGAAATTAGAGGCGGGCAGCGTTACGGACGCGGACGACGACCGCAGCTCCATGATGGGCGACAGCGAGCGCTCCGTCGGCTCGACCGCGGTCGCCCACGACCCGCAGGGTTTCAGGGTTTGGGCGTGGCTGCGGACCGCCGCGCACCCGGACGCGCGCAGCGTTGTGTCCGAGCCGGACGCCGCGGAGATGCGCGCGAGCGAGCCGGAGGTGTGCGCAAGCGACCCGGAGATGGGCGAGGTGCACGCGCGCGTGGAAGGGGACTCGAGCGGGGAGGCCTCGTTTTGGAAGAAGCGGATCTTCGGGCGCAGCCTTTCCACCATGACGTTTAACAGCCCGCCCAAGGACGGGGCCCAAGAGGAGCAGAGGCAGCAGCTTCGTCCGAGCTGGGCAGCCGTAAGCTACTAATTGACTGGCCATAAGCTATACTACTTTACTAAAAACGTGGACAGCCGGCGATACAAGTAGCACGTAGCTAGAGCTAGCCATTTTTGGTCAAAGCCGTATGTATCATCCTTCGGCTGGGACCAAATATGAGATATTATAGCGTATGACGGATTTAATTCGAAAGAGTGGAACTGAAGGCTGGCACTTTAAGTTATGACTGACAAGGTTACTTTAGATCAAGGAACTCTTAAGTGCGGGGCTATGGCATACGGCGAATGGACCCGCTTTTGGAAGTTCCCTAGCACAGGTAGCTCTCACAGATCAGCACCTCGCTGATCTTATTAGTGGATTAGTAGGTAGATGCAAGAACTGACTCGTGGCACGAATCCCGTACTATTCATCCGCGAACGACTGGCGAGATGACTTTTACCGGTTTTCAATACGTTCAAGAAGGCATCTGAAAGTTGAGTGCTCCGGGTCGTTTCGATCTTCATGACTATTTTTGCACGGTGGCGCCAATTCTGGACCACATATAGTTCCTTGTATGAATGATAGGGCCGGAAGCACTCTCACATCTGCTTCGGTGGTCTGCACGAGTGGGGACGTAGATCTTTCAATATTTGCCATGCTTGATCAAGGCCCCATCAGTGTCACCAGAAGGGCCATGCATGATGACGTGGTTAACCCGAGAACCACGACTTCCATCAGCCGTAAGCAGAAATTCGCACTCTCAGTAGAGGTTTTCGACGATAGGATGGAACGAGTTGATGATACCGTGGACTTTCACGAAGGCAAAAGACAATATCGTTTGATATAAAAGGGACTATATGTAGATCGATCTCGCTCACTTTGCAAGCGCCTCATGAGATGAGGGTTGGCAAGATGAGCCAAGACTTGCAAGGAAACTTTATAACATAATCGAAGTAATCCAATCATCAAATAGTTGAATAGGACAGCTTACTGACGGTTCTGCAGATCGTACTGCTCAGCAACACTGCCGGCTCTCAGTACTTTTTTGTAGCTAGATGATCCGAGAAGTTGGACCTGACTATTCTCGCCAGTCAGCTGCGTTCACCCTGCAGCCGACCAGACACACTACTCGTCGACTAGCTCGGTAAATCTCGTTTTGCTGCCTCGAACGCTCGAAACACATTGTCGACTGACAATCTGAAACGTGTGAAGGAGATACTGCATCAAGAACACTTCCTGATCATCAAGTGTTCTTCCTGACTATACGTCCGATCCAGCGCGCGCGCGCATCTCAATGTCACCGCCCACGTTGTTTCCCGCCCGCAGCTTCCCATACGCCCTGGATAAACAACTAGAGCAGCGGTAGATGGCCGCAAATGCGATGGTCCACCAGCAGGTAACGGCGACCGTTATGGCAAACCAGAGCCAGAATATCATGCCCACGTCGTGATCTACCTTGCTTTGAGAAGCCTGCTTGGCCTCCCGGATATAGAGCCCCTTGAATCTGGTTGCAACTATCCGTGAAACCCACGTAAACCTGGAAAATTTCTCTGATTGTGCAGGGGTAAATTGTCAGATTGGCCTTGCTAGCTGCTAGAAAGGCGTTCAAGCCTGCTGGGTCGGGCAATTCCACCGGGGTCGCGGGTTTTTGCGCTACCACCGCAAAGTACACAGTAGGGACCAAAAATACAAACATGGGTGGCAAGGAGACCCACAGATGAAAGTAAACCCACAGGAATTTCTGTTTCAAGGGCGCCGAACAAAACTCTTTTGTGAGGTCCAGGTCTTTCACAACTCCTGGCCTCAGCAAGTCTTTGGCATACTCCCTGAAGGATGGGTCACTGCACAGTCCTACGCAGTATAAGATCAACAAACCCAGGGTTATCAGCGACCAAATTGAACAAACCCCCTCGAAAACATCCCGAGCCCTGTGCCGAGGTTTGAGAAACGGGTCCTCGCCCTTTCTGACCATTTTAGGCGCGCTCGCGCACCCCCCTGGGTGCTCAATAGTGTAGAAGTCAAAAGGGGTTTCATACACACTTCCATTGCAGAGCTGCAACTGGAGAGGGGGGTGAAAGGGAACAAGCGGGTTGGGCTGATTTGCGTTGTTTTGCAGATATGCGTTGATGCGCCCTGGGTCAAGCAGGCTGGTCGTCCCATTGACGTGGATGACGTATTCGACCGTGAAGGACTCACTCAATTGAACAAAAGCTGTGGCGATGAGAGCTAAGAAGACAGCAAACGCGAACCTGGTAAAGCGCCCCATTATATCTCCCGTACTCTTTCGTTCTTAGTGATTAGCTACCTGTAGTCTTAATGTGCCGGGCGGAACTCAATGGCTGAGTCATGCAGACTGAGTGACTTGCGCCGAGCGGGTCACGCGGCCGCTTACTTGCCGGGATTTGGGAGGTTTAAGTATGTGCAATGCTTGGAGCGGACTCGAGCGTCCGACACCGCGGCCGCGGCCGCGGAAGCCCTGGAGCAGGCGGATCGGCCAACCATGTATTGCCATCGTTACTTGAGTGAGGGCGTCAGAAGCGACGTAGAGCTGGCAATTCACGCATCTCATAAGCGGCCCGTGCATCTCGTATAGGAGCGCTTCTTTGTGCTACCATCCGACGGGAATCAGTAGAATAGCGCGATGCATGTACTACGAAAACAAAGGTGATGTCGAGAATGGAATCCTGAAAATTGACGTTGATGATTGGAGACTCGAGTGTCATCATGCGGTCTACTATGCAATACCGAAGCAGATCATACTTTGCTCACTAGAGAAGACCACTGATCTCATCCGGTGCGCTCATGCGAAACGTTCTTCCTTCAGCAATTCGTGTTACAATAGCGCGTGCATGCGTTTGATGTTCAGATTTGACACCAGCTGGGCTATTGCGAAGAAACGAGGGCAGTACTTTTCGTGTTGTAATCCAATGATCTTCAAAAGCGGTGAATTTATCGGACAGATTCGGGTTGCCGGCCGCCCTTTCCAAGCCTTAGACGCTCATGCTCAGCCTTTAACGAGAGAGCAGACTGCTTATTGACATAATTTAGCAGTCAGTCACATAAGTACTTGGCCATCTATCTCGTTGATTACTTGATATTCGGTCCGTTAGTTCGTTACTAGACTCTACTCTTGATCTGCCGCTGCCCCTCCCCGCTGTCGCCACTCCAGAATCTGGGCTCGCAGGTTCCTGTTTGGCACTAAGGTCCAGGGCGTCGGCATGGCGAGGTTCGTCATGGGTGACGTGGGCCGACGCGCGAGCCAGGCCTCTATTGCCGCGCGTTCGTACGTGTAGCCGTCAGCAGCAATCACTGGGTCCTCCATAACAGCCTGTAACAGAGATTCAGAGAGCTTTTCAATCTTGTGTCGTGGTGCATGAAGCACGTCCCATGTTAGGGGCTGAGCACCTCTGCAGAGATGGAAGGGGGCCTAGACCAGACCGTGGAGCGCTGTGCTTCCATGCTCCTCTTAGAGGATCTAAACCAGATCAAGGCTGGGAGGAAGCTGCTGGAAGCGGTGCGTCATTCTCCGGATCTAAGCAACGACGACTTTTCCAGAGTGGCCCAAGAAGTCGCGGCATTCCAAGGGGGTGCAGTCATGAGCAGATTCCTCAGCTTTGTGACGCCAGCTAGCGTGAGCCGCTTGTATCTGCCAGGGGCGGACTCACAGCTGGAAGGACTCAAACGCTTCCTCCATGCTACTCCGGCGCTTTGTCATCTCACAGGGAGCAAGATTGTGGTGGATCGTTTCTTGCGGGATGACACTGGAACGATCCAAAAAGTCAGAGCTGAAAACGTCCACATTCAGCTGATGAATCAGGTAACTCAAGTAGTTGACGTATCTGAAAGAATGAAGAGCTCCATGTTTAACCCTCTCGAGATCATGACGTTCCTTGCTTCGCTGGAGTGCCTGTCGAACTTTGCGCGGGCGTCAAAGACGTTCCGGGACGTTATGAAGGAGCCAACGGAACAGCGGAAGACCTTCGAGCAGTTCAGCGACCTGCGTTCCTCAAAGAACCTTGCCAAGATGACAGCTGGATCTTCGCTTAGGCTTCGGCTTGGCCTAGCGTGTTTGGCAGCATCTTTTGCATTCGCGGAGGACAGCCAGCTGTGGGCTATTGACAGCGGCCTTCTCAAGTTGCTGGCAGCCATCTATGAAGCGTCACCACTGCGCGAGCTCTGCAAAAGGAATCAACGGGGTGGCTCCCCTGTATACCGCTGCAACAAAATCCTGTACCGCTTGCTCACCTTGGAAGCCACGACGGAGAAGGCGCGTGCGCACAACGCGCTCGAGGGCTTCCGGCCCCACAGGCGGAAGATGAACGCCGCGGAACCGGAACTTGCCCTGTGGAGGGATTACTTCGGGCCGCGATTGCAGGGCACGAGGGTGGTTGAAAAAGAAGAGCTGTCAGAGCTGCAATCCGCTGAGAACTGGAAGCATGCCGAAGAGGTTTACAGCGCGATGTTCCAAACCCCGGTGGTCTGCTCGTGGAAGCTGTGCGCGGCCGGCCGCGAGCCCGTCTTGGGGAAGGGGTTCAGCATGTGTGCACGTTGCCACGTCGCGCGTTACTGCAGGTAAGGCCGTGATATGCATTTGCTAAATCCACGTGTCGCCTTCCCGTTGATGCACTACAGTAGTGTTCAACTATGACAAGGACTGCTCGCGGATTCCGGGTAACCCTTTTCGCCGTCAAGATCCAGATGCGCACTTCCCCTCATCTAATCATGTTACAGTGGCGACCGTGATCAAATCCTCTAACGGGCTCATGCTCTTGCAGACGTGCATTCTTCTGTTTATTATGATCGCACCCAACCTGGCATGAAGTTTTGAAAGCACATCTGTGCTCTGGTTGCAGCAAGGAGCATCAGAAGTCGCACTGGCCCAGCCACAAGGTCCACTGCAGAAAGATGCCATAAAGGGACGAGTCGTGAAAAGCAAGAAGACGTGTTCGTGTTATGCAACTGGTTGCCCTTGCAACTAAGTGACTGCACCCTTGCGAAAAATACTTTCATCTTCAGTCTCTTTGAAGAGTGATTGCAGAGCTTTGAGGGCCGTTGACGGCGTGAGCTTTGGCGATACTTTAGACCTTCGTAAGTCGGCTGCTTTTTCGATCCAGCGAGGTTAAGTAAGCATCACCCAGATTCCATGAGCGATATACCCATATGGGTACTACGTCAAATCTCATACTTCCGCGTACCAGGAGCGCCTCATCGCGAGTTTGAGTCATCGTTGGTGGGCTACTGCACGAACATCTGCATGTTACATGTTACGTCCTGATCATCTTATGGTATGTCGCCTGAGACAATTGCCTTTTATCATGCTCTTATGACAAGGGCGAACATTGGATTGCTCAATCCACGTGTTTCGAAGTTGGCAATATGGCCTAAGCCGCGGCTTTTCCTTCAAGGCCATCACTTGTTAACATGGAAAGCGCACCAGCGTGCTCGAGGGGATCGTTAATTGGCTATTCCTCTTCAATCGTGCTTGTGTGAACGCAATAAAATGTTTTGCTGCCAGATGCATTGGGTGGAAAGCATCGAAAGCGTGCCAGGCATTGCTAGATACTAAGCGATCGCACTAGAAGGGCCGGGCTCAAGAAGTGTCTTCATTGGCTGTGCACATGCGGCCCCGCCAGCATCGACACGTGCTATCTTGTGATTAAACGCATGCGATCAGAGGGTTAGGGAGGCCGTTTACCTGATGGAAACATGGTCAACCACTACACAAGGGACATCGACAAAGCCCTAGACCCCCTGCTAACCCAAACCAAAACCGAATCCCCGACCCAATCCCATCCTGGCCAATCTGCCTACAACGCAATCGTCTCGAATCCACGTTCCCACAAGCACTAGAAAGACTGAAGACTGAGTGCGGAACTCAGGCCATGAGATTCAACATGAACGCCAATGAGGCGGCCGAAACTGACCGTTCAAGGACAACATGTTTGTTTGCAAAACGTACTCACGTGCTTGCTTGATTTCTTAATACGTTTTCCTTGGGAACCTTAGTACGGTGCCTAGATAAAATGAGCTCAACCCCTACATGCATGCACGCCAGGTTCTTCACAGTGCCTATGCCCCGCTAAGCTTCCGCCATACACAGATTAGCCTACTTTTACCGCTCCGGTCTTGAGGTCTTGAATTTTTTGAAGAATCGAAGTGACCTTCCTTACTGCTCCGAGAGTCATTTTATCCTGCTTGTAATGCTGAACCTTACCAGATTCTTTCTGATTCGAGTTATTGAGGAAACGTCCTCTAGCAATCGTCGCGTTTTTCAAAGTGGTTCACCGCAAAATTTCCATCATTCAGGCGGAAGGCTGCCTTTGTCCGCCTTCAAATTAGAATCTGAGGAAAACAAGAGCACCGCAGGTCAGAGGGGCGTCCACAATCTCGGGCAAGGTACCAACAATAACGTTCTGAAGAAAGCGAATTTGCAGAAATTAGCCAGCGCTTAGTACAGCAAACAGCCAAAGCAAAAAATGATGCTCTCGCGCACAGCTTCGCGCTTGGTTCGTGTACTGTACTGCAAACTCTTGCTCCGACGCCAGAATGTGCTTCCAGGAACTCGTGTTCGTAAATTGGTTCGAGGCGCCTTTCTTTGCGTCGACACTGGACGTATGTACCTTTTTCAACAATTGAAAAGAGCCCATCTCAACAACTTAATTGAGCCCACAACAACTCAAAAGAACCCGGAAACAAGAGCTGTCGACAGTTTGCACTGGCCTAGTTGGCCTAGTTGGACAGCATAAAGAGATTTGCCCCGCTTCACCGGTCTTTGGAGGGGCCCACTTCGTCAGGTTCGTCCCGCCGGGAAAGAGCAGCGTCGGATGCCGCTCGTTCTCCACCTGCAAAACGAAGACAGAACGGCGAAGCGTCACCAAAAGAAGTCCGAAAGCTTCGCGGCAACGGCCCTCTCCGTTTCAGGAACGACAGCGCTTGTTATCCTAATACTGACCGCAGCCGACTCAATGGAGGGATGAAAGCCTGCACAGTTAAGGATGCCAAATCAGGCGGGCAACCGAACGGCAAATGCAGACGTGCCTATTCTCGAGAGTGCCACGTGGCACCTTCAGGTCGTCCGTCTCAAAACATGAGTGTCCAGGGAGCCCCGGCAAGCGCCGCCTGACGTTTCTTCCGAAAGCAGAGAAATACGGAGAGCGCGAAGGCGTGTGGAAATAGTGTACATGGATGCAAAATTTGCGCAGAGAAAGACACGTGGCACTCACGTATTCTAGGTGGTCGTGGTGAAGTGCAGGCCGCGGCTATGCCGCCTGACTAGCGCTCTCTGCGCAATCAGCTTGGCGCCGTCCAGCAGGTTGCGCATCTCGCACACCTCCACGCTCTGCAAATAGTAATAGAAATCAGTTCTGCTACTAGTACGTACTCACCTGGCTCAAGAGACCCACCTATTGGGATTGGTCAGCAAAGGATGACATATGTTCAGCAGATTGTCGAGCATCCGACTTTCGGCCGCTGAGAGAGGAGCAAAGCAACGACCGAAGAGGCATGTGGAAATCGGAGTACCTTTGATTTATTGGTTCTGCTCTGCCCTTTTTATTCCACACCGTATGTACTAGTGCATCCATAAATTGAGAATCACAGAGCACGTGTCACTGCCAAGTGGGAACAACCATGAAGTCCGGATTATTGATCCATGAATAACTTGGAAACATTGCAGGCCGTATGCATGATAAGACCGTCGTCTGCATCAGTTTTTCAGTTCAAGTTGCGGCCCCGATAAGGTTGCTGGAGTGAGATCAGGTGTCATGACGCCCATAAGTGATGTCCAACCTTCGTATCGTATGGCTCGTACTCTGGTAAGGCGGTCATAAGTGTCTGCGGAGATCCTGACAATCTTCCTCTGGTTCTTGGTACCGCTAGCTTGAATTTGCTGACCATTGTAGGTGACTTTAAGTCTAGCTCAAGAACACAGTTGCCCCAACGAAGGTTTGAAGTATTCACTGGACCTTACGTCTCAAGATCTCGCGCCTCAAATTCTGGTTTTCGAACAGATCCAAGACTAGGCTGTTCCGGGCGCACATGACGACCTTTAATTAAGACGGACAATCATCGCTTAAGGAATCGGACCACCAGAAAGTGTCTGCTTTGGATTTTTATGACTCGTCCCTTCGCGGCACGACCTTTCTGCAGTGGTCTTTTTGACTGCGCCAGTGCAATTTCTGATGCTCCTTACTGCAAAGAACAGATTCAAACGTCTGAGTATGAAACCTTGCCGGATCGAGCAGGGGCATCAAGTTCGTACATAATACAACATACAGGCAAACGCTTGTCAGAGCGTCAAGCTGAACGTCGTTTAGATCAGTGCAGATCCAGTACGACCTTTCGTTCAGATTCGTTGTAGCGATGCATTAAGAGGAGCTCCGGAACAGAAATCAAAAGCAAGATTGTATGCTTGTGAAGCAGTCCTCTTTGTAGCCGAATGCAGTCAGTAGATTCACGACGAGACGACAATGCATCTAAAGAATGCCCGTTGATATCAACTGAGTGAGCTAACACACTGCCACGGCCTTACCTGCAGTAGCGCGACACGTGGCACCGCGCACACATGCTAAACCTCTTTCCCGAGACGGGCTCGCGGCCGGCCGCGCACAGGTTCCACGAGCAGACTACCGGGGTTGAGAACATTGCGGTGTGAATATCCGCTGCCTCGGCAACGTCGTAGTTTCCAATTTCCTCGGGTTGCTGTTCTTCTTGTGCGCCTATCGTCGGGCCCTGCAATCGCTCTTCAATCTCCTTCCAAGGCGCGACTTCCGGTTCCGCGGCGTTGATCTTCCGCTTTTGGGGCCGGAAGCCTTCGAGGGCATTGTGGCCGCGCAGCATTTCCGCTGTGGTGTCTGCGGTGAGCAAGCGGAGCAGGATTCTGTTGCAGCGGAACACCGGAGAGCGACCCCGTTGACTCGATTTGGAGAGCTCGCGCAGGGGTGACGCTTCGTAGATCGCTGCTACTAGCTTGAGAAGACCGCTGTCAATCGCCCACAGCTGGCTATCCTCGGAAAAAGCGAAAGATGCGGCCAAACACGTTAGGCAAAGGCGAAGCCTGTGAAAGGAGCCAGCTTCACTGCTCGCAAGGCCTCTTTCGGAGAGCAGGTCACTGAAGTGCTCAAAGATCCTCCGCTGTTCCGTTGACTCCCTCATGACCGCCCGGAACGCCTTCGACGCTCGTGCAAAGTTAGACAAGCACTCTAGCGAAGCTAGAGTTTGAATCAAGGTAACATTCTTGAACGGGGAGCTGTTGAACCTCTCTGATACTTTGAAGGTATGGTTGATGAACGCCATCAATCTCATATGTATCAAGTCAGCCCTGGCCATTTGGATCGTCTCCGTACCATCTCGCAGGATGCAATCCACCACAATCCTGCTCCCTTTGAGTAGACAAAGCACCACAGTCGCATAAAGAAAGCGGTTGTGCTCTCCCATTGGGTTCTGCCAATCTGGTTGGCCCACGTCGCGCGTGAGAGAGAGCCTCCTCAAAACGGCCCCTCCTTGGAAGGCGGCGACCTCTTGGGCAAATCTGGAAAAGAGTTCCGGACTTGCATTATCCGTAGAGAGACGCAGCGCTCGTAGCAACTTGAACCCAGCTTCGATCTGGCTTGGATCATCTGAAAGGAGCATCGAAGCACAGCGTTCAACGGTCTGGTCCAAACCTCCTTCCATCTTGTCCACAGGACAGAACCTTCCTCTGCCCAGTTCGAAAAGAGAAGTTTTCTGCCGACTCAGATCTCAAGAAAAAGCGGGGGTTTCTGCGATCTGATTAATCATGCAGTCCTTGCATTTGAATGGTTGCATAGTGTTTTAGAAGCGCCAGCAAATTAGATTGGCGTCCGCGAATAGACAGTGCACGTTGGTGATATTGCGGGCCAGCCTTGTGCCCCAGCCTCTTCCTCCGATTCGTTTTGCAATGAACGCGTGCATGCACACTCTAATGTCACATCCGTCGGCTGGGATGTTAGGTGTGCTGTCACACGCAAGTCGATTGTCAAAGCGTACTTGAGCATATCTTTGTTAGAGATCGATGACCCCAATCGCGTCAGACGTACGAAATGTTGGGCGCAATTTTCCAAAATTTGCTCCGTACGAAACTCCACACATGCTGCCTGCGGAAGTTGGCCGCCGTGCAGAGCCGACATTAAGACTCGCCCAATCTGATACATACATACATCACATCATTATAATGATTATAAAGCCCGTACCGAAGCATGGGGCTTGATAGAGTATATGGGGTCAGGGCCGTGTTTTTCCCAACAAGCTATTGAGCTACCTGCAGGCAAGATCTTACTATACCGTAATGGCAAATCCTGATTGGCTACATCGAGCAAGAATTGTTTATCCTACCAGTCCTGATCGATCACCTGCGGTTGAAAACAATTCCAGTTGGCCAGAAGATTTGCAGGTTAGGCGAGCAGAATTCATGGTCTTATTGGCTTCTATAGGGACCTTGACATGAATGTAGCTAAATTTGCGGTTGCAAATGAGTTTCGATCTTCGTCGGATCGAAGACTCTAAACTAAACTGAAGATTCGCATACGATCATGCGTTTCAACGCGATTTGACAGGGATCACATTTCGACGACCAGCAGGTCAACCGTTCCCCGCCAAGCTGCATTTTGATCACATTTGTTTGACACCTTAAACACTGCATATGCATGATATACGGCCACGCGAGTCAGCAGAAGAGACTTGAAAGAATGCCCAGGTAAAGCTGGCCGGGGCAGAAGCTGTGACACTCGAGGGCGTCAGAGGGTTCCAAACCTCTGCTTGGTTCGACATTCGTGCTCGTAAGGCTCATTTTGGTCGGAGAGGTTCCAGTTCGTAGAAAGGCTGCGCTTCGTTTCCGACACGAAATGGGCCCGAGAGAAGCTACACTATCCTCGCTCCCTGGTGCCCCTTGATTTTCGTACGTTCCCGAGAAGTAATGTCTGTCATGTATGATTGCAACTCATGCAGACGTTCCGGTCGATAACGTAAATACACACCAAAAATATGAGGGTAAAAGCACAATGATAATTTGCCCACACAACGTACAAGATTGAATCCACGTTTTTGCTGACACGTCGACTATAAGCAAAATACGTTTACTGGACAACGTGGTTCAACGTCCACTGCAATGCGTAAGTACCTAGACACGGTGCCCATCCGTGATTAAACTGATTTCCTACACGCCTGCGCGCTAAGTTGTCCAATTCTGACCGTCCATCTAAGCTTCCGCTATACACATTGTGTTTCAATCTCGAAGCATCAATCTGACCTTATTACGTCTAGAATACCGTTCAGCTCATTGTGAAGCTGAATCTACCGAATCGTGAGAATCCCCCTCTGGCGCGAATTATTGAGGCAACGTCCTCTAGCGGACGTTGCGACCTTCTAGATTGGCGGACTCCCTAAATTCAGGCGGAGATAGCGACCTGGCTGGTTTTGTCCGCCTTCGAGTTCGATTCTGCAAAAGACGCCAGCGCCGCAAGTCAGAAGGGCATCCACAATTTTAGGCGACAGGAGGCAGAGTAACATTGATGGCGTCCTAAGCAGAGCGGCAGAGTGAAGGCGGAAGAGCCAAGTTGCAAGCGGCGTCGTGGCCGAGCAATTATGCAGGTACCTCCAGAACAGAAAGCACCTTCCCTTGGCGATACTCCGTCAAAAGTGCAGACCGGTGCTACGATTCTACGATTGGGACACTCTTTTCCATCGGGAAAACATAGCGCATTGGGAGCGCTCCGGAATTTTTTCTTAGTGGTGAAACAACCGAAGGGAAGTCCCCTTTCCAGCTGACCCACAAGGAGTCCAAAATCAGGGATTGCCTACAACGATTCCATTGCACATAAAGAAAGTTTGTCCCGCCTCACCTTTGTTCTGCGAGCCCCACTTCGTCAAGTTCGTTCCTTCGGGAAAGAGCAGTGTCGGGTGCCGCTCACTCTCCACCTGCAGGAATATGGCGACGCGTCACAAGAAAGCTCAAGAAGGAGTGTGCGACAAAGCCCTTGGCTTCAGCGAGAACAGTGAAACGCACACTCATGCTGACAGCAGCAGCGGAACGGAATGACGAAATCTGACGACATGCTTACAGACAACGTGCCAAACACGACAGGGAATTCAACCGAAGCGAGTTCGCGCGTCCCAATCTAAGCATCGTTCATCTGTGCAGAAGACCTGAGCAAAGCCACGTGCGCTTGTACATGCGGAAGCAGCAAAAGAGTCCGAGAGCTACTGTGTGCGGAAACACTGAAAGGAAGTAAGTGTCGAGCAACCAACTAAGAGAAGACACGTGGCACTCACGTATTCGAGGTGGTCGGTGGTAAAGTGCAGGCCGCGGCTCTCCCGCCTGACCAGCGCGCTCTGGACAATCAGCTTGGCGACGTCCAGCAGGTTGCGCATCTCACACACCTCCACGCTCTGCAAACGAACAATGGTTAAGATAGGTTAGGCTGAAAATTGGGTTGAGGGGCTTATCTGGCGAAGCTGAAAAGCAGGATCAACCAAGCGTCGGTTGGTTCAGAAGATTCTGTTAGACGCCACACTTGAGGGACGACCATGCAGGGTCCCAAGCTTGCGCTCTGCAAACCGAGAAGCGAGGAATCGATGGGGCGCACCAGAACAGAGCTCGTCATTTCGCAAGACTGTACCTGAGGAAACGCTTCCCTCAAAAGCTACCGCAGTACCCAAGTAGTACTTGGTAGACTTAAGAAACGCCGCCCCCCAATTCAGCTCGTCCAAGAGCAGCACCGGAAGACTTTGCCAGCGCTCTGAGATTGTAAGCGAGTGGATATCTTACCACAATGCCTGCACTCCAGCCCCGCTCTTCGAGGAACGACTCCCACGCCTTTCTCACGCTTCGCAGCTCCTTCAGGGCCTTGGTCAGCCGCTCCGTCGAGCGCACGATGCCGACCTGCAATGGAAGAGCAAAGACTTGTTCAATACGCTCACACATGAGACTATGCAAGAAATTGGGCCTTTTGTTACGTCCTTCAAGGTGCTTCGGCATTTGGTCTTGCCCAAAAAAGTTGCTCACAATTTCCGCTCCCGATCCTCGTAATAGACGAAGGCACAGGCCCAGGTCAAACAGCGGAGATGAAGCCTACGTCAAACAGCGTTAAAAAAGCGCATGCGGAATACGGCCGCTGAAAGAAAAGAGCCAAGCAACGACCAAACACCAAGAGCGAGGGCTGAAAAAAGATTGAAGTACAAAGAAGAACAGCGTTTTCCCCATCACTCACGTAATCGAACATGATCTCCTGCAGCTGCTTGCGCCGCCGCCGCGTCTCCTCCCGCACCTCGTCCGTCTCGGACGTCTGCAGCGGGCTGCGCGTCCGCGGGCGCTCCCACCGTCCGGCCACCGTTTCTAATTCGTCGTGCACATCGGAGTCACGTGACTCCGAGTCACGTGCCTGCTTCACGTGGGCGATCGACGGGGACGCCGCCCGCTCGGCGAAGACGAGGGCCTGCAACCACGGAAGGAGACGATAACGTCAGCATCTCCCGGAATTGCCTTCAACGACGAAAAGAGTATCGGTGTGTGAATGGAGTTGCCTAGCGTTTGCAGCGAAAATGCTCTCATGGGCGGTGCGCAAAACAATCTGTCTCGACCACGACTCTGCCCTTTCAAAGGGCGACTCAAACTCGTACATGAGCCCTCTTTTTCGTAACTCGGTAATCTGAATCATACTTTCAAAGTGGTTCGAAAATGGGTAATGGGAGGCGAGTGGTTCTTCCCTGGGCCACGTGGCTCACCTCCAAAAGCGAGTTGCTGGCGAGCCGGTTGGCACCGTGCAGTCCCGTGTGCGCCACCTCGCCGCACGCCCACAAGCCCCGGATGGACGTCTCGCCGTGCAGGCCAGTCTGCAGTAACAGAAGCGAGGATTGTTTCAGCGCGCTTTTCCTTCCTAGCTAGAATGAACATCGGCCTCCAGAAACAATGTGCACACGGAGCGGAGCTGCCTCCGAAGCTGGAGTTGAGCAATGCAGCTTTAATAACCCCAGGGACCTTGAAGTCGTACATTGCCGAGACGCCACGATGTTCGCAAAACACCAGATGTTCAAACGCAAGATGTTCAATATATCAGTTGTCCTAAAGCCCAGATCGTTAAGAGCGACTGCCAAAAAGCAGAACGTGCACCAGGAATGCTGTTCTTCCGCAGAACCCATCTGTCGGCTAAGTAAACCCAGATATCGTGCTGGTCTTGTCTCGGCTTTCGGTAGCTGATCTTGTCAGACCATGAACGGACCAAACGGTGAGACACTTCTGTCGGTGGAACGCACCTGGATTCCGCCGCACATGTAGTGCGCAGCAGGGACGACCGGGATGCCGTCCCGTGTGATGTCAATGCCATACTTGAGGCACTCCTTGGCGATGTTGGGAAAGTGCGACAGGATCTGCCCCAACGAAACAGAGACTGTTTCAGGCTAATGGCAGATTTGAAGCGACCGTGTCGGAACTTTACGGAGGAGAAAGGGGGTCAAGATGTTAAAAAAGGAAAGAACCAAGCAAAACAACCTCTCCTCTTCAAGAAAATATGGCTGCAAAATCCCATTGTTTAAAGGCACTTCTCTGCTGCCTGTGAGAGCAGGTCAGTGACAGTGACGCAACTGAAAAGAGAACGGCATGAATCGAGTAGCGAGCTAATGAGAGCGGAAAGCAACCAAAATCTGACTGAGAGAGAGGAAGGCACCGCCGACGTAGAAGCAGAAGAGCCGGAGGCAGACGACCCGTGATAATGTTATCAGTAAGCAATTCGCCGTTTGCTGACCTCATCGCGCGGCTTGTGGCTGATGTCCAGCAGGACGTACTTCTCCCCGCGCTGCTTCAGCTGGTCGTCGATGCTGCAACCAGCGCAACAGGATGTGAGTCACCGGAAAGGCAAAAACTCGACTGCCCCTTTTCTACTCTCGAAATTAATGCTCAAACACGATAAGCGAGTACTCAAAAGCCCCCGGCCAATCCCGGACAATCGTCAACCTCCGCATAAGCCTTGCATAGTCCTAAAACTCTCTACACAATCAACGCTGGATGCAACTCCCTTTCGAATAGCACTTGGGAAGTCAGACAAGATACATAGCCTATGGCCTTATACCAGCTTCAGAAGAAGAAAGACACAGGCAGCGCACCGCTCTCTTACCTTCTGGCCACGACGTCTCGTGGCGCTAGCTCTTCCCTCGGATCGTACTTTGGCATAAACCGTTCGCCCGCCTGCAGAGAAAGAAACAGTGTAAACAATCCACGAATTCCTGAGGCGGTTGTCAAAGGGCGTCACCCAACTTCTCAGCGGCTTCTCAGCGGGTCTGTTACTTACAAAGCGGGCGTCACAGCTGCCTCGATCTGACCGCATGGTCACGATGGAGCGACCAACCAAGTTCGCTGCAAACTTCGGAGTCGCCTAGCGTTCTCGGTCTCGGTACGTACCCTCCAAGCATGATACAATCTGAAAGGGAACCTCAAAAACCTGATCCGTGACAGCTGTCAAATATCGAGCCAGCAACGAAGCATGAAGAATGTAAAGAAGCAGAATTCCCAAAAAAACCGGTTCCCACCCACAGAAGCCAGCTGTCCAGAAAAAGAAACAACCCCACCTGATTAAAGAGAAGGCCTCCCGATCCGCGGACAGCTTCCGTGATCAGAAAGGCGTTCTCCCTTTTCGGGCCCCGTTTGAGGGCCGCATCCGCTAAACTAGTGGGGTGGAATTGGACGAATCTGCACCGAGGAAAAAAACAGGGCTTTCATTAGGGCAATCTAACCTTTAAAAAAAACACGACCCCTTCCCTACATCGTCACGACACAAAGCCTCGACTCTCTACAAGAGATTATGACGGTTCAAGCGGCTTCATGCGCGAAAGCAGGCATTCTGGATTCTGCGAGACTGAACGAGACGATGAAGGTGCAGCATCTCGGGTGCCAGACGCAACAGCGACAGGGCCAACCTCTGCAAGCGGCTGTTCAACCGGGGAGATCTAATCAACGACGAGAAAGCCGCTACACTCACTCCATGTTCGCAATGACGCCCCCTGCGCGGTGCGCCATGGCTACCCCGTCTCCAGTAGCGACCTGCACCAGAATAAGATGCCCACGTTCACAACCCTAGTCCACTCAGACCAAGATATTATATTGAAGTTGCACCCAACGTGCCGTATGAGCACTTGCAAGAGCTGCTGTTCTTGATGACCCAACGAGAGGGGCTCCGAAAGAACTCAACACCCACTGCGCGGCCCACTGCGCGGCTCATTGAGCAACGCTGTAGGCACAAAGACTCTTCATTTTGGCAGGACCTCCAATCGGCGAGGAGCTGAACGGTGGATGCAAAACCAGGACACAGGGCTTGGACGAGCGTATGATCGAAGCTTACCAGAGGGTTCGTCGTGTTCGGGTACACGTGACCTGCCCCCCCGGCGGCTAGCAGAGTTGCCGAAGCCAAGAATCGGATGACCTGCAGGTTTAACATCGTTTTGATGAGATTGATAACGAGTGAAAGTGGCAAGATGGCACCTCGAGAGTGGCTGCCGCAACCTCCAAGCGACAGTTGACTCGAGTCGCAGGAGAACAATCCCTACGGTCAAACCTGTCCAGACATGCCCAACAAGAGGCTTGCAAAAGTAATCAACATTAAGTCCATAATCTAGTCAAGAAATACCGAGCTCAAGACTTATCAACAGGACATGCAACTGTCAAGCGGAGTCAAAGCGAGGTGAATGCGCGACGCAGCTCGAAAGACTTACTTTTCCAGATGCGACGTCGATCGCATCAACCCCATGGCAGACGGTCCCCTCGTTCGACTGCACGAGATGACACTACCACTCTGAGATCAGATATAAACCCCTCATGACGTAGTTGGAAGTAAGTCAGCGAATTGCAAAAGCTTTCTGCCCGCTTAAACGCCAGTTAACTCGCCAGTTACCACGTATGAATCATGCTTATCCCCAACCTTTGCGAGCCCATGCCACACTTACGAGACCAGACACCCCGACGCCTAAAGAGATGGCAGCTCTTTCGAATCATTCGCTTCGACACCATGTTTCGAGGATGCCCATGAACGATCTGGCCCTGAATCCATTGTCCGAGAATGTACTACAGAACGTGTCCGGCCAACAAGCTTTCTCGACTCCTGTCCAACAAGTGGTGGCCTCTCACCTGTGACGTCAGCAGGTCCACAACGAAGTGGTGTTCGTAGACGCTGATGTTCGGGCTGCTCGCGACGGCCGTCAGCAGCGCGCGCTCGATCTCGCGCCCGGTGACGTCAGCGGCGTGCACGATGCGCGAGTGCGAGTGGCCCCCTTCCTTCGTGAGGTGCAGCGTGCCGTCGGCGCCCTTGTCGAACGACGCCCCCATGGCAATCAGTTCGCGCACGCGGTCAGGGCCCTCCCGACACACAATCTGGCAGGAAGGTAGAAGTGAAACAGCACGCGGTCAGGGCCCTCCCGACACACAATCTGGCAGGAAGGTAGAAGTGAAACAGCAGGATGAGAGAGCAAATAAAAAACGATTCGAGCTCTTTCGAAAGAATTTATGTAGTTCCTTAAGTGAGTAAGAACGCAGGAAACCTTCACACGGAGCGGATCTGAAGGGTGAGGTCGTATCAACAAACAATGTTTCAAACAGTCGAACAACTCCGCGCCACTCACTCTCTGAAACGGCCTTTCTCAGGGGTAAGGTTTGATATGCCTCGAGACATCTGTCGGATGCACATAGACGGGAAAATCACCTAAAACAGCAACATCACCCTTCCCTCGAAAAGAGAAAGCAATCGTTCAAACTGCTGCCTCTCAGACCTCGCCCATTATATTCCAAAAGGAGTTCTACGACGCCAAAACAACAGTATGCTACCAACTGAAGGGGTCCAACCACAACAATCTAAACGAGTATCTTCTGCACTTTGGCCGATCTTAATCTCACCTCCACCGCCTGCTCGTCACTTAGAAAAGCTCCCGCAACAATCGTATCCCGGATATGGTTGTCAACCGAGTCGTTGGAATCAAGCACCGACGCAATGCCCCCCTGCAGGTGCATCCACATCAGCGTGAGCAACGAGCTCCTCACAAATATTGATTGCCGATGAGAGACGCCCATCTCACAGATTATCACAACCCTCCCCAAGCACAAGCTACTGTGTGCTAACAATTGAGCATAATCTCGTGACTTGCGAGCAGTGATGCAAGTGAATTGCAACTTTGAACATCCCTACTCCTCGACACAAAAAGTAAAGGTAGGGAAATGATGTGAGTCCACACCTGAGCATAGTTCGTGTTGCTTTCCCGCGCGGCTGACTTGGTTACGACCGCTACCGACCCGTGCTCCGCAACTGACAGAGCATACTTCAGCCCCGCAACGCCGCTTCCGATGACTACAAAGTCGAATTGCTGCGTTGGCTCGTCCGACTTCTTCCAGAACCGGTGCTGCTTCGTCGTGCGGTTGCTCTTCCCGTCTTTCGAGGCCTCCGCGAGAACTTCCGCGACTGCTGAGGCGATGCGCTTCCCGAGCGCGGATGGCGGCTCTCTGCACAGATTTGTCGAGTTTAGGCTCTTGGGTGATTCGTTTCAGAATTTCAGGGTTTTGTGAAATAACATAGTTCTTAACCTAGATTCGAGCCTGCCCAAGAATGGACACTATGCATCACATAGAAGGAAGGTTTATTTGCCAAAAGCACAGAGATAGTATGCTTCGAGGTGGCCTGGTCTTTGACACAAGTATGCTGGGTCCATTGAGGAGGCCCGGTGTAGAATGCTAGACCCTCAGCAAATTCAAGAAAGTGTCCTGCTACACGATGACAAGCTGACCAAACTCTGTACTTGCTGTCCAGCACTGGGCAGAAAGACTTTCGAAGGCACCAGCTCCAGATATCAAGCCCCAGGTCTGACTCTGGGGGCTCTGGAGCATTTTGTGAACAAAGCTTTGCAACCCCTTTCACTGGGGCTTTCAAGTCTGCAGCTCAGCAATCAGCAACAGTGGCTGCTATTGCCAGATTGCAGTGGGCCTGATTTGTCGTCTTCTTTCCCGGCAAACTCCAACGGGAAGCCAGTCATATCTACCTCAGAAACCCACAGGTAGGTCGGCCCAGCTGAGGCGCTAACAAAACTCAAATTTCATATGCCGCTTGATTGACATGAACAAGAACGCTCAACAAAATGCAGATTGACTGCATACAGCGCTTTCGTACAACTTAGGCATGCTACATACAAGCCAGACATGCTTACGAGCCCAATGTGAATCCACCCACGAATGCAAGCCACTTCATGCGAAGGTGCGTGGTGCATGCTCAAAGTCTTCCACAGACAGCGCCACGAGGGATGCTGTTCCCCTGGATCTAAAGACTAGACCGATTCACAGAACTGCCGGGCTTCGCAGATCACAACTTGATAGAAGCTACTCAATGCTGTGACAGGCTGCGCTTGAGAATTTGATTGTCAACTTTACTAGCATCACCTCTGACAGAAACAGCATTACTAGCATCATTCAAGCAACCAGCATGAGCTACATCTTGGGCTGACCAATCATGCGGGACTTCCTCGAAGACCCGACCAGCTGAACCTCGACAGTGACCTTGTAAGAAAGTAATGCTGCGGTAGCAGGCAACTTCAAAAGTACAAACATAGTCAGCAGAATGTAAGCACAGTCCGAACAGAATCCTCTACAGAAGAGGATTAGTGCAACTAACCTCCGAGCCTCTATTGAGCAGCTGGTAGATCCGAGGCCCCACCCCGCAGAGCCTATCCGCCAGTTCCCCAGCAGAGACATGCTCTTGACAGGCGGATGAGCCTCCACCGCACAACCCCCGGGCCCCTCCCTCCACTCGTCAATACTCCAACCCATTCTAGTTACTTTCAGATTGGCGCTGGCAAACTTTCTAGCTGTGCTTGACCAAAGATGAGCGCTAGCAGACTGTCGGATCGAGCCCTTGCTCCCCACAGATCTGAAGCAGACTGACGAATGCTGACAGCCGACCGCAGAGTTTTCTGGGTGTTGAACGAGCGTTTGGGACAGTGCTCCAGATTGACGCCGCAGCTGGACTGCCTGACTCAGCATAACTTACAAGCTGTTGGTGGTGTTGTTGGCAGCATCCTGCCTCATGAGAGTCCCACCAGACCCAGCAGCTTCAACTATCCTGTCAGTAGATCTCTGTTCCAAGGCTTGCCTGCTTGCAAACTGATGCCCCCTGCTAAAATGTCTTCACTGCGCTTGCCTTATTGGTGTCTCGGAGCTGAACTTTTAAAATCACCTTCAAGTTGCCACAGATCTGTTGTGTGCCAGCTCTCTTACTGCTCAAAGGCTAATCTCATCCACCTTCACCTGTCCAACATTAAGATCTCTGAACAAGCTTGCAAACACCTGATATCCTAATCCTGTAGTCTCGAGTATGGGGGAGCAGTAAGCAACCAAGCAAATTTTCTTACAAAACTCCTTTGCTTCAGAGATAATAGCTATGGCGGCCCGAATTTGAAAACGCTTTATGGTATAGCTAGGAAAGGCCGTTGTGAGCGCTAGGATAAGTAGGAAGCAGAACTCATGCTGTCGAGACCGGCTTGGAAGTTGTCCAAACACACATGGCTCACGTCGAGCAGGAGAACCAGAAGAAAGGCCCTGTTACCGGTAAGGGTTGTGCAGCGGCCACCGTTGTCGCTACGTGGCGTCTTTTCCAGGCAGCGCGATCGGGGCCGAACCCACAGATCGACGCGTCACCTTGCGACCGTGACTTTACGCGGCCGCAACCGTCGATGAAGGGGGCCTTGCGAAGAAATGGACGGTGTCAAGTTACTGATGACGAGCTAACTCTTGACCGGAATCCGCTCGTTCCGTGCGCGGACTCGAATAGTCTGGGGTAAGCTTCAGCGGATTCCGGTTCGGTGCGCTCCGGTCCACTCCGGTCGATGCTGGCACAGCTTGTGCCAGCTGGCAAGGAGAACTTATCTTGGGGCTCCTCTCCATGCCTCCGAGTCCTAGCTGAGTCCTCTCCATGCGTGCAGCATTTTACAACGAGGCAGCCTTTTACGAGTCAATTGCGCCTCATTGCTTCCTGAAATCTTTTGGTGTACTCCTTTGAGCCGGTTTGAGGTCTGCAGAGAAGGTCGGCAGAGGCGATCACGCTCCGTAAACTTGGAAGTGTGCGGCAAAGACGCGGAGGTTTCGCTCTTTCACACGGAGACAATGAGCGATTATCAGCCCTTTTTGGAGCGCCGGCAACGGGACGATGGCAATCTTTGTTGTCAAGTGCTCTTGGCAAGTAAGTGCTCGCCAAGGGAATTTGGTTCTGCAGGCTTTGGCAGCAACAAAATTAGACGAGTAATTGTCAAACATGGGTACTTTTCGCAATCTCGATTGAATAACCGGCGTGTCGTGAGCTTACACTTGTTTGTTGTTTTTGCCGGAGCAGGATGGTCAATCGCCACAGTATTGGTCTTCTGAGCCTTTGAGGCCCCTTGCGCACTGTGTCTCTCTGATGATTGGTTTTCAAAAGCAAGTCCAAAGCCTCCACGGTTAGGACTGAACCTGCCAGATCATAACAATAAAATACTTGACAACATTGTGTCGACCGTACTGCAGGAGTTTATGACCTTGAGGACTGGCAAACTGCCAGTATAAGGAAAGTATGTGGGAGCGGACGTGCCCGCTTTGAGTTGACGCTTTGTTCCTTTTCTTTGCAGTTATTTGCCCTCCAATTGGAGTCTACTTGAGGTACGGATGTGGCATTGAATTCTGGATATGCATACTACTGAGCATCCTTGGTAAGCAGCGACTCAATTCACGCTCTTTCCAACATTCTGTGCGCTGTGCTTAACTGATGAACACGCCAGATTGGGGCACTACAGGCATACTTTTCAAACTTATGGTGGCTAAATCGTGCGTCCCATTGGGAACCAAATGTTGACATCCCTTGTCTTGTGATCGAAGAAAGCACTATGAAACACCGAGTCTGACAAGTCTTTGCTATCAGGAGTCTGATCATGGATGGATGGTTTTACCACTTGAAATCAATTGCGTTTTATGGGCTTTGGGAGAATGTCTAACAAGTCACTGAAAGAATCCACTGATCCAATCTGGTAAACTTGAGTGCAGGTTATGTACCAGGGATCATTTACTCCGTCTATATCCTGACTGTAAATAACTACTAGGTTGCAGCTTGGCCATCTCATCTCCATCTGATCTTCTGGTAAGTTTTCAACAAAGCTACGTTAAACGGCATAGAACCTGCACTTTCGTGAGCCCTTCCATTGCTTGTTACGGAGAATGACCACAAAGTACAAGGCACAAACGTCTTCTCAGACCAGAAGATTGCCATTTGGAACTTTTTGGTTTGATTATGCCAGCTTGCTACACACCAAACCTGCAACTAGCTATGTCGCCTTTGATTGTTCAATGCAAGATCTGTCGTGTGCAGCTCGGCGTGGTTACTTGAAGAACCATCAAAGTGGCTGCGGCTACTGGTCAACCAAGTGGTTTCATCCTTTCTGGCTGGTGGAAATAAGACTAGTATAAGTTATAGCTGTAAGTCAGTCTCTCCTGCCTGCTGCCAGGGCCCCTCTCCTTGGTCTTGTACATATCCTTGCGGCAGGCCGCCTTGCACACCTGTCGATATAGTGCACCAGAGTCTACAATAAACTCCTACGCAAAGTGGAAGTTCCTGACTGATTTTGTATATGTATCGCTTTTGTTAAGGTATCTTATGTTTAGGGATTGATGGCCGGGGCGTGTGGTACGTGTATGGGTCGATAACATACACGTTTATATGACCGGCGGACTGCCTAATGATAGTGTCTGGAGACAATCCGGGGTTGACCGTGCCCGTCTGAACAATCATTCCGCACTGAGCGCGCGTCCTTCATGGTTCTTCACGTGCACTCTGCATAGCGCCCAGAACTAGTACTAAATATTCGAAGTTTCTGGATCGACGTCGGCCGTCGGCTGGGATTCATATGTTCAAACTGAGTATGGACATCCGGGCCATGTAAGTAGCTACCTAGTTTCGACTTTTGCCAAGTCAGAGATAGCATCCACCTATATGAAGGCGCGGCCGGCAGATTCCATCGCATGTACTTTGCATCGTGTTGAGGCGGCGCACACCCGCCCATATTCATGCATATATACGCTTATACTAGATGCATGATGGACGTTCAGAATTAATAGGACGGTCTTCGTATAGATCCCACATGCCCCTATATCGTTGCTCTTGTGGGCATAGCTGCATGGTTCAATATGCATGATGGAGCAGTACCTCTTTCTGTTTAGTTCTTAGTATATATATAGTATCCAGTCCACCACTTCTCGTCGTTTTTCCTTCTTAATCCGGCCGCCATCATTATATATGGAACACTATGGGAGAATGAGACGCCTGGTATATGCTATCATATTATAGTCTTAGAATAGTCTCAAGGGCGCTTCAAGGGCGCTGGTGCAGGATGTCGTATGCAGGTCC